ATTGGAGACGAGCGAGGAGATAAATACTCCTACCGACAAAAGGCAGACGATAATGAGTATGATGGATGTAACAGGGAAGGACACGGAAACTGGCAGTCTCGAAGACTCGCCGAGAATTACAATGGTAGATCCAAATGGCAATGAAGTGCCCACGCCCACAGGCTCAGAATCAGCAGAATCGGAACAGAACGGTTCGAGGAGGGCAAGCGATAGCTCTGATACATCAGTAGAGGAGGTCAACTGGGAGGAATTGGAGAAGACAGAGGAACAACAGCCGAGGAATCAGGATTCCGATGATGTAAGGTTATGAAAGACGCGTACATTCTTCCAATACTGACTGACATGCTGCAGTCCACAGCTTTGCTGCTAGCCAGGCTTGAGCAAGAAAACAATGCGATCGCCTCGAACCCGAAGTCTGGTATTGCAAAAGCTCAAAAGGTTGAGAAACAACGAGCTCGCGCTCAATCCAGGCCACCGTCGATGCAGCATCTCAAGAAATTGGTCAATGGCCCTACACCCTCAGCGCTTCGATACTCCGTCACCCCTCCACCCCCTATGACCGACCTCGAATTTTACGCCGCACTCGTACAAGACTACCCAAGAACTGCTCAATATTTACCTACATTATTGTCGAAGAAGATTAGAAGTGGTATTCCCCCGCCACTGCGAGGTGTAGTATGGCAGAGTATGTCGGGAGCCCGCGACAGACTGTTGGAGGAGCAATTCGATAGACTCTGTGGCGAGTCAAGTCCATATGAAGGAATCATTGGCAAAGATTTGGGGCGAAGCTTTCCTGGTGTTGAGATGTTTCGTGATCCGGAGGGAGATGGGCAGCGCATGCTGGGAAGAGTTCTTAAATGCTTCAGTTTATACGATCACAAAATTGGGTATTGTCAAGGCTTGGGCTTTCTTGTTGGACCTTTATTGATGCACATGGGGGATAAGCAAGCATTCTGTGTACTCGTCCGGTAAGATATCAGCTATGCGACCTGTCACCATATTTACTAATGATCTGTAGGCTCATGGAACATTATGACCTACGAAATTGCTTCCTTCCTGATCTTTCCGGTCTCCACGTTCGAATACACCAATTTCGAGAATTGCTAAAATTGCATCTACCTGCCTTATCAACACATCTCGACGTTTTACAAGTCGAACCTGCATACGTTTCCCAGTGGTTCCTATCATTTTTTGCTACGACTTGTCCTTTACCGATGCTTTTCCGAATCTACGATGTTATATTCGCCGAAGGTGCTTCAGAAACTATCATGCGAGTTGCTCTTTCATTGATGAGAAAGAATGAAACCAAAATTTTGTCATGCACAGAATTTGAGGATGTAATGCAATTACTTCTCTCCAGGGGTTTATGGGATGTTTATCATTACAATGCCGATGAATTTGTCAATGATTTCGTTAGTCTGACAGGGATTGTAACACACGAAAGCCTTCAGAATTTAGAAGCGGGTTATCGGGAGTCTCAGATTGTTGACACTGCCATTCCATCAGATGTAGGATCAGCAGCCTCACGATTTCTCGGACGATTATGGGCTGGCTCAAATTCGTCAACAAAATCGGCAAATCTCACACCTAGTCCAGGGCTTAGCGCCCCATCACGTCCCGTTAGTTTCTTGAGAAGATCCCCTTCAAAGCAGAGTTTAGCCTCCACACTGAATTCTATAGAGGGTAGCGGATCTGAAAGCATGCTTAGCACTTCAACAGATGCAACCAGCATCTCTCGTGATTCAGCAACTGCTGATGGCGCCTCACTTCGAGCTCAATCGTTTGCTAGTGTCAGTGCAGCAAAAACTCCAGTCAACAAAGATAAAAATCTGCATAGTCAAATTGAAGATCTTTTGATGGCGCTAAGTGAGATGCAGCGAGATCATGCTATACTTGCCACAGAATTGCAAAGAGAGAGGGAGGAACGCGAAGAAGATAGGACTGCTGTGCAGCCGTTGATTGATGCATTAAGGAAGACAACTAGTGGGGAAGCAGTGGAAAGCTCTGAAAGCGATGTCAGTGTTGAAACAGTGAAGGGAATGGATGTAATTGCAGAGGAAGCGAGTCTAGATGGAGTACCCAGAGATGAGGAGCTGGCGACACCCGACCTTGTTGACGAGTCGGAGATTAATGAAGTCACCGCTCTCCCGGTCATTACCGACGATATTTCCAATCTACTTGATATTGTGGAGGAACGTTTCCAAAATCCCGTCGAGAATCGCAGATCTTCTATGATGTTGACAAGATCTCAACTTCGGGAAGAGCTCGATCGATCGAAAGAACAGATCCTCATTGAGACATCGAGGTCTCAGGAATTGAGCAGGCGTATTGTTGAACAAGACCAAGAAATCAGTAATTTGCGAGATCAAATCAGGGAAACTCAAGCTCATGTTCGAAATTCACATCAAGATAGACAACGATTAGAGAAACAAGTATATGATTTGCGAAATTCAAGGAAGAGTGCCCAGTCGACACCGGATGGTTCAAGAGATCATGAAATTGAGTGGGGTGTCAAAAGTGCAACTACAGGAGGACTTCGAGAGTTGAAACTTGTTCGCTCAAATTCCAATCGTTCGGTGGCCACAACTTACAATAAACGAAGTTCAAGCCTTATATCTCCGCAGAATCTCAAAGAGAATGAAAACTTCCGCGCTTCTACATCGTCTGACCAGCAGCGGTCTTCCAAGGAAGACGTAGATTCTGATTCACTGGTTCTTGAACTTGTACAAGCAAAGACCGCTGAAGCGGTTGCTAAACAAGAAGCAGAAGAAGCCAAGCTCAAATTAGAGAGCTTGAAGAAGATGTTGGCTGGCTTACAAAATGGTGAAATGCCAACCGCGGGTTTTGGACATTCGTCCAAACCTAGTCTTGATAGGTCGATGACAACTATACCTGCCAAAAGTACTGTTCCCAAGATTGAAACACCAAATGCGCCAGCTAGTGTGCCCGCTACACCAGCACCAGCTAGCGGTGGTGGATTCTGGGGTTGGGGAAAGAAAGCTGCTGTTAGCACTGAGGGAAAATAGATGTTCATTGATATCAAGGTTTCTTGGTGTGGATGTTTGAGATGTTGGGATATTGGCATATGATACGTGTTGTTTAAAGCATTGGGGGATATGAAGGATGGGAAGAACTGATGAGAAGGAACTGAACAATTGCAGGAGGTTCCTTTTTCTTTTGCTTAAGCTTATTTGCTTATTATTGTTTGTACTTGCTTTTGCCCTTTTGGTACATTTCTTCGACGCGATTTTTTGACTTTACAAGCAAAATACCCGAGAGTGCGTGGCCTCACGTAGATGGCTCTTTTTATATCAGAGGGGGCTTGCGGATGTAGATTTATTGTTTATTGGTGAAAGCGGGGGTTGGGTGTTTATAGAAAGGATTTGGGGCTCTGAGATTAGGAGTGAGGGGGGGTAAGAGAGGGCATTTTGCGTGGGATGTGTGGATAGTGTATGTTTGGTGTAGGTGGGGAGGTTTAGGGATGTAAGAAAAGGAGAGGGGGAAAGACTTGATAGGCGAGGACTGGGTGAGGATGGATAGAGTGAAAGAAAGATAGGAATGGAATGCAATGAAATGGAGATGAATTCTACATGATTGTTTTGCTTCGATGTTATGTTGTGATGTGATTTGATGTGAAATGTTCTTGTCTTGTTTACGTCCTGGATTTATATTATACGTATGTATGTATGTATGTATGTATGTATGTATGTATGCTTTCTGTTTGAGATGAATAGGTATACATAGTAGATGTATGAATAGGTAAGATGTGGAACTTCGTTACTTTAGGACTTGGTTCTTTCATTTTGGAGGTGGATGGGATGGGATGGGTTGGAGTGGGTGGATGGGTAGAGAGAGTAAATAGAGAGGTGGATAGAGAGGGTTCTCGATGTGTCTATGGATGGTATTGGGTGATGGGCGGGGAATGGGGGACGAGCGAGAATCTCAGATGGGATGGATTGAAATTGGGGGGGTGTGGGTAAGGGGTATGTATTAGAAGCTTGATGCATGGATGGAGAGATGGAGTGGAGTTGGATTGAGATTGGGGTATGTGGTGAGGGGATTTGCACTGGGGTGAGAGGAGTGGGAATGTAGAGAGGTGGAGGGAGGTGGGCGGTGAGATGAGATGAGATGAGATGATGGAAAGATTGGGTAGGGTATGAGATGGATTAATTGGTTGTTTCGATGGGAACTTGGGGGGGAGATGTGTAAGGTGGTTATAGTTTATTTTGGGATCTTTTCGGACGAGAGATAGGGGAAATGGAGAAGATGGTATGGATGAGATTAGATCTTTGGGGGTGTCTTGTGTAGCTGGAAGTAGATTTCTGTTTGGCTAATCAATGAATGGGCGATTTTGAGGGAACAAATATGAACAGAGGGGAGTTAGTGATGTGCGACATGTTGAGAAAGTAGTGGAGTGAAGGCCAGACGAGTGGGTAGAGGAAAGATGGATGGATGAATGAGAATGGTGTTTTGGGATGAAGTTCAGTAGGAAGAAGGAAAGAGACTGACGATATTTCTTCAGTTAATATTAAGAAAGAAGTTGAGATTTTACCGGAAGCCCGAATTGGCAAGCGGAAAAAGTATTTGGCAGGACGTATAACCCCGTCTCTTTACGCTAGTCACATGCAAAGTGTTCTCTCGCTGAAATGCTTTCCAAATTTAGCTTCCATGACATCATAATTTCACGCACATCCACGGGATAAATTTTTGGTTCGGGGAATGTAGATAGTTATGTGCATTGACTGCTTCAATTGCATTATGAATAGAAGTATCGCTAATTAACCTATCATATCAATTTCCAACTCCATCTTCGAAAAATCCCATATTCCCAGATTCCCTAAGCCTTTACGAATTATTCAAATAGAGGTATCCTAAACCATTATTTCATATACATTTGACATACCAAAACTCCGAATTATCCCCAAAATCATGCTATATTAGATAGAATTCCAGCACCTCAAAACTAACTCTATTTCAAATTAAATTTCACTACCGATCTCCTACTGGATTCGTTGCGGTGCAAGTGCAACTCTCGCAGGTTTTAGAGGCATCATTGGAGAAGTGGTAGCAGTAGTGACGTTATTGGTAGTAGCATCATCTTCTTTTTCGGAATCAGAAGAATTGGCTTCGAGATCGTAGGCATCGGCGTTGGAAAATCGCTTGCGGTTTAAGATGCGGCCGATCGTTATGATGAGGGATAGGATGATGATTGGAGTGATGGTTAGGGTGACGCCGAGGTGGGCGTACATTTTGCGGATGGGGGGTGGGTATTTTTGAGTGTAGTGATTTTGTGGTTGTTGGGTCGAAGTCCGTGGGAGATTGGGATGTGGTTCTGTGGATTTTCGGTCGGGTTATGGTGTTCTTTCTCTGATGAGGAACTTGTATGGAGAGAAATTAACGAGAGATTGCTTGTCTGGAGGTCGATTTATGAGCTGTAATTGACGAGAAGATGGATTCCTTGAAATGCGTATTGAGATTTCTTTCTTTGGATATTCGAACTTGTGAAATGATTTTCAATGGAGAGGAAGTTTTTTTCCAAGGGAATGAAAGACTCCAGCTCTTATATATAATTGATATTTAGAGTTTGTGGGTGAGCTAAATGGCGAGCTAGAGTTAGTGAGGCTGCTAACTCCATCTATGATTGGGCAAAATGAGGTCCTTAGGCTTTTAGGATATTCTTCAACGTTGAATTGGCTACTAGGCATTTGGGTTGTCTTTTTTATTCTAATTCGAAACCGACTAAGCTCGATGAATCTAGCTCATCGGTCTCGTGAATCGTACTGATGATCAGTCGCATGAAGTTTTCCGTCAATGGGGTCAAGATGTATTCGTAGAAGCACAAATACAATTGCGTTATAAATTAAAACATGATAGCGAAAAGACTTTCATGAGTCTGGCAATGTCCACTACGTTCAGCCTCCTTGCGATGTGATTATGTTAGACGCTCAGAGGTCTTGACGTATGGTACGAGACCTTTTAACTATTTGACTTTCGGAAAAGATCCGTTGAAAACAACACTCGAGATGATGATAACCACAAGCTTCTGAGTTCCATAAAGTTCTGGAGTATTTTTGAGGTAGGAGATACATAAAAGTCTTTGGTTAGGGCACAGAGTAAAATGAAACCCAACACTATAATGTTACACTTTCAGTATTAATGATGATAAACGGGCCCTAGAATGAAGAAATCAAAGTCTGGGAGAAAGAACTGTTTGTAGGTATGTAACAGATATGACATGGAACAAGAAGCTTTTGACATGCAGTGATGAGTAATGAAATACGCGTAGTACCCCAGATTCCCCAGATATTTTGAAGCTTGGCATGCTTTTAACATTGTGCAATTTGGAACAGTGCCCCCAACTTCTTGAGACGTTCGAATAAAGAGTAGAAGAGTACATCCATAGTACCCAAGCCAGCTCTCACACTATTGAGGACCTCCAAAGATATGGTAAGCGTGCTCCTCTAATTAGCGCGGGCAAGGACTGGTAAGCTCACGAAAAATACCACACGCACTGGCGTCGGCATCAGCGTCAAGTAAAATGGGAATTGCTCCTCTTGACTGTAACTTGGAATGGAAATGCAACCTTTCAATGAGAGCGGTCGACACGTTGATGTATCGCGACTTACGGTGTGAGATACGGTCGTTCGTCGTCCTGTCGTTGCAGGGGCTGGATTGCCCCACTGTATGAACGATGCTTTGTCATCCAAATTCCAACCTCATCTGTTACACAACATCCATGAAGAATCGTAGAATGTCGCTAATAAACGCTTTCATGAACTAATTATGGATTGAAATATTGGATATATTGATCTTTTTGATAAGAATGCTCAAGTCCTCTTGGAAAATGCGGCTCAATTGTACACCTTCTCGTTGACGAGAGCTATTTGATGTGCTCCAGTCATGTCACTTGGGAAGCTGTGATTCCGCGTGTAAGGTAGTATGAGAAATGTCGAAGCGAAAAGGGGTGGAAAGCAATTCTTCTAGAAGGGCTGTCAAGTGACAAGAGTTGATCTGGTGACTGTTCCGAAGCTTGTTCGCAGACCAGTGTTTGCTCTTAAAAACAAATTCCAAATTCTAAAATATACCTTTTTCAAGTCCAACTTTGCATCTCGACAGATGTATACTCAAAACTTCTCATTCTAATTGTACTGGCTATATAAATAAGCATGCCCGGTCTTTTCAAACATTACCAGTGTAATGACCAGTGTCAGATATTTGTCTCTCGCATGAACATGCAATCACTCGAAGCATAGTGGACTAGTATCGCACTTTCGGTGCTCTCGACGAACATTAGTGGTGGGAGAAACTTGACTATTGAGGAAATTATTACACTATCTATAAAGCCCCAAATCTCGCAATGATTTGTACACTTTCTTTCCACCATTTGCCATCACAGAGCTTCATGCTTGCTTGGGCTTCCCAAGAAGATACATCTCGAATTTTCGATTCGGTTCCTCAATTCTGTCTTATCAGATATTCGAAAACTTCCAGTGTGTCTTGGTGTTCGTAAGTCTGTGCTCTCCTGGGGGGGTGAAAGGTCGAGTGAATTAACTCTTCAGTCAAGTAGACAGGATCATATGCATCATCTCGATCCCAACCTCTCTTTGCAAGTGTCCGAACCGGGGAATTGACTATTACCGATAAACCCCGACCTCGGGACCCTATTGTTGAATGCTCAGCCACTGACCGGGATGAAAAGGAGTGAATGAATAACCAAAAACCTTGGGGCTCGGCACAGAAAAGGCTTGCTATTTTATGATTGACTGACTACAGCCCTTTTACGTATGCTTTTCTTGGGGGTATCGAAGTGCAATAATGTAAGGTTGGCCTTGGTTTTGCTTAAGAGATCATGTGGAGTATTAGGGCAGAAGAAGTAGGAGCGATGGGCTGGTATCGAGGTAGAGTAGAGACCGAAAAGTGAGAGAGTATGAAACGGAACTCTTTTGATGAATTTATTTTTCAAGCATGGCAAGTCACATAGATAATTTAATACAAAAGGCATTTGATATATTCTAATTCTCTGGCTGTGTTGAAGATCCATAACTTTGCCTTCTTCCAATCTTCTTTCCATGCTCATATTGATTGACTTGCTTTGATATTGTACATCCACGTGGGCAGCATGTTCTAATGAAAACAATGGAAGTACTAACTTGATATCTAATTTACCTCCGCATCTTGAACTTGAAAATACTCTATGGTAAATGCCGCTCTATTCGGAATACCTCGGACATCGACTTAACATAGCCAATTAAAAAGTTACTTGCTCTAATCTAATATCACAAGGCGGGGGACCAATTCACTTTCGCGGCAGGTGCCATCTCTTGTTTATCCTTAGCGTGGAAATTTTGGAAATCCTGTTGCGAGGCATGGACTAGTATTTCGCATTCGCATAGCAACCATCTCCCCGTCTTTCCTCTCACAAACCAAACCACCTCAACCACCAAAATATCCTCAAATATTACTTTCAAGTCAACATTTCTTTGATTTCAATACTTTCTCAATACCTTCTTCAATAACAAATCTCTTTCTGGTCTTTCCATTAAGATCGAAGACAACGCGACGGGTCACTTCAGTGGCTCGTCGCGGTTGTGCTCAACCTCTCTGAGCCTTCAATATCTGTCTTTCTGTTCATCAAAAGTCTGTCGAAGAAGAACGTTACTCAATCAAAGATCTTATCACCATAGTATACCTCACACTGCTACGTAAGTCTTGCTATACACGAACTAAGTGTATTTCTGTTTGATTCCTGACAATTCTCTCCGTAGTCGACGTCCGTTCAAAATGCTCCAATCTGCCATACCAGCAGATCGGCATTTTTGTCAGTATGCAATCAAGTCTGTTGTCTCATTAGATATCAGTCAAGCTCTCTTCACATAGTTCTTATGGTACAGTCTTCTTTTCTTACCGATCTTGTCTTTGTGCCATTACTGACGCCTGCCATGCAGTCATCCTCAAAGCGCGCTCTTCCAAGAAATACCTTCGATTCACCTCAACAGTCTTAATCTGTTAGAGAACGATCATATCTTTCATCCTTTTTGGGAACCTCTTCTCTCAAGCGTTCTCTTCGAAAAAAGAAAAGCTTCGACTCACCTCAACGATCTCCATCTGTCAGGAAGAAAAATCACACTTTTCATCCTTTCGTCCCGGTGTCATCTTTTCTCCTCTGTAATTAGTAGTAATGTGAGTACTGGTACTGTTTCATCTTTATTCGATTACTGACTTTCATGCCACAGTTTCGTTCCTCTGTGTACTCGACTGCGGAGTTGTCACACCATGACGACACCAATCAATCACTCGATTCATTCACGCGTGCCCTTCACCATGCTCACCATCTATCTTGCTGCGAGCTTCAAGAGTGAGGGTCAATATGGCCTTACACTATTCTGCAAAGGATGCACCCGTGTCTTTCAACTATCTCTCTTCATACATACCTCAAACACTTTTCGATCCTTCGGCGCTGTCTATTTCAATTGGTAAGGCTACATCTTCATCAAAATCTAGTCATGTTGCTAACAGATTATGAGACACGATAGTGACCTGGAAGTCAGAGGAGCGAAGTGTGATGACGAGAATCATGGTAGATCTCTAATACTTCGACTCCTAGCGGTGGATCTTCTTCAATTCGAATCGAGTCTCATCGACTCTGCGAGCATCAATTCAATCTTATGCAAAAGCGCAAAGTGTCTCCTCTTCGAATTCTCTTTACAAGATACCTCGCCGTCACCTCTTACGACCTCAGAGTTGTCTGATACACTTGGCTATAGTACCTCTGCTTTACACAGCCACTGCTTTCTCAAGCACTGCATCTTCCCTGAATCTTCAGACCATGTTTCAACAACTGTCAAGGGAACAATTCTGAGGTCACTCCTCATCTTGGGCCTGCTTCGAGGGCTGAATCAATTACACCTCACTGTCACCGAATCAATATTGAGGAATCTACATCAAGATATCAATACTATCAATTCAACATTGAAAATTCAATTCAAACCAAACTTGATTGTTTCATTACTTTCAATGACAGCTACAGCCCTCGAAGCAAAGCTCTCCAACTACCTTTCTCGACAATCGTTCTCGACAACTGTTTCCTTTTCGTATTTAGATAGCTTGTGCTCTTGTTTTCTGTGTGGGGATTGGTGTGTGCTGAGTAGCACGCGCCATCTGAGTAGCATTCCCTTTCGGGACAATGACTACTGGGACTTGTAGCTAGAGCGGCTTAGTAGCCAATCTGAATGTCCAGTGGAGATTGCTATTTCTGACGTGTTTGCACCCATCTCGGTGGTGTAAGAGAGGCTTGGTGTTGGGTCGCGAGTAGGTTCTATCGGCGGCGGAAGCTCATTACTTGCCAACTATTCGGTGGCTGGTTATTCAGTATGTATGGGTTTGTTGAACTTTTTAGATACGTCTATCTTGGGAGCAGCGTACAGCTGCTCCCCGCATTTCAATGGTACGTTGCTTAGTGCTCCTCCCCTGTCCCCCATTCCCCAACAAAATTAACACGATGCTGATACTCCAAGCCGTCCAAAGATTCATCTACAGTGGGGAAACTGTCGTATAGCAAGCCAGCTTGCCGAGTTCACTAAAACGTTATTTCAGTTGAGCACAAGAGCTTGTGTATTTCAAAGACTTCTGCTCTATGAATACTTCCAGTACAACTGTTCCACGATTTATCGTGGTGCAAGTAAACCGTACAGTATTTTAAAGGGCTGCTACTCTGCGAACGCTTCCAGTACAACTGTTTCAAGACTCGTTGTGATGCAAGTAAACCGTACAGTGTCCAAAGACTTCTGTTCTATGAATACTTCCAGTACGACTGTTCCACGATTTATCGTGGTGCGAGTAAACCGTACAGTATTTTAAAGGGCTGCTACTCTACAGACGCTTCCAGTACGACTGTATCATAGCAGGTTTCGATGCAAGTAAACCGTACAGCCACAAGCTCCGAATCTCATCATTACAGAAAGCTGTGTCTTACCGCATTAGTTTTACCTGTAGAGAGAAATGCAAGAAAATATAGTCAGATGGGATTTTTCCCTGAAAGCTATATCGGTATTCATTTCACTGACTTGCGCAAGTGTACGTTGACGCTCGATGGTGATGGTTGAGCCAAGTGACGGCCAGCGACGTGTATGCGGCTTATGGTTCTGTTTGTGTCTTTGTTGTTTCTTGATCGTAAGTTTGTGATAAGTTGAAGATCTGTGTGGGCGTTGGCTTTATGAACCGATGGTTCAGATCTGCTTGCAACATTAGCACTTTATTTCCGTGAATTAGAGATCATTGTGGGGACTTTGGATTTTGTGGGGTGTCGGCTTTTGTGGGTGTTGGCTACGGTCTTTCGTTCTTCGGAACTTAATTTCTCGATCTCTAATTCTAAAGAAATGTCGTGTGTTGTGGGCTTGATCTTGTGGGCTTTGGAGGAAATACCGTACCTTGGTTGTTACTTGTGACCTATTGATATTTGAAAGCGCAGTCCATTCGTGGAACCTCCTCAGAATATCACAGGCGCAAGGGAAACAGATCTTCGACTCAACTCTCACATTCTAACTTTCTATGGGCTTCAATAATCATCCAGTAACATACTCCAATGCACATAGCTCCATCCATTACGACGGCGTGATCCACGTCTATCGCATTTGATCTTAGAACTACTGGTGCTGGCTTGCTGAGTGTGCGATAAATCCCGTTTTATCGTATGCGACGATGCTCGACAGTGCCTTATAGGACTTTGATCTTTTGTACGGGCTGATAGTGGTAGGGAGATAACGTGCGGAGAAAGGAAGATCTTGGATCGTGGACAGTGTCCCGGTCAACGAGATCCTAGCCTGACTCATGATTGTAGATGCTTGCATCTCTCACGAGGACCGCATCGTCTTTGACGGTGCGGCTTGCAGGAATACTAGTGAGCTTTCCAAGTTTCTAGCTGGACTCATGTTCTATGAGGAGCCCTCACATGGTTGGGAGAGCAATCCCTGGCTGTGCGGCTTGCCGGGTACTAGGTCATTTTTGACGCTTGGATTTTCTTCTGGACAATGATGCCGTTATCGATCTTCACTAAATATTCAGTTGGTGCGGGCAGGAGTCTAGCAATGTGTCTTGTCACCGGGGCAAGATATAACGCGAAGCTCATCAAAACTACTCGCAAGAGTTGTTGATGGCATTGCTGAGCAATATGGAAAGCTACCCAGAACAAGGTACATAGGTGAATAGTAAGGTGTTGCCCAATGAAGGAGATACTGCATATCCAACAACCTTCTTGGACTGGTCACTGCCTGAGTGTGGAGACACCTCATGGGGTTAGATTTAGTTCCTGATTGTTGTCATGTCTTCTGAGGGCGCTTACTGTTTAGTCAAATACTGTATACCTGGATACTGGTTGCAGATATTTCCACCTACTTTGTTTCTCGGAGTAACGGGGTGCTGTGGGTATAGTGAATTGTCTGTATGAGGAGAATTCCGAAGGCACATCCTCAGGTATACCCACCCTGTTGCGCAGCGTAAGTCTTCTCCTAGCGATGATGCGTGTTATGAGTCCAAAGCGCGGGCTCAGCAACTCTTCCCGGATTGGGAGAATCTTATCTTTTAAGTTCAGTCACTTCCACCTGGCATTTACAGTGAAGGTAGAAAGCATGGCGTGGGTGAAAGTCTTGTGCCATTGTTCTGCGTGGGGGCTTTGAGAGGCTAATTGGTAGTTACCTTTCTATCCACCATTTCCGGTTTTACCTTAGCGGGTTCTACCGTGGGTGTAGCTGCAGTGGAGTTGTTCGGCGTCTACCCGCCCCTGGGGGTGTACAAATGGACGTGCTGAGGCTTTACTTCTCAGTCCACTCAGGGATTTCGTTGTTCAACCACCGGGCACTGAGACGAAATTAGGGCAGCAGACTAGTCTGTTCGTGTTGTTCGGCCAATCGATGTGCGGAGTCGTGTCGGCGCTGAGGCATTGTCCGTCCTGTTAAAAAGCAACGAACTTTGGTGACGTGGTTCTTATGGCATTTTTCGTTGAGGGGACTCTTAAATTGTGCTACTGTCTAGGTGTGGAGACACCCTAGAGGTTAAGTTTCAATTCATAAGTTTTTCCGACGCGGGATTTGTTACTGCATTGATGGTGAATGACCTGTGTCATACCGGAGTAGCCGTCTCTTCGTCTTGTTTCGTTCCGACCTGCCATTCGGCGCTGAACTGCGGCAGCGATGCCCAAGGAGGGGACTGCTTGTGGGGAGGTAATGTTTGGTGGAAGATTCTTGCGGGTAACTTCCATGTCCGAAGATTGGTCTCGAATTCCAGAAGTCGGCGATCTCATTTGAGGACCTTGTTGAGACTCCTTCGGGGGACTCTGATAGGTTCCTCTTGAGGTTGTTGGCTGACGGGAGGAGACGCTGGTCCTAGGCTTGGGAGAGATCCTATGATCCGTTGTTCGGTCACTTCGGTGATGCTGAGGCGGGGATGGTGAACTTGCGTTTTGACCTGTTGCTCGGTCTTCTGATCGTCGAAAGCTCAGATGAGGTTTCCTGTGGGCTCAACGAGTTGTTCGCCGGGTCACCTTCGGGTGACCCATAGGACGGCTCCGCGAGTTCTAATGGTTTCCTCTTGCCAATCCGACTGAGTTTCTCACCGAGTTGTTCAACGAGTTGCCTTCGGGCGACTCACCGGACTTCTCAACGAGATCTCGACTGGGGCGGTAGAGATCTCTGACGGGTTCCTTCGGGTTCCCTGATGAGATTTTCTCTGGGCTGGGACTGAGGTTTCTTAGGTGAAGTTCATGTTGATTTCCAGAGTTGCTCATAGAGCCGCCTTCGGGTGATTCGCCGAGCTTCTTTGCGATTCCTGATTGTTCTTCTTGCTACACCGACTGAGAGTCCAACGAGTCGTCTAACGAGCTGCCCTCGGGTGGTTCACCGGACTTCTCCGCGGGTTTCTCTACTGGAGTAGCGTGAGGTCTTCTGATTGGACCCTTCGGGTTCCTTGATGAGGCCTCTAGAGATCCCTCGATAACTTTCAGTTGATGCTGAGGCAGTAGTGAGAAAACTCAGTGACGGAGTTTCAAGGGGGCTTGTGGAAGACTTCGGTCTGAAGCAGGTTTTCTGATTGGTTTATCTTACTGTCCAGTGATACCTTGGGCTCAGGTGGCTTTCTCTACGGAGTTTGTTGCGCTGCGCCGGGGTCGTGGGCGGGACGTGCGGCCTTTCATGTTACCGAGTCAGCGGTGACTGGGCGGCCGGGTAGGACAGCGCTTTTGAGGTCTTCGGATCTTGTCGGTGTTGCACCGCCTGTTCGTTCTGATCCGTTAGAGAGGTCTTGCACCGTCGTTTTGGGTACTTACACTGACGATTTAGTATTGATTCGCTGTTCAGGATGATTGGTGAAACGCACTCATGCTACGCTAGTTCTGGTAGTTGGCGTCCCGAAAGGGTTTGCTACGAAGATGGTGTCGTTGCTTACTTGGGGGTTTGCTGCTTGCTGCGGTGGATATGCTGCTTGGATGGATGGATGGACCTAGCGGTATTGGTAGATGGATCTGGTAGATGATTCGGGATTCGCTCGGAGGACCTCCTTAGCTTGTCGGTGCCATTATTCGAAAGTTGAAGAGCTTGAACTACAACTCTCACCGAATATTCAATTTGACGTAACAGTCACCACCTAAATAAGAAGTTAATCAGAACGACAATTAGAAAATCAATCAATACCTCAATCAAAACGACAATTCACGACATCATCAACATGACAAGAAAAGCACAGCTCAACTGTGGCAGGAACTATCAACTGCTCCACCGACATGCTTCTTTCAAAACTCACAACACATTCAATTTGACATAGGCTTGGTATGGGAGGAATTTTGGCGTGGAGGTTACTTTGTATTCATATTTTTTTGTATTAGTAGAGATTGGCAGCAGCAGCAAGACTCGAGCACTTTAGATAGATAGAGAGATGGTGGCAGCACCCTCGTCATTTCCTGTAGACTTCATCCTTCTGGCATATATTGCCTTGTTTACTTAATGGAATACCTTCTCTCAACTTGACTTCTTTATAATCTGTGACGTGAGTCTTTGATATTGTAGACTGATAATTTGTGGTAAGAGCCCATTGATAGCTCTCTCCACGTTTACATTCGTACTTAGCGAAAAGATCTTAAGGCGGGGTTCGGATTCATACTTGCATTATGCATGCAGCTTCCCTGACATTTTCGTATATCTACATCTTTCCGCGATTGAGATAACGTACAGAGACTTTCGGGCGGGAAACATTATTGAACACCTCTATGGCTCTTTACATGTTGTCTTTGAGATTGTCACCCTTCCTACCAGTTTTTTCTTCTTAGCCCTCTTCACGGAAATTAACAGCGTTTTGGGAACGCCCACATTTCTCACATGAGCTTCACTTGTGACTTTAAATTTATTAGACATTTTAATTTCCGTTTTCGGTTGTGGTTTCTAAATCTTGGTGGATTGATGACCACCAAATTTTCAGAAGTTCATAGGTTACATACGACAGAAAACGGGGAAGTTATTTAGATATGATGACAATTCTCCGATTCTCAGTCCACATCACATGCGAAAAGAATTTTTCGTACTCTCGTCGTCATGTTCAAGCTTGACTCTCAAGATCGATAGTTTCTTGAGCGCTTGTTCCCCTCATAAAGAATACCGGATTCGAATATGACAAGGGGAAAATCTCGGATCCCAGATCCGTACTCCAAAATTGATCGATCGTAAATATGGATTGGATCAGTAGATGATTTAAGTAATACACTTCATACAAATGCTTTAAACGCTGCACTTTTGATTCATTACTTATCTTGTGACCGAATAAGTATTGTTCAAACATATTCACGAATGCAGTATTCGGAGGTGACTTATTGTGATCTTTCGGACCAAGTCTCGGAAGACCAAAATTTGAACGCCGTTGTTGAGGACTTTGATTCCAAATGTCAAGCACTAATACTTGTTAGTAAGAATACACTGCATCTTGAAGAACGTAGAAGGTGGTCTTCCAGTAAATTCTGCCCAGCGCTCGTGAATCAAAACTTCTCATACATGTATTCCTAACAGACGAGTCCGAGAAGGCTGATTCGAACATGCGAGATAGTTTTGGAGCTATAGATGATACCTTGATGGAATCAGGAACTCGAATATCTCACGTACCGAACTTGCATGGGCGGGTATGGAATTGTTGTTCGAAATTTCTGGCTGGAGAAGAGAAGAATGACAATGCGCTCCAAAGGGATCAGTGACGGTCTTGTGTTCTAGATCGCAGCGTCCTGTTTGGATACATCCGGCGTTCAACCAAGCTTTGACTTGACTGTGGGCGTTAAGAACTTGTATACTTCACTAGATGTAAGCCATCCCGGCACATGGATTTTGAAGGGTACACAAGGTCCTGAATTAGCTCCAGAATTTTTCTGTCATGTCCTTGAAGCTACACATATTAAGACCATAAGAGTACTCACAAATATTTACTGACTTTACGCCATGTTCATCGGTCACAAGAAGGCAGTATTTGTAGTACACCGGAATTAGCACCCAAAAATCAACTCCGCCGATTTATATTCGTAGCTTTGATATGTGAATGACTTAACCACTTTCTTTCATTATGATGCTCCACAGGCATTTGTTGTTATCACCAGGGTGGAAGATTGATTCAGATCACTGCAATGAGTTGAGGTATGCTAGAATTTGGGTCATTTGATACCTTATTCGGCTGAATTCTGAGGTCGTCCATCTGATATGCTCGGAATCTTGGGTAAGCGATCTACCTAAAACTGAGCTCACTTTCCCTACCTAATTTGATCGAGCAGACAGAAAGCACATTTGTCCGATGCGTCTGTGCCGATCGTAGAGATCCTCCGAAGACAGAATGGCGTGAACTATAGAAGTGTGTTCTGTAACGGAAGATCCTATGGGAGAATGCGTGGCCGGAGAATCTATCAGGGAAGGGTATACTGAGAAGTAAAAACCAACTCAACTTCTCTTTTGAAATTTAACCTTCGCTGTAGAGTTGCGTGAGTATCAAATGTTTGAACGTAGTAAAATTCATGCAGCTAGGTTGATATTGAGAAAAATCAAGTAGAATTTAAATTACTCACAAATCCAAAGAAATCGTTTCATCACCGCCCTCAAAAAAGTACATCATCCTAAAATGACAACTTTATCTGGTTGTAGCAAGGCCGGAAGGTTTGCCACATTCCTTATTTTGAAGGTCTTACTGAGAAGATATGATTTAATAAGTAATCTGCTTTCTTCTCGAAAAATAAGGTTATTTTCTTTGGTGGGATGATCTTTTGAGGTCTTGATGAACTCCACATGAAACCCCCAAACTCTGATCACTTGTTCTTCCAGACATATAAGCTTTCATTATACGCACCTCATATTTATTTTTAGCTTAAATCATCTGGAAATTCACGGTTTTATAGTCTACCCTCTTGAGAGACACTCAAAGTAAGAGTTACAGCTAAAATAGTTCTTGAACTGAGAAGGGTGATCTGAACTCAACATCAAGTAAACATACCAGAGTCAGACACTCAATCGCTCATAACTTCCACAAAACTTAACTTTTCAACTTTTTTACTTCAATGATAAGGTCCCCAAAGCTTACTCTACCAGCCATCCAAAAATTGTCTCAAACGACAACTTTTGCATTTTCGTTGTGATTTCAACTTTTCTTTCAAAAAAGGAAAAGTTGATTGAAATTCGAAAATCAACTATTTCTGACGTGCAACAAAATTCTGCAAAGCCCGAAGTGGTCCCGAAGTCCCGTGAAAGTCACGAGCAGCAATGCTGGTTGGTTGAATGATAAGGTTGTAGAGAGGCCCGAGCTTCAGAGCAAGATACCTAAGTAAACAAGAACTTCTGTAAACCTGACAAAAACAACCTTTGTTGGTTCATGATACTACGCAAAGCAACAAGTTCTAGAGTTCAGGATTCAGACTAATCTTTGAATGCTTGAATGAAGGCATAATTTGGCATCAAAGGAATCTCTAAAATCTTGATGCCCTATTCAAGACTCTCTTTCTCAGCAAGTGCAATCAACAAAGAGAATGTGTGAAAGCGTTCCCATTGAAAATATTTCTTGAGAATTGATTAGAATCATCCAACCAGAAAAGACTGGGATAAGGTGTAAGAAAAAAAAACGACAAAGCTCAGAAGCATGAGAAGTTGCCTCATTTTGTAGAGAAAATGGAAATAACTCATCTGTACAAGTCCAGCTATAGGGATGTCTCTCAAAATTTCACCCACCACCTTATCAGTGAACTCATGACTTCCGTCATTTCAAAGTACCAGCAAGTCCTACTTTAGACAGGCTGAGTCTCTATCTGCTCGTTGCTTGTCTATTGACCAGAAGCCCTTGGGACTGGATGAACAAGGTTCAACTAGCCTTATGGAATTTCATGGATGTGAAGCCCTTTGCACGTGCCAGACTCGTGACCTGTTTGAATTCCTAATCCAAATTATGATCAGCCAGAAATGTCTATCCTCGGAGACCAAAATTACCTGATGGATTTCAATATCTAACCATTTTTGTATATTTTGCATATTTTTTCGACGAATGATCCAGAGTATACAGAATGTATGCATGAATGTAGTTGGTGCAAAGCTCAGGGGCTCATTCGCTTAACTTCTTGGACTTTTTGAGCTTTGAGGTAGCCAAATATCTTGTTTCTTTTCCCAAGACAACAGAATACCAAAAAAATTTCATACTTTGTTGTATATGATAATTTCGATTTGGATGGTGTACGGTCTCCACTTAAAGAATGTTTTACCAACAATTTCAGGAAAACTCAATGCCAACAATGCCCTCGAGCACACAAAGAGTGTGTATTGGGTGTGAAGGAAAGACTTAGACCTGAATATAAGAGAAGCGTCAAGAGATGGCCCTTTCACATCTTCGAAAAAGTATATGAACGGCCAATTCTGATCGGATGCTTCTTCAATCTCAACTTCTAAGCTGGTGGCAGCATTGAGCTTCGAGTTTCTACTCGAAGCCCTGCACATTTCGAATTGAAAGTGGCATCGAAGTATGCATTCATTGCTCAATGGACCGAGACACGTATATTGCGGATTACTTTGCTAAAGCGGTAGGAAGGGACGCCGTCTTAATGCGTATGTCAAGAGACGATGTTCGTGTAATTTATCTCGATGCGCATCTCAAGAAGCTCGATACCCTCTCCATCTCCGAAGTCCAACCCCGTTGTATTATTATATTTCCGACCACTTGTATCATTTTATCTTCCACTTCTTGGTGGCAAGCACGTTCGGTCTTCATCTATGGGTGTTTCCTGTTCAAGTGCTTCGTTCCAGTGCGTGTCTTCCAAGACGCCGCGCCTTCACCAATGTGTGTTTTTCGTCGTGCCATTCGAAGGGGATGACAAGGTGGTTCTTGGTCGATACAAGGTCTTGGATAATGTCTAAGGAAATCATGAATTAGCCATGGTAATTACGATAATTTCAATAGAGCTTAGAAAACTATCACGATGAAGTGGTTGTTCAAATCTTTTGTTGGGGATAAGTCATGAACGCGTTCGTGAATTGTGGATGTCGGAGGAAGTTTTCCATTATCTTGTGCACAAACTTGGATACGAAAGCTCGGATGCACCAAAACGTCGATGCTCGGTCAAATAACGGATTGTTTAACAGGAATCTTCAACTGGCTCCATTAAATCGCTTAAATTCAGATATGCAACAATTGCAAACACACTCTGCGCAGACCAATAAGAAAATTGAGCTGTATGGAAAGCATGATGTAGCCTGCTACAGACGGGGAGGCTTAGTAGCATTCGTCATTAGCGCCAGCTGAAGCTGAGATGGCTGTTCTTGAATAAACATATTTTAAGATTGATTACGGAATGTAGCTTTATATTCCATATGCAGTGTAAACTATAGCGTTCTATATGAAAATTGCAATGCCTCTGTCACTTAGTATTTGGATCATTAAATGCAGGACCTCGAACATCTAGCAAATCTATCGAGAAAAGAACAAGTTGATGACGGAACTTCTCAGAAGTCTTTTGAATTCTCCAGAATCAAAGTGTAAAGTCGTGTACCAGTAAGTAATTGAAGTAGAATAAAAATTATGTCCTTGCCGTGCGACCCCAAGGCTATCTTCAAGTGTCTGAGATGGTCTAGATGTTTCAAGGTGTGGTTAAGTGCGACATAGCTTCTCCTCTGTTCTGACAGCTACCTAGGAGGGAGCCGTCTACAGCCGCACCGCTCTAAGACGTGCAACATTGAAAAGCAGGAGGCTGAAACCCCTCCCCCCGCTGGCCATCGATTGGCTCTGCCGGTTGCAAGGCTACTACCAATCAGCCTACCGCTTTGCGACGTGCAACAATAGGCCTCAATAGCAGGAGCTTTCTCTCTTATTGGATGGATATATATTTCTGCCAGACTTATGAACTTCCGTGAGTAGCCTCACCATTTTACGATATGCAACAAGAGGCTGGGATGGAAAACCTCCACCCCCCATTGGAAGTCAATGGTTCATGTCAGGTCTGTCGATCTTAAGAATAGCCTTACCGCTTCACGACATGCAACAAATCACCTGAATAGTAAATGCTCTCCCGCTCAACGGGCGTACTTTCCTTTCTGTGCTTTTTGATAAATGTCTAGATAGATTGCTCAACGGAAATAGTCAAAGTTACGGTAGTCAGATGTAGAAAGCAGGCTAACTTCAGTAGAATCCGATGTGTACAGAATTTGGGGAACTCTAGAATAGATTTGATTATTGCTTGAATATCTCGCACTGCTACACAGTGCTTAAAGAATATCCAATTGCCAGCGCTGTTATCATCTTGTAATGAGCTGCTACAAAACGGGACAATTTGACTGCTGAAGCTGCTCAGATCCAAACTCTCTCCAGATATGCCCATTTATACACTTCGTCCTTCTTTAAGTATTGGCAGATCAGCTATTCAGTAAGAAACAGCTCATCCACCATTCTATTGTTCCTCTTCGAGTCGGCGCGTCGGATGGGTATTTCGTATAGGAAGAATGAGAAAATTCTTCTCAATGCAACAACGGCAGATGTGTATCAGGTCATAACGAAACGGGCCCATGTGTTGTCTTTAAGTTCTCGTTTCTAACTTCAATTATCTTCGCTCCTTTGATGCCCCTTGAGATATGGAGTTGTGACATTAACGTAGAGACCTTTGCCTTGATCTGCGGAGAAGCACAAAAGCTCCAGGTTGTCTCTGGAGTAGTTCAATGCCAAAAGCCCATTGCTTTGTTCCGCAAAGAAGAGATTGTTCCAAACGATGCCTGAGGGGCTCGCACGGCGCTGTTATCATGCCAATATGTAGTTCCAGACTTTGAGCTTCCGTAAACTGTCGACCTGCTCCTGTGTGCTGGAAGCTTGGGGATCAATAAATAGCTCGTGAGGGAAAGGAATTCGTCGCGGATCTGCTGGCGTTTGGTACTTGTATTTTTTGCGATTGAAGAAATAGGATAGCGCATGCGCTTGTCGCATCTGTTGGTGTCATGTTAGTGAAATCTTCTCAGAGGGTTTGCAAGCTTTGAGAACGCCGTATGCGAGGCTCTTCAGGGATGTGGTGTGAGACTTAATCTAGTATCTTCAGAGCCATTTTTCCGTCACAATAGGATGGACTGCTGTTATGGTTTGGCAGAGGCATCCGAGTAAAATCGAAGGATTGCTGTAGCCGGCCGCAAGGAGGGGCCGCTACATGAGCTGCACAACAGAATCACCGCCAGCAACGTCCAAAGAGGTCAGTAATCATGTTCGCTTGAATTCTAGTTGTAGAGGTCTTGAATCGAGTAAAAATAATGGACGAAACCCCTTCCAAACTGCCTTCATTGTCGGCTAAACAAATATTTTCTAGATCAGTGACTTGCCAAATTCATAGCCGCAAGATCTTATCAATGAAGCTGTAGCTTCAGACGAAATATTCAAAAGAGTTTGAGAGTATCAGGTATGGTTGCAGATAGTAATTAGTTCTTTTGGTTCGCAAATAATCGGAGAAAAGGTATGGTGTAGCTTGAGAACGTCTCGAATTGCCATTTTGTGATTGCTCAAAGGTTTCGTAAAGTTCATAAGGTGTGCGCAAGTTTTTATCAAGGAGGTAGTCATCGGTAATCTACAGAAGCGCCAGGGGAGGAGTCAGGAGTCTGGTTTAGGCCGGTTACAGCTTTCGATCACTTCGAATTGGTTTTGTGGTATTCTTTTAAGCTCCCGAAAAGTTCTAAAGTGGTAAGGAAGTTCAGAACAAGTTAATACTCTCGTATAGTATTATAACAGATATCTGCATGATAAAGGTTGAGTTTCTGGTTGTGTTCTAAGTTTGTAGAAGTAATTCAGTTTATTGATAGGGCATCTTTCGATAGGCAATCTCATGCGGCTAGAGGGATGTAGAGTGTGTTTGAGTCAAGGGAACAATTCCCAAATACGATCTGGCAGAGTAGAATACCTAGGATAGAGAATGGAAGTAGTGACTAAGAGTCTTTTACTACTGCTGGGTAGTTGCGCGCAGGGTTTACACTACTTTGAGAATGTTGAGTAGCTTTGGAAGCTTTGAGTAAGACTTTAGCTCTCGACAGCCTCTAGATCTGAGTAGATGAGTGAGATGAAATGCATTAGAGAGTCGTAGGTAGTGTCATACGTTTAGGTAAGTCTCAGGGTGTTGGCAGTAATTGCTGAAGGTCTAGCCGATTGTGCTAGCAGATTCTCGTGAGCCTAGTAGCTTCGCAGATGCAAGGCGAGGTTTTGTGTATGATACTAGTACTCAGGGCTATCTAATGGAACTCATCAGAATGGTAGATATAACAAAGAATGTAGTATCATAGAATTGTCTAGAATTCATGTTCGAGCATAGCGCATGCCTTTTAGATATTTTTGTGCGGTGGTAGCCAAGTAGGCGATTCTTGAGTAGGATAAAAAATCCTTCCAGAGAGAAACAGCTGCCCGACAGCTAGCTGGCTAGGGTGATTACGAGAATAGCCAGGTGAAACTTTCTGGAGTCATGATCGTAAAGCCTTATATGCAACTCTTAGCTTGCTCGATGGAAGACAAGTATCAAAAGACAAAGAATTCAACTGCTGATCGTCTCTAGAAAGCTAAAGTACTTGAACTGGCATTATAAATTATTCAACGAGCCACCGACACAAAGTATCAGCTAATATTGTTTCTTATACGCTAGCTAGTCAACGAAGGATTGTATAACATGATAGTCTCATTCTGATAGAAAGGCCGAAGAAGGCTACGCTTCTTTCCCCAAGCTCCGTTCTCCTTCTACCTTGCTACACCCCCAGTCTCGCCTCGAAAGCTCCTGAATAGACAGCTTCCCAGCAACCAAAATCAGTCACAACACTCTCGCCTATATTCACTTCATAACAAAGCACCCAAATCGTATGTTACCCCGCACAACCACTTCCAGGATACAAAAGTCTTCCTCGCGCCCAACTTTCTCCAACTTTCTCCATCCCCAAACAACAATTTTCCAAATTCGCATCTTCATCAACCACGTTCATAGATCATCAAACATTGTACCTTGGTAAGCCATATCCCTTTCGCAAATCTTTGTTTGATCTACTCCTTCATTTCTATGACGCGAAACTTGGCCATTTTTCGATGTTTCCTTGGCCATTTTACGGTTTGATCTTGGTTAGCCTTGATGAAAGTTGATCAAAACCGATCTGTTCCACCTTATTCCTGTATGACAATCAACAGAATCCTCCTACGTGTGGGGATTTTGTCCGTTTATTATGTTTTTACTTGCACAGTCAAGTCAACAAAACGCACAAGGGCTTGTATATAATCAAGTCATCGCTATTGACGGTCATTTCTTGGGGATTCAAAGCACATAAATCATCTACATCTCATTGCTCATTCAAGTATCTTTATTCTTCAAAAATACGTTGTACATTCTCATGAACTCAAACATCCCAGTCTTGAGAATGGACAGAAGCTTCAAAAATATTGAAATCAAGACAATGCACAACAGCTTGGTGTACATTCAAGTGTTATGAATATACAAGAGCTTCTTCTACATTCAAGTCTCCACAATCTACAACTCTTCCTTGTACATTCAGACCGTCTCATATATTCAAAGCCTAATAATGTACAACTTATTGTCATGCATTACCTCACTAACAACGTCTAGCTACTACTTATACAATCAAACCATAACAATCACCAATTCCACTCGAAGCAATGTCCGCCGCCAATGAGACTCCCCAACTAGCTGCTGAAGCTGCACCAGCTGCCCCCACCGCTAAGGGAAAGATCAATGAGAAGTTCAAGGCTCCCAGCAATAAAACTTCGTCTGGCAAACAATGGACTCAAGCCGAAAAAGTATGATTCCTTCCCTAGCATCTGGCGAAAATGGCTAATTGAAATACAGGATGCAATAGTAGTCCAGATTCTCTTTCAAGCTGCTGGCAAGAGCTTTGTTCCTAACTTCAAGGCCATCAAGGCTCCGGGCCGCACCGAAAAGGCTGTCAGACACATTTGGGAAGCACTCAAGAAGTCTCATGCCAGTTTCAAGGAGGGAAATGGTACGTCTAGCTCATCTCTAGCTCGTAAATCATGGTTTTATCACTAATAAGTATCTTTAGCGAAGGGTGAAGGCGTCGCTAAAGGTAATTCAAAGAAGCGCAAGGCAGAGATTGAGGGTAAAAACGAAGGTATGTGGTCATATAATCCTAACGCTGTATCATCAACATACTAAGTAAGAACTGGCTTTCTAGGTGTTGCTAAGAAGAAGAAGAAGAACAAGGTAGCAAAGAAGACTGCCGCCGAGCTTGAGATTGAGGAGAACCTTAGCGACAACGCAATTTTTTACGATGACTCTGACAGCTTTGGCATTGCTTCGGAAGATCAGGCAGGTGCATTGTCGGACGACTACGCTTAAGTCAGGAGTTTGTTTCATAGAACCGGAGGGTTTCTAAGGATTAATGGAGGATATCCAAGGATTTGTGGTGTATTTGCATGGGTCAAGGGTTTATTCCTTGCTAATTTCAGGTACTACTGGAAAAATACCTTGGAATACTTCAGCTGAATGGATGAAAGTCTCTTTGTTTGCATGATATTGGTACCACGTAAATGCATGTAATCAGATTGTGAAAAGAGCATGCTTAAACTAATACTTGTCTAAAGGCCTATGATACTCTTGAAAATGGGCAGTTTCATCTAATCACAGGAGGACATCTTCCATTGAACTTCAATTTCAAGTCAATTTTTAATATAATCTCATCCAATTCCGAGGAGAATTGTACCAGCTAATAGCCATCTAAGCTTCCTTTAATTTAACACCAGACGTCTTCTTTCGAATACAAAACAAATAGGTTGTGACTATTTTTATATCAAAGCGAATTTCCAGCGAATCTTCAGAGACAATGGCTCCTGTGATACAACCTAGAAGCTCTACTCGAAGGTTTTCGTCTGTATTTGTGGCATGAGTGCCTATGGTGGAAAATCCAGGAATGTAAATTAAGGTTCTTTATTGGATTCTTACGTTTGTTTACTGAGCAATGCCCAGATAGCCTTTAATCCTGAAGAAATATTGTCGAAAGATGTGTGCTTAGGCTTCAATATCAAAGAACTTCTGTCTGGTCTGTGGAAAAAAATGTTGGTTTTGGTGTAAGACTACATATCTCCGAGTGGGACGCTCAAAAAGATGAGTTGATCGATACGAACTGACATGACAGCGTGAGACTACCAACTCAATACATTTCTTCCAAGAGCAAAAACGCACATGCTTCACGGGCATACTAAACTGCATGCCAATCTTCTCTTGAACACTAGAATTAAAGCTTTATTGCACTTCCAGTCGAATGCATGATAAACTTGTTCAGATCGTAGCTTATGTTTCAGGCTTACCTTTATATATTCATCGTAACCGGAATGGAAGAGATGCCCAAAATAACAGCGGAGCGCCGAGGGACAAATGATTCAGTTTATACCATGTAGAAGTCGGGATCCGTGGCTCGGGGGCACTTGACTCTCATCTCTTACATAAAATCTATGTACCTAGGTATGCTGTTGTATACTCTAGTACGACTCATCTCGTGTTGAATCAGCCATAGTGAAAGAGCAGAAGACATACTAAGCGAAATAGGGCCGCGTCATAGAGGTGTTCTTATTGATGAAGTGAATGTTCTAACACCAAAACTTGAGGATACATTAGCTTAGGAGATTTGATGCCGAAGTCAAGGGTAAGGTTTGGACGCCTGTATGTACGTCTAAGCATATTGGAATTACGCTCGATGAAGACTCGTAGTTTTGTTTGATCAAACTCTGAATTTGACCGGTACCTGAAGCTCGCCCATTCGTATGTCCTCTAATAAGAGGATGCCCAGTGCTGCTTAAAGCAATTGAGGTATCAAGCCTCGGGGCTTCTGAAGTCTAGGACCTTGTGAATGACCTACATGAAAATTTATATGGGAATGTATCCTGACGATGCCTAATATACTGGATGCAATCAAAATTATGTCCCTATCTCTCGGTGATGCGATGCATTTCCAGGGTGAGGAGATAACCGGGGTCCTAGGTATTTTCGAAAGATCCATCTTCTTTTTACAGCACATTATGGGTTTCAGAGCAATGCGATTCTTCCAACAGTAAGATAGAGGTTTCGATTACTATGTTGGACTTTGAGAAACATGATACATCTACTTCACGTGCTGGTTAAAACAGTGGGGCAACAAACGAATAATTCTGCTAAAATAGAATGGTAAAGCGGTGTGGCAAATGAAATATAGACTAACGATTTTAGGTTAAGTGGTAGCAGCATCAGCCTTGTTTAATTCAGCCTTGGAGAAATAAAAAGGTCTTGTACGCCCGAGTACTGCCATTGTTATATTTATTGAATCACCTCCACCAAATCATATCCTAGGCACGCCCACTTCGTCCTCTCACATCCTACGGCGCATACAAAAGCTCATTTTGTATCATCCTACCCGCCGTTGGAAATCTTCCTCTCCTTGTAATATTACTCATTCCCTTCATTTTTGGCGCTATCCCGTCTTATTTGATCCTGCTCCTTAGTCTTCGTACTACCAAGTGCTACAAACACCGCCAACTGTAAAACACCTCAAAATCAATTCTTCTCACATTCATTCACAATTCGGTTCGACCATCCAAGACCATTCACATTGCGCATGATTGTCTATGCGATCGAGACACGGCTTCTTCCATTCGTTGCACATAAATACTTTCCAACAAGTCTTGCGACGAGAAACCGTTTATTGATTCGACAATTACCTCTACGCTATACTCGAAACTCTCTTTTATTGATCCCATCTGCGCTTTCAACCTCACGTATTATTCATTGTTTGAGAAAAAACAAATCAATCAATATGATCGGCACCAATGGCGTTGCAACGCGTTCGAAGAGAAAGTCACATCCAACGGGCCCCGAGAGACCTCAGAAGCAACTCCGAGCCTTAAACGGAAAAGAGTCAACGGGTGTTAATACTCCAGAAATCGACCTTTCCGACGATGATTACGACATTGATGGACTGCAATTATTACCGCCAAATGTGTCGCCAGATACAGCTGAATGGCAGGCCACTATTGAGCGGGTGGTGCGAAACGTAGTGTCGATCCGATTCTGCCAGACTTGTTCTTTTGACACAGACCCTGCACTAACCAGCGAAGCTACTGGCTTTGTGGTAGATGCAGAAAGGGGGTTAGTTTTCCATGTTCAGATGGACGTGCCGTCTGTCTTTTAAGCTTTATTAATATGTCTGCAGATATATCTTGACCAATCGACATGTTGTTGGATCAGGACCTTTCTGGGGATATTGCGTTTTCGATAATCACGAAGAAGTTGATGCATACCCGGTTTACCGTGACCCTGTTCATGATTTCGGTATATTACGATTCGACCCTAAAGCTATCAAATACATGCCTGTTACCGCTCTGGGGTTGCGACCAGATCTTGCCAAGGTAGGATCGGAAATTAGAGTGGTTGGTAACGACGCTGGAGAGAAGCTTAGTATTTTATCCGGAGTCATCAGTAGACTCGATAGAAATGCCCCCGAATACGGTGACGGATACTGCGATTTCAATACCAATTACATACAAGCAGCAGCTGCAGCGAGTGGTGGAAGTTCTGGAAGTCCGGTAGTTAATGTATGTTTGAACATTCACATCCCCAATTTTTTTACCCTTCAAATATTGATGTGCCGCTAGATTGATGGATATGCCGTTGCCCTACAAGCGGGTGGAAGAAGTGATGGTGCCGCAACTGATTATTTCTTGCCTCTCGATCGACCTTTGAGAGCTCTTCAATGCGTCCAAGCGGGTAAGCCTATTACCCGGGGAACAATTCAATGTCAATGGTTAATTAAGCCTTTTGATGAATGCCGGAGACTTGGTTTAACACCCGATTGGGAAGGCATTGTCCGAAAAGCATTTCCCAAGGAGACCGGTATGCTCGTCGCAGAAATTGTTCTTCCAGAGGGACCGTCACATAAATTGATTGAAGAGGGAGATCTGTTACTGAAGGTCAACGGCGAATTATTGACACAATTCATTCGTCTGGATGATATCCTTGATTCCAGTGTTGGTCAGACGGTAAGCTTCCTTATACAGCGTGGCGGAGAAAATATCGAAGTCGCGGTTTCTGTTGGAGATCTTCATATGATTACACCAGACCGTTTTGTCTCTGTCGCAGGAGGCAGCTTTCATGATTTGTCGTATCAGCAAGCACGTCTGTATGGTGTTGCCTGTAAAGGTGTCTTCATGTGTGAAGCCAGTGGATCATTTCGATTCGAAGGCACGGATAATGGCTGGATGATTCAAACCATTGATCATAAGAAGACGCCTGATTTGAAAAGCTTCATTGAAGTCATGAAGAAAATTCCGGACCGGGAAAGGGTTGTAGTAACATACAAACATCTCAGAGATCTCCACACTCTAAATACCGGCATTCTCCAGATTGACCGCCATTGGTCAAGTAAGATGAGATTGGCTGTCAGAAATGACGTCACTGGTCTTTGGGACTTTTCGGATTTAGCCGACGCTCTTCCACCCACAACACCTGTAGCTAGGTCTGCAAATTTCATACAATTGGAGAATTCACAGCATCCAGCGGTAGCGGACATTGTTCGTAGCTTCGTTCGAGTGCTATGCCACATGCCTGTCAAACTAGACGGCTACCCCCGGAACCGTAAGTGGGGCATGGGCGTTGTTATCGATGCTGAGAAAGGATTGGTTGTTATCTCTAGAGCTGTTGTTCCATATGATCTATGTGACATTTCGATCACAATCGCCGATTCCATCATTGTGGAAGGAAAGGTAGTATTCCTGCACCCTCTACAAAATTATGCCATCATCCAATACGACCCATCGCTGGTTCTTGCCCCTGTGCAAAGCGCGAGATTGAGCAATAAGCAGCCCTCCCAAGGAGCTTCAACATACTTCATTGGTTTCAACACTAACATGCGAATTGTCGTTGCTAAAACCACCATCACTGAAATAACTGCTGTTGCCATCCCTGCAAATGCTGCATCTCCAAGATATCGGGCCATCAATATTGATGCTATCACTGTTGACACAAGCCTGAGTGGTCAATGTGGAAGTGGTGTGCTTATCGGTGAAGATGGCGTTGTCCAAGCCTTGTGGTTGACTTACTTGGGAGAGAGATCTCCATCCAGCTCAAAGGATGTCGAATATTATCTCGGTCTTGCAACCCCTACACTCTTACCTGTCATTAAAAAAATACAAAACGACGAGAAGCCTCAGTTACGCATGTTGAGTGTTGAATTCAATACCATCCAAATGGCTCAAGCTCGTGTCATGGGTGTCTCTGAAGAATGGATTCGTAAGGTTGCTGAAGACAATCGATCCCGCCATCAACTTTTCATGGTACGAAAGCGCACCTTTGAGCGAAATAGTGAGTCGGGTGCTCTTTTGGAAGGAGACATCGTTCTATCTCTCAATGGTAAGATCATTACTCGGGTCAATGAACTTGATGTAATGTACGACCATGACGTTCTCGATGCAGTCATTGTCCGGGATTGTAAGGAAATGCACATTAAGCTTGACACTGTTTCAGCTGATGATCTCGAGACTGATCGAGCTGTTTCCTTCTGTGGAGCTATTCTACATCGCCCTCATCATGCTGTTCGCCAACAAATCTCTAAACTTCACAGTGAGGTTTACGTTGCGGCGAGAACAAGAGGATCTCCATCCTACCAATACAACCTCACCCCAACAAACTTTGTGACCCATGTCAATGGGAAACCAACACCAGATTTGGAATCATTCTTGAAAGTGGTCATCGAGATTCCTGACAATACATGTACGTTTCCTTGTTTTTTTTCCTGTCAGATTGACAAATTACTAATAGTATTCTGAAGATTTTCGCATCAAGGTAGTAACCTTTGATAATGTCCCATGGGTCATCACAATGAAGAAGAACGATCACTATTTCCCCACTACAGAGTGGATTAAAGACCCCTCGGAAAAGAGTGGTTGGAAAAGAATCACCTATGAAATGGGTAATGCCGTGGAAGGTGAAGGCAAAGAAGGTATTGGCAGTGTAGTTGGCGATGACGTCGGAGATTTTGATGTTGGGGGAGGATCTGACGACCCTATGTACTTCAAGTCATTGTTGTGAATCACATATATGACTTGCAATTGCATAGACAAGGCATGATGTCAGCGTGTATTTTAGTGGTTTGCAGTGGATTTTTATAGAGGGTAGCCAACCATCAGTGAGCGAACAAGTACAGCAGCATTGACATGCGACGGTCAATTGCTGCGAAGCTTTGTGATAGTTCTGGTATATGAGGCTGCGGGTTCACGCCTTCCGATGATTCTAGTCGCATTCGCAGATCTAGATATGGGGCGTTTTTGGATGATGGCCAATGATACCAAACCGATCATGGATCGGAGGATGAATAGTAACAATTTCATTCATGTATATGTGCAATACACATTTCATAGATATCAATGTACCGCGTTTACTTCCGTCTTTCTCTACATCCTTTGTCTCGCGTTGCTTTGCTTCTGTAAAGAAGCTGTCAAGTCGCAGTAATTAGTGTATCAGTGTCTTCCAACGACGTACCTGCTTTCCTCAAGACGCGTATTGTCACCTCAAGTGCCACCGTCTAGTTTTAACATCCGCTCCTAGAGTTTAAGTCTGTCGAGCACAAAAGTGTCAGCAGAACTCTCGATGCAAGTAATACTGAAGCAATGCAAGTTCGACTCTGAATTTTGCTTCCGTGTGTTGAGCCAGCTTTCGTCTTGTGGCCTTTCGCTTAAATGTTCGCTTAACGCACCACAGGAATCGCATGCTCAGTTTCAAGTTTGTCGGGAGTCTGGGTGAGTTATAGCTGTTGGAGCATGTACCTGTCGAAGTATATACTAATCTAGGTATATGTCAATCGAGGTATGTATATATATCAAAGTATATATTTGTTGAAGTATATGTCTATCGAAATATAGATCTAATGAAGTGATATCACTTAAGGTATATTTCTGTCGAAGTATGTATCTATCGAAGTAAATATTAGTTGGAGTGTAAATCTATCTAGGTATCTGTCAAAATCTCTTTTACTTTGAACGAAGTCCAAAGTCTAGTCTTTCAGCGCATGCAGCTATTCGATTAGGCAGTAGTTTAGAAGTCACGCCATCAACGGAGCCATCAATGGAATTGCATCAGTGATGCGCAAGACGACCTCATACCAGTAGTTCTAGAGTCCCGCTGAAATGATTAGTTTTACGGGACTACATGCAGTTCAGTGATAACGGAGGGCCACGAGAAAAAGTCACTTGGAGAACGTCACTTGGGGAAGGTCATTTGGAGAAGAGGCATCAGAAAGCGACAACACTAGCCTATTCTGCAAACTTGAAGTTTGCTAACTACTTCTGCTACTTTTGTTACTATCTCGTAAGCTACATGACATGATATCGATCTTCAAATGAACTGGCCCCGGTCTTCGTGGGCTCTTTTGGCGTGATCTGAGATGTATATTTGTTAGTTTTAGCTCCCGCTTGCCAGCTTTCTGCAGCATACGTCTGCTATTCCATGTCTCCGAGCTCGCCAATTTCAAGTTCCGTTGACTTGCTCTGCATGCTTGTTTCCAGATGATGAGTGTAGTTTTCAGAGTATGTCAGCTGTCCGCTGGTTTTGGCAAATTCTTTCGATCACCTCACGCATACGATTTCGTATCTCCACTGTCTAGTCTATGCATACCCATCCGGTCATTTGAAGCAAATCTGGCGATTCTGGCGTGATCTTCATGGTAGTTTATTGGAAATAGTCGCACTCGTTTTCGCATACAGAATAGTAAGAGATATGGTTGATTTCCATGCTTGGAATCATGTATTCTTGCGAAGTTTTCTGTCGTTTGCCGTATGATCGATGATCACCCGCTCGTTGTGCTACCTTTTCGAGTGGGATTTTTTGCTCTAGCACCTTCCCTTCCTCCTGTTTAACGTTTGTACTTTGACTTTGAGTATATTGAGCGAAGATGCCATTCACCGTAGAGTAACGTCGCCTCCTATCGTTGTCTGCTTGCTTGAGATGTGTCTGTTGATCTAGGGGCTCACCTCTCCTATAAATGTTCTTTCTTTCTTCCTTGATTTTCTGTAGGAATCGAATCTTGGTCTGTATGTTTTCGCACTTATATAGTAACAAACCATCGAGTATTTCCACATTCAAGAGAGATAAACTCCTCATTACCGCCTCGCTAGCAATTTTCGTCATTTTCGTCATTTTCGTCAAAGCAAAAGTAAAAACTAGAAATAAAAAACAAGTTAAATGACATAGAATGTACAAACGAATTTCGTCGAAATTGGAAGTTCATCATTGCAAAAAAAAAATCGAATCGTCGTGGAAAGTTTTCAACCTGCGCATGAATCATTTTTCGATGATATATGGAGAAACAAGTCGGGGGGAGGAGGTCCTTTTTAAAGACAAAATCACGCTTAGAACCGCAGATCTGAACCGATGTACGTAATTAGTTAGCTTGACGAAGAAAATCACAACGACCAAGCACATCAATTTACTAATAAGGCATGCAACAAGTCACACGCAAACACATAACGAGATAATGATGACTACCTAGATATATCATTAAGTAAATGGAGCTAGTAAACGCGTTACCCAGTCCTTCAAAGCAACGGTACTTATTTGAGTACCCCGATTTTCCAGGTCTAAGATCACCATAGCACATCATCTGAAAAAAACTGAACCTCTAGAGAAAACTTGCAATCACGTAGTCCAGACCCTAACTAAATAAAGTTTCCAAGCTCAATTTACATACCGTCATATTCCAATATTGTCCGAACTTCCCAACAAACCTAATAGCAACCTCAACCCCAATACCACCAATCACCATCAATCACCACCATACAATGATTAATACCCAAGCACGCAATATCCCCCCTCTGAATTTCTCAAACTAGACTAAAAAAATAAAACCGATATTCCCAACTCTAATTGAACACCAAATCTATCTTCTCAATGTAGTGGTGCCCGAGACACACACCTCATAGTCCTTCATCCATGCAATCGCCTAAGAAACTCAATGCAACATCGCGTTCTCAAGAAAATGCCTAAAGCTACGTGGAACATTTGAAATTTGCATCCCGTAACTGTGACTTTGAGTATAAGTAAATTAATGCCCCACACGAAATGTGAGAACTCTTGTACCTTGTCAATTAACTCTTAATTTCTCTGTTCTCTCGAACCTCGTTAGCGCCAACATCCCCGGAACTATACACTCGCATAAATATCTACGAAAATGAATCTCAGAAATTTTATTCAGACACGTCGACCCCCCTTTTACAAACCCAACATACTAATCCAACTTCGCTTATTTTTCAAGAACACTTTCTATGAATCACCTTTGCAATTTATTCACATGGAACTTTACTTTCGTCAACTTGAACTTTAACTCTATTTTGTGAGTCTTCAATTGGTGATACTACTCTGCTTATTTAACAGTAACATAAGCTCCTTTCCCCTTTCCTTATTCTCGCATCCATCCAAATTCTAGGAATATAATCAAAATCTACCAATGTTTGTCACAGGGCGCTATGTTACAGAACCATGCATCCCGGGTACTTTATACCTGAAACAAAATACGAAATCCTAGCTCAAGCCAAACCCAGTCATTGAATGTGTACATTCGCTGGCTCTATGATGATTTATTTTCAGCTGGAAAAGATCTCTTCCACCTGCTGGCTACATATGGTATATAAGGCGCCAGTTCTTCCGCTGTCGGTTGTCTCAAAAGTCGAGCTTGCACCTGTTTTGGCATGTTACTTTGAGCTGAAAATGTGCGCGACGGTTGTGTGAGTTCTGAAATCGTGTATTGATAAGGTGTCCCATTGTTAGCGAGTAGCATTCCCTGCCTGAAAGAAGCTACTTGTGCCCCCGGGAACGATTCATCAGCTTGACCTGACACCTGCGCAGGCATACGATTTTGAGTTTCAGTTGTAATTGGCGATCGCACAATTTCGGAAGGAGAACGTGCAGGATGCATGTGGTCATTCGCAGAGATCTGGTCCGTGGGTGGTTGTATACTTGATGGCAAAGATTCCTTCATACCGGTTCCTCCCTCTAGGGAACCCATTTCATGTTCATTTTTTGATCGTTTGATACGCCTTGAATCGTCTGATAATTGAGGTGCTCCTGCTACTGGCTGGGGGGAAACACTTGTCCTATCAGTAGACGTGTTAGAGGTTGGACTGTTTCCTTTGTCGCTTGAAGAATTGGAAGTCTCGGAGCTTGAAGCACGAATAACCGGAGTAGCATGAATCTTTGGTTTTTCTTGGCGCTTGCGCTTCTTTCCACGCACTGTCAGTGGCTCAGGCGTTATCGATTGCCCAGTTTGTGCTCTTTGTCCTTGTACCGGTCCCGAAACTGGCCACTGTTCCTCTGTGTCAATTTGTTGTTGGTTCGATGGTGAAGCTGACGTTGACGTCTGAAATGTAAGTGGATCTTGAGTGCTGGTAGTCACAGCCCACTCCGCAGCTTGGATTTTGAAGAGGTCGAGTATGTCAGCCCAAAGAGGCTCCCCTGTAATATTCGATGGCAGAGATCTTTCGTAAATGAGTTGGTTGTCTCTAGCCAGTCTATCGCCGATCTCTGCAACCTCCATTTTGAGCCCGATAGCATACTTCAAGGGAGTACTTTCATCAATGAATGCCGTTTTTGTATATAATGACCAACTTCCTTTCGCCTCTGTTCCATCGAGATCACTGTTGATTGTAGCATGCATTAAAGTATGCGTTGCGCACGGTGGGACATCATCTTTGGCCGGTTGGGCTGTTTGCTCTGTTCCGCTTGCAACTTTGACTTCTTTAAGAAATTGCGATTTTGGGGCAAATTCCAACGACTCGATGGAGGAATAGGGAATATTTTTGATCGCTGCAAAGTCTTTAAGGCTTTTTCGTGCGTCCGTGGAAGTATCCAGTGACAGAGCGATGAGCTTTCGAAGCATCTCTCCCAGGGCCATCCTCACTATAATCAAACTTTCTTCATTCCTGAGCATGAACAATTTTGTATCCGGTTCCGCATTTTTCGCATCAAGATCTGCAATCGCAGTGGCCATACAGTCATACAACTCGGTATCAGAAGGACTATCAAACACATTCGATTCTAAATCCGAAAAGGAAACAGTGTATTTGCCATCAGCAGCACCAAGGATTTGAGCGATCGGGATGAACCTTCGCTGGTTTGATCGAGTAGCCTCAGTTTCTTGTTCTTGCGAAATCATTTTCCCTGTGGCGCATGTTTTCTTCTCCATTTGTTCTGGATTTACTATGTATTGTTAGTCATGGCATCCCGAAGCAAGTTTCCTTCAAAACATACCATTTTTTGTTTTTCGGTTTCTTCTGGTGACCGCTGGTGGGGCCGTGGTCGATGGAGAGGCTTGAGCTCTTGTAGTTGATGAGGAAGCTGGCATTGTCGTGATCGATGGGGGCGCTGGAGCTCTGATAATTGATGGGGGAGCTGGTATTTCCGTAGTTGATGGAGAAGCGGGCATTGTCGTAATTATTTGAAGGACTGGCCGTGGCATAGATCGTGAGGGGCCCGGCAAAATGGATTGGCCCGCAGGTGCAACAGCCAGCGAAGTTCTTCTTGTTCGCATTTCAGAATTGATGCTTTTTCGAGGTTGCTGAAGATACTGCTCACTGTTCGGTTGCATAGCTTGTCCACTCAAAGTTGTCAAAGGACCCATCATATGCTGAAAGCCAGTAGTCAATTTTTCCCCCGTATTCTGGTAGATCATGGGTGGTGGTTGCATGTACTCTTGATTATTCAGCGGTATCATCGGCCGTTGAATCGGCACATTGTTCTTAAAGACAAGAGATGGATGAAGAGGAGTAACTCCATGTACAAGCGTTGGTGTGGTGTTGCCTGCCACCTGCTGGCCTATATACCAGCTCTTGAATGTTCCGGGCTCCATCATTTTCGTCTCTCCAAGGGCGAGACGCTGTTGAACAAAGTGTCGAAATTCGGCGTCCTGTTCTTGCGCCGATAGACTAGCAAATGATGACACGGCGGCGGTAGCCATTCCTTGGTATGCTTGTTCGTGATTGTTGACACCATTGAAGTTGGTCTGATTGATGGGTATTTGAGGTTGTTGACCGCAATAAGTAGGAGTTTCTCCAAGTTGGAATTGAGCAGGTATTTGCTGGTTATTGTTGACACCATTGAAGTTGATCTGATTGACGGGAATTTGAGGTTGTTGACCGCAATAAGCAGAAGCTTCTCCACGCTGGAATTGAGTAGGTATTTGCTGGCTCATATTGTGTCCGTTATTATATGGGACATAAACAGGCATTGAAAATGGTTGATCAAAATTGATTGGAGGAACTTGAGATGGCAAATCAATGAATGCTTGTTGGGAGGTGCAATGTTCCAGAGTACTTGTATAGTTGCCCTGAATTTGAGCCTGTTGTTGTCCGAAGTTATAGGATGGATCTTGAGCCTGATGTTGATTGCTATCGATAGGCCATTGAGGTACTTGATCATGGTTGATGAGAGTTCCATCAACATGGTAATGAGCAGGTATTTGCGGGTTGACATTGTATCCGCCATTGGTCGTATGATAGTCAGGGAACTGATCTCCTCCAGGCATATCTTGGAAACCAAACGATGGAATTTGAAACGGTGGATCAAGGAAATCAACAGACGGATTTGCCGCTCCTGACATTGTTAGTGCCCTGTCGCTGACCAGCCTGTGTCTGATAGCTCCAAAGGGTTCATGGTTTAGTGGATAGGGTCGCTGGTTACCAATATCGTGAGGTCCTCCTTGGTTGGCGTTGGAGCCGATATCATTTGTATCATAGCCCGACATTTTAATGAACGGTGATATAATAATATACAGCTTCAAAGTATTTGATATTAGGATTATATGTGTCGAATTGTTGTGATGGATAATTTGATGAAACTTTTTTGGAGTTGCGGTGGTTGTGTTGTGTTGTATGTGGAAGTGAGTTTTGGTTTCAAGAGGGGCAGGATTTTGTATACACAGAAAGTGCCAGCGTACCCCACCTATTAATCGGTAAAATAGACCTAGACTAGACTGTCTAGCGCTGGCAAATCTACCCAATAGAGCTCTCAGCCACAAGGAGATTCGAAGGTTGCCGTAGCAGAATAATTCCCGAGGGCATTTAAATAGAGAAGAAAGATATAAGACAGCCGTAGCTGTACCTTTATGGAACTGCACAGAAAACTCTCGAGCCCGTGTTACTCGTCACTCGTCACTCGTCCGAACTTTCAGATGTTCAACTTGTGGTGAATTAACATTGATACATCACTTTACGAGATGACAGCAGAATAGAGAACAATCATCTACAGTATCAGACTGACCACGCCACATTTGATTGAAGAAGAGTAAACTCATACCAAAAGAGGAACTTGAAGATATCCAGGTAGCCATCCAATCGAAAAGATGATTTTGAGACAAATATGTAACCCTGATCTCTCAATTTCACCCCTGGAATGAATATGTATCTCCTTGTCTGACATTCTGATTGCAAGTACCGTCTAGATGCATATTCCTCATTGATAACCTTCATCAGTACGATTCTAGCCCAAATATAAAGTCAAAGAACAGATATAAAAATAGACAAATGTGATAGAATCTCGGTTTATCGTCCTTTATTTTGGATGCCCATTATCTCTGCTATCTATAATCTATTCTTGTAAGAGGTTGTTAAATGAATCGCCTTTATGTATCCAACTTGTAAATATAACTATACACATACTACAAATTTCAAATGGAAACAGAGAAGAAGTATTCGGAGAAGATACATCAAAGTGAATACGGTGAATACGCAGTTTGATGCTGATTATTCATTCTTTATTATATATTGAAATAATTTTATTCCTATATTTCTATTTTCAGTGAAATCTGTCCATCTGTGTGCCTTCTCTAACCATGCCCCTGTATATTTCCGCCCTTCCTTCCTTCCTCTTCCATTTCTTCTTCTCCAAAAACTCATTCCATCTCTTGATTATCTGCATCAGTATCACAATTACAGCATTCAAGTGTTTCAACAATTGGAACATTCAACTTTTGGAATTTATATTATTGTGCTCGCCTCGAAGTACATCAAAGACTGCTGACGAGTGTGATGGCAACAAGACTCTACACCCTATATCTTCAGGCCTGGCCGCTCCCTATTTTCCTGCAGAGTCTTCGCGACATCAAGTACCACTCTCGAAAATCTATTCGCATGCACAAACCAATCATTGTATCAGTTACAAGTTCTACCGACCTACTGGCACAGATTTGGAGCGCAAGAATAAAGTCCAAGATAAGTTGGGTTTACCGATATTCTTTATACAAGTCAATCTTTCAGTCAAGCTCCGTGATAGAGCCAGCATATGCAACAATCTTTTCTAATTCGCAGACATGCTAATCCCTTTTCTTTAATAGCACGCATCTTCTTATTGTCGAATCTCAGTTCCTTTCTACGAATCCTTCTTTCTCTGCCTCGAGACGAATCGAGCAATATTTGCAGCTTAGAACTGGGTTGTTCTGTATTCTATACCGGAAGCAAGTATACTACGAGAATATAGGGTTGTATAGACTTATAACAAACTGAAGGTGATAATTCTGCTGAGAGTGCATATCCTTATTCTCGATTACAACGCATACACTATCAAAATATCTCTTCACGTACAATATTTACAATTCTCATAGCGAGCAAGATTTTTTCCTCAGTTCATTGGGCATAAAGTATCATGATATTCCTTGCGAGGGTCTTTCCAGATATACGTAGTGTTCCGAAAGTCAACCATCTCCGATTACAATTATTTACACTTACACTTTCCCAACCCCAATCAATACGCCCAAACACTATGTTTGCTCCTTGATTTTAACACATAATGAATATAAAAATAAATCATTTCAGTCGATTACAATGGAATATATAAATTATATTAAGTTTGGCATGTCGTTTAACCCCTGCATCGGAAAATTATACCCGGAGCCCCGCATTAAATGTCAAAATGTCAAAATGTCAAAATACGGGTACGCAGTGAGACGTCTTGTGCGCATTTGTTATTCCCGGATTGTCCCAAACATCAGGCTTTAATAATTACCAATGACATATCGTGACGTAAGATTAATCAAACAGAAAATAAGATTCTGTTTCATTCCCCAATTCTTTCGAATTCATTTGTGGCGGATGTATCATTCTAATAAGCCATTATTGTTTGAAGGTACTCGATGTCATACTCTTGGCTTCCAGATTCGCTAACTTCTCGGGTATCGACCAATCAAAAAAGAGTACCCCTCTAGATGTCAACGGCCAGATCACTATGCACTTCCACGATAACATGGTTGACTTTGAGGACTTGCTCTTTGATCAGTACGATCCTTTTTAATATACCTTGCTTACCCGTGGACTTTGTAGACACAATTTAACGCATCACGAACCGAGATTTTGAGGCTCAAATCAACAATGGGTGCAGGAATTCGTGAGACTCTTTAAGCTGACTAGAATCACAATTAAACAATTGTCTTGGAGTCTGCGAGAAAATCACTGTACTGAGTTCATTGACGGTCATCTTTTTCAAGGTGCTGGAGGATGCGTTTTTTTGATTCTAGATTGGATCGGATAGTTAGGTTTAAGAATCGTGTAGTCTTACAAGGGTATGAAAGTGAATGTATCATACGAACCGGGACAATGATAAACTTCTGAAAGGGGAAAGGGAGGGGGTGACAAGATCTTTCCTTTAATATCTGCACTCCCACTCTCACTCCCGCACTAGACACAAAAGCTTTAAAACCAAATATGCATTCCACACCCAGTACAATATTCCGAGACATCGAAATACCAACTCCTTAGATATACCACTTTCAAGATATTACATATGCTTCAGCGACTGTCAGTATACTTGCGAGTCTACTTCCCACACACCTTTTCCGTTTATGAAAACGAACGAACTACTTCCTCGTATGAACATGCAGATGGAGAGGGATTGGATATGTTCTGCCCCATGGTGCGGGTTGGTTCGAAGCTCGACTCGATGCTCATATCGCCGTAGTTGGATCATAAAATTGGCAGATATACGGAAGAAGGAGGTGCTCGCAGACTGTTAATACACTTCTCCTAAGACTTTTTCCGAGATTTACATACGAGACTACATGTTCGCAGAAGCAACCGAGGAGGTGAACAAGAGTAATGCGGGCTCTATGATAGGCATGGTAATCCCTCTCGAGCTATCGACTTGAAAGATCTATATAAGATACTCCGGATGCTTCTGGAACAAGTAAATAAGAATCAAGATCTTTCCTACATTTCACACTACGAAATATCTTACACCGTCATACCGAATCTGGAGAGGCACTGGATACGCAAAATTCTATTTAGCAACAGACTTATAATGGTAAGTGGAATGCGAAAATAGCAATACATACTAACAACAAAGGGCGATTCTGCAGATATCCGGAATTTCCATCGAGTCTATGGTTTATACACGCCTCACCAACTTCCAGTGCGCGGACTCACAATGACTACATCGCGCACATGTGGTTACCTATTCAAATTTCCAACAGAATCCTGGCTCGGGAGATTGATCCATCGAAAGAAATCTCATGGGAATGTATTAGCATACGAGAGAGAGATTTCGAGAACAGGTTCGAGACTGAGATTGAGGCGGAAACTTGACGGCGGGTGAGGATGTGGTGTATTCAAGAGTTTAACTTTCATAGACGGTCGGATATGTGGTCAAGAGAGGCGTGAGAGATACGGTGATATTGCCCTTTTACGTGTGCAAATGGCAATTCATATCGCTGCTGGCTGGGAGGTTAGGCTTTGCAAAAAAATGGGTACTGGATATTTGCGAAGAGAGGTTTTGAGTTATTTTGTGGAAAGTCATACATGCTGTAGTTTGAGAAGGCCAGAGTACGGATGAGTGGAGGAACTGTTGGATATATGGGAAAGTGAGAATGAAAGTAAGAGGTGAGGCATCGCAGGAGGAGGGGAGTAACAGGTATGGCCAATTCAAGTGTATAAATGTTTGCTTCTACCATCACTATGTCACTACACCATGGCATAACAATCACCCCATACAAACCTGGGCATATACTCCTTTCTATCCCACACTTAATAATTGAAATCCCTTCAAGTACATTTTTCAATATTTAAGCGTAGAAGAAATAGTACTTGCGCTCAGACCCTTGAATAGCTAGTGCTCGTATTGAGCGAATTGGGTGATACATCTTGGCATCATAAACCAAGGGTTGGGATGGGTCGAACTGGGAATCGAAAATGATAAATGGTGATCGAGTAAGTAAGACTACCTACCTAGATCCTACAATTCTTCGTATCAAAAGAGACAATAAGCAATATGGAACCCCGTTCAGTTCGATGTTTAGTTTTGTTCAAATCGTTTAGATATATTCTGATGAATCATAATTGCGTACTCCAATTCTCTAAATCATGTGTAGCTTTATACCTTTTCTTGGGACAGCAAGCGGGAATGATTTTTGAAAGACAAAGAGAAAGAAGAGATAGTATGAAAAGTGAATACGCATTATGAGCACCGTACCTAAGGGCATAAAATTTAATTTATTAGAATTCACAGTTAGATTATATAATATCAAATCAGATCAGATTATATTATATCATATCATATTAGACCACCCCTCTACAGATATATTACACACTTCTTTACTTGTCGATTTATAAACACTTTGAATACTTTAGGGCTTGTTTGGCTCGAGTCTCGCGTGAATAAATGCGTTATATAAAAAAAATGCACATAAATTTCTTTGTACTTTGTAAGTCAAAATGTATACTTTGAAGTTGTTTTATTTGAATCAATTTGAAAATGCAAAAGAAGTATATATTTTTATTTGTATTCTTAAATATACTATTAAAATAGAAAATAGATTAATTTATTATATAATAAACTCCTTATATATATAACTTTTTTTCTCTTTATCACTTTTTATATTGCTTTCTATATTCAATATATATTCTTAATATATAGATTATGATTTATTACATAATATTATATAGTAATTTTACTATTGTTTTTAGTATTATTTCCAATCTTCATTTTATTCAGAAATAATATTATTACAATTATAATATCTATAATACTTGAAAGACATTATAAGTATAATTGTTGTATTATATTAGCAACTACTATTATTAGTATTACTATTATTACATTATATACTTCAAAACATCTTATTGATAAGATCCCTTAATATATATCGAAATTAACTAAACAACAATGGATAATAAAATTGATTGAACGGATATCCAAATAGAATCTTCAATAAACTATTTAATATTAGAACTACAAATCTTTTTGATAGATATTGATATATTACTAGATTTAAATAGAGTGATGGTAGAGTTCAGAGTTATAGAAATAAGATTATTAAAGAGGTTTTACTTTTAATTAGATCTATACTTATTTTTAGATTATATTTTTTATAGTGTAAGTTAAACTATTAATAAATTCATATTTTTTCTTATATAATGCAAAAATTTACTTATGTGCACTTTGTCAATATTAATGCGAGCCTCGAGCCAAATGGGCCCAACTTTTACAATGTACCTATGCATAGGTACATATATCATTCCACTTCATCGACTTTGATTCTATATTTTGCGAATTTTTATATCCTTGTATTCTTATATCGTTATATGTATCTATGTAAGATCTTAAATACACATCATACTTCGATATCTATATCCTAATGCTCATTCCATTTCATCCCATTCTACTCCTGAACTAACTCTCATCCCCTCATCCACAAGCTCACCAAATTAAACCAATCCAACTCAATCTAACCATCCACCCACCCATCTCCCAAACACACCCATCCACCTCCTCATCTCATACACACAGCCAGTCCTTCACAACCTCACTTCCCTCTCAACTCCCCCCCCCCCCAAAAAAAAACTTATCTTCTTCCTCTTCCTCTTCCTGCCACATACTACTTTGCTATACTCAATGAATCTCCCGCTTTAATCAAGACCTCCTGTTTCACCTCGACGTATTGTATGAGCTAGTGAGTAGTAGGTATCCTCTTCTAATTTCTCTGTCCAATATATAGTGCTTTATCTACCTAGTAATCATTATATCTTCAAAAATTTCGTTTTCACTCTCGCTCTCACTCAAAACTTAGATACCTAGATACATTTCCCTAGTTCATCACCTACTAGGTAGTTTCATTACACATCACATGTCAACCATCATTCGTCGTCCATCACCTGCACAGAAAGTTATCATTCCCCTTTTATAACCCCCCACCCCATGCCCCCTCTCCTTCTCCTATTCTCTCAAACCCAATCTCCTCCTAAAGAACTCCCACGACCCATCCCATCACCACCCAGCTCATTCTCCACCATACATCCATCGATTCTCTTCCTCTCCCTTCTCTGTCCCCCTTTCCCCCTCCCAATTCTCCAACTCTCTATTCAGAAAAAGATACTACACAGATACACACTAATTCCCTCTCCATTCCCTCTCAATCTCCCAGATTTTCTCTCTTTCATGCTTTACTGTACTATACGACCAACTAGCTCAGCTAGATCAGCGAGCTTTCATCTCCATGCACATAATAAATCTTCGCACCGTAATTATTATACCATCATTTACTCAAACTGATCCTATCACACCAATTCATACACTCATACACTCACCCACACACCACCACCACCACCAGAATCACCGAATAAATCTCAGAAGAAATCTCAAGAAAAAAAAGGTCAACTTCTAAATTTACAAGATTATTTGTTCTAAGGCGCGTCTCGTATGTATGTATGTACGAAGTATGCAATATGCTCATTTCATTCATTCATCCCAATCATCCATCCATCCATTCATTCATTCATTCATTCCATAAAACATCCTCGAATTCGCGTAGTATATCTTTCTTCTCGCGTTATTCAGCACTTCAATGAAAAATACAATCCTAATATGTATGCCAATCCATTCATTCATCCATCCTTATCCCAAGGGGTATCTGGAAACGAAGCCATTCAAAAGCCAATCAATCAAATTAATAAAACCAACGTGAATAATGAAGTCGAACCAGAACCAAAACTTCCAGACCATGCTACCAAACGAATTCCTTTTATTTGTTCCAAATCATGTCCACGAACCAATGCACCCATTCCATTTAGTCACCAGAATCCCCTCCAATCATATTCCTTTCATCTTATTTATTGAACCTTCCCCATCACATCCACGTCATTTCTCTTGATGTATCTCTAGAAAAATAATACTCAGCAAATAACAAAAAGTCGGAGTGTACTATCATCAGAATAGTAATACTATTAAACAAGTGCCGGCGGAATTTGAATTAGTGTGTCTTCTTTCTTGGTCTCTCCCTCTCTTGACCCTCTGCTATGTTGAAACGCTCCTTGTGAATAGCAAATTCTTTCATGGCTTGATCATGACTTGCCATCGCTGCGACCCAGTGACTCATGACTGCCCCATCTTCCTTGAGACCACGTCTGTAGATGTCGAGACCCTGGGGATTTTCCCAACGATTTGATCCTAGTCCATCGTTTTGATTCTTGCGTGCGAGGAGATGTAGCAACATGCGCTTGGCAAAAACATCCCAGTCACCCATATAAGCTGTAAATGACGATAAATATATACCTTGTGACAAAGATGTGCTCGATTCGTGAGTATACTTCGGAACAGTGGGTGGCTTTGGTAAGTTGAGGGAAGAAAGAAGATCTTGAATGTTCATGTCATTAAATTCGACTCCCAGGCCTTCTGCGTCAATTGGAGATTGTGATGGGGCTGCAGATCTCTTGAGTTGGTCGGTGTTGATCTTCAGTCCAACATTAGCCTTTGGCGGTGAAGCTGGTGTGGACTGGCCTGCTGGAGGTGCAGCTGGTGGAGGTGCAACTTGTGGCGGAGGAGCTGGTGTAGCTGGGGGAGGAGAATCGACATCCATTGCATCTGGACTAGCCGGGGGCTTTGGGGGCTTGGGGTTTCTGCCAGTAAATAGCGGCTTGTCATCTGCGCTGTCATCTTCAATGACTACCGCAGCAGAGCCAACAGTGGGCTTAGCGATAGGCACTCTTGGTCTTCGAGACCCAATTCGTGTAGGAACAGTAGGCTTAGTAGGCGATAGGATTGACGGAGGAGCGAATGTTTGAGGCTTAAATTTTTCTGCCCAGTCCTCTGGAGAGAACTTAGTACCACCGGGGGATTCGATTGGTGTATCCGAATTGACTCTTGATGCCGGGAAAGGTTTTGAATCCGCTGAGCGGCTCTTAACGGGAGATCGACCTCTTGTTGGCCGACTTGCTGACTGAGCACGGACATGGGAGGAAACCGGGATTTGAGTACTCTTACGTTCTGGTACAAAATAATCACCACCAGCTTCAAACTTTCCATGCCACTCTTCAGAGGAAAATGTAGTATTGATCTTAGGCCGAGTTGGAGAGAATGTTTCATCATCCAGTTTCATAGAGAAGCTATCATGAGAATTACTATTAGCATGGGCATTTAATTTATCCAACAACAAAGAATTCAAACGCGAATCGCCAACTGAAAATGCAGATTGAGATTTAGTGACAAAACTTGGCCTCTTGGCAAAGTTACTCGTCTCAGCTGGCGTCGACTTGAACGAATATGTAGCCTTATCATTGTGGACCTGGTGGTTAATACTCTTCGTTGGCTTTACAGGACCATTTTGACGAGAATTCTGAGCCCGTTCCTTGTTGGTTACCAATCGGTCGACGAGATTGTGTTGAGCAGCCTCAAAAGAATTCAGTTTGTTCGCAGACTCAACGCTGTTGCGATTTAATTCGTCTTTGTCTCCAGGGTGAGACCCTTTTAAAGGACGAGAAGAACCTCCACTAAGAGGTGATGCAGTGGGACGCTCTCTTGCAGTAGTAAAAGAACCAGGGTACTTTTCTTTGTATGCATCCTGCATGCTTTTGGAGTTGAAAAGGGGTGGACGCGAAGGGGTTCCAGGGAATGATGCATGCTTGATATGATGGAGCGGCTCCTTGGAGTCAGAAGCAGTGTACTTAGAAGATGTATCATACATTGAAGGTTGTGGTTTAGGCTCTTCCTGGGCTGGAGTTTTATCTGTAACGAGGTTAGTAAACGAGGGTCGTTATATGCTAAGATCTTTCATCTTCATTCAAGGTCTCAGAACCAGACTCACTTTGATTCGATGTTCCTGGGGGAGCAGCATCTGGCTGTTTTTGCTCTTGAGCGAGTGCAGGTTTTCTAGGCTTGGCAAATACCCGTGGTTTCTGGGGATTGATCTCTGGGCCATTACCAGAATCCGATGAATCAGGGGAGGATGCAAATGCATGTGTTGTCTTGGGAGGGCTACTCTTTGGAGTACCATTTGGACGTGGGGAGGGTAAATTTGAATCAGATCCAGCACGTGGAACAGGCTTTCTACTTTTTGGTTCAGCAACATTCTCTCGGGTACTCTTCGACCTTGCTACATTGGCTGCGTCAAATGGATCAAACTTCTCCCCTCCGGCACTGGCATATGGCGTACTGATACGAGGCTCGTATGGTGACTCTTCTTCGGTCCTGAATTGTCGCAAAGGATCATTCACCTTCGCCGATGGACGGGTATTATGATTGACTGGTGGAGCATTAGGTGGAGTATCCTCCTTCTCACGTTCCCGCTCGAATGATGGAGAGTCTCTTGGTGGCGGTGGTGGCGGCATGTTTCTATTGACACGGGAAGTAGAGTAATTGCCCTTTCCTGCAGATGGCTCATCCGCTCCCGGATTGCTAGGCATGAATCCATTTCTTTTTGGTGTAGGAGGTGGAGGATTACTTGGTTTTCGTGGAGGGTCGGGGATATAGTCGTCGAATCCTGGCTTAGCTCTTGGAGGTGCATTAAAGCCCCTGAAGCTGCTCTCTTCGCGACTTGGTTGAGAATTGTACTCTTTGGGTGCTGCTTTTGGTGTATTCCATGTCGGACCTGAACCAGTTCTGTAACCGGATGATGGTGTCTTCTGATGACCCTTCATGCTCTCCCATGCATTGAACGTACTTTTCCTCGCCTCGGGCCCTTCTTGTGCCGCTGCGCTGGCTGATTGTTTCGGTGTTGTGAACGTCGAATATCTCGCAGCACCAGCAGATTGTGGGGGAGGATTTCTATTGGGTCGATATGGCGGTGGTTTGGGCGGACGAGGGAATTCGGAGCCATAATTTGAATAAGGATTTCCTTTCGTAGATCTGAAAGCTGAAGCTGATGTATATCTGAACCTCGATCGAGCATCGTCGTATCTTTGTCGCTCCGACGGATCTGTGAGGACTTCGTGTGCGGATTGAATGGCTTGAAATTTGGCAGTAATGTCGCTTTCCTTTCCTAAATTTCTATCTGGATGGTACACGAGAGCTGTCAAGAGAAAAAGGTTAGCTTTGAGCGCGGGGAAGGCTAAGACAGAGGATTGTGTACCAAGTTTCCTAAATTGTTTCTTAATCTCATTTATCGAAGCACTTGAATCAATCTCGAGATCAGCATAGTAATCCCGATCGAAATCTGCCTTCACCATTTTTGAAGGGGCGGTTCAGACCAGATTCAGTTGCAAAGCTCAAAACGTATGTGGAAAAGTTTCTGGTATCTTCTAAGTCGAGACAACGAACTGGATTATTGGACCGGTGGCAGACAATGACTTATTGGCTACACTGAATATTCCATTCGGAAATTGGGGCTTAGAATTTGAGAAGACTTCTGAAGTTTTGGTGGTGATAGCAAAAGGAAATGGAAAAGATCCTGTGTTGGCCCAGCTACCCTGTTTATTTAAATTGGCCAGGACCTAATAAATCTCGAGGTGGGCTGTAAGTATAAATTCGTGCGCAACTTATCCTGCAATACTGTTCAGTACCTAGTAGATAAGAAAGTATGTGTGGATAACCAGGTGATGTTGAAGTTAAAATGAAAGGAAGGGACGGGCGTATGTATCACTCCGTCGAAATTGGCAGCAAAACAGTAGTAAGAGAGACTTTCTTTGGCTTGTGATACCTATTCTGAGGTAAAGGTAAAGGTTAGAGGTAGAGGTAGAGGTAGAGGTAAAGGTAGAGCTGGTAGTCAAAAGCAATACTAGGTAGGTGGGATTTGTTTACAGGTAAAAGGTGGAGGGAGGCGGCTAAATAATCGCCGATGATCCACGGACCAAGACCCTGAAAACAGTGATTCCTTCGTAGGTTGGTACTACTAGGTGGGAGGTAGGCAATTAATCATATTTCTTTTACCTGTCATTGATATCATGTCATTTCTGGATTCAATTAATTTTTGAACAATTTACAAATACTCAAATTGTATGTTTATACACAGCATATATATGTAGGTACACATACCTAGGTAATTCCAAAGCTATCGAAGCTGGTGAATATATACATTTACCTTATTGAATTACCTAGTATATCATTTGAGCCTTATTTGGTCATAGGTAGCGATCAGATGATTACCAGGTACTTTACATCGCCCTACCAAGTAAGTACTCATTGATCAAGAGGCAAGAGATATGACAGTGGTATGAAAGTATATCCATCTCTACCTAACGAGCTTCTTTTCTTTTCCCCTTAAAATATAAATCTACATTTCTTACATTCCAGCCGTATCACATCAGATCAAAGATTCCAATGCGCGCGCTGTTTAGGAAATGTACTGGTACACATCCATCCAATGAACACAACGAATCCCACTTCAATCTTGACGTTACAGATACACCACAAAAATGACGTAGAGACAACATCTAGAACAAGATACATACATACGAGAAAGATGTCACCACCGATGATTCATCTGGGAGGCATGAAAGCAGTGACCATTCTGAACTGCAGTAGTAGACATACGGATGCAGATGCAGATGCAGATCTCGTGGGACCCAGGTCCAGTGGTAATAAGAAGTATATTGAGATTCATAGAAACAAAACAAACTTCCGAAACAAATGATACCCCTGAGATCGTCTCTCCAGTCCTTCATCTCTCCGCGTATGTTTCTTGCTACACTAACTGCTCATTTCTGGTACAACCTAAATTTCTTTTCGCATGGATATCAATTTCATCCCTTCCTCATATAACTACTTTTTCTCGATGATCGGTGAACGAATGTAGAAGGCGGTCAGTCTATCAACCTGTCAGCTGAGGATCTTTGGTCAGTACAGGTAGGTGGGAACGAGACATTGTATGATGACTTATTATTACGAGGCATGATAAATACACAAAAATCCGAATAACATCATTTATTATACCTATGTCTGCAGAGGTCCTGCTACAGATTTCCTTTAAGAATGCTCATCAAACGGGATGGAGTTCACATATTACTATACTATTACAGTTATAAGTCTTCATTGAAAGAAAGAACCTCAAAGATATAAACCACAGCATCACACTTGTAAATCACCAGAGTAATTTCCACATATAATTATATATTTAACTTGTTCATATTCCATTGTTTGTTTGTACTTCGGTACAAGTTACTCCAGCCCTTTGCGAGAACGATTAATTTTCGCTTCATTGATTATTGTTCCCCCCAAACTCCTGTTAAACCAAAATCGTACTCCATCGCCAATCCATGATAAGCCTTGCCATGACTCTAACATAATCAAGCAACAGAACTCTGTCATCCAGAATTCAAATCATCCAGAAACCATAACATTTCCTGCATAATTCGCCATACATACTCGATACGTGAAAAGATCCATGCCCTTCCGCCATGATTATCTTGAGCAATAGCTGTGACCCTGGGTTCACTTACTGAGATGCGCAGCTTAAAATGAGGGATCATAACTCCATCCACCTTGCCTTCGCACACGATCTCTCCCTTCCAAGTCCTTGCGCACCTCCTCTTCCGTAAGGCGATCAGATCCACTCCAGTTGGCACTGGATGTCCTAGCTCTAAATTTGTGGAATCGATCCTTGCTTTTATCAAACACTTCTTCCATGTTCAAGGCTTGGGGTCGTCCGAAAATCTTGGATGGATCAATAGTTTCTTGGAGTGCCAATTGTTTGCGAATCTCAGGAGAATCTGTCCAGCCGAGCCCTTGGAATGCTTTCTTCTCTTTCTCGTCATCTTCATCATCTTCGTCTTCGCTATCACTAGGAATTTCGGGAAGAACAATATTCTCTCCATTCTCGTATCGTGGCGATGATTTTGCTGCAGATTTTGCCGCCTTTGCTGAGGCATGACTTACATTACGTGCGGGTGTTTTGTATGACTGTCCATTTGAGCTTGATGCAAATGGAATGGCTCCCTTAGAAACCTGAGTCATATCCATGGGATTGCCAATTTTATTCTGGTGTTGTGAAACAATAGTAGACCTTTGTAAATTAGCAGGCGGTGGGGCGTGAGCATATCCGCTTGCAAACAACGACTTTGTGGGCATCTCCTATCTTTAGTTAGTATGACAAATTGAACTGATTATGAATATATGCTTACCTTTGGACGAATACTGGATTGACGAATCGGGGGAGCAGTCATTTTGGGATGAGACTCCGTCAATTCATCTTCTTCATCAAGATACTCGTTGGTCCTTTGGCGTTTGGTGCGGGGGTCACCGTGAATTGAAGGAGCAGTTCGCTGAACTGGTGGGCGAGCCATCTCCTCATTGTTCTCCAGCAAAGGTCTCTTGGGCGGTGCTTTGGCGGTGTTCATACGGGTAGCTTTTGCTTGCCCACCCAGATCATTTCTTTGAAGTGGAACTGGTGGCAATGACTTCTCAAGCCATTGATCGGTATTTTGTTGAGGTCGAATAGCTGGCGGAGGAGCTCTCTTCTGCTTCGCTCTTTCGATGGCCCTTTTGTTAGCCTCGCTAAGACTGATTTCTTTCTGCTGCTCCCGTTGACGCTCTTGGTCACGTTTGACAGTTAGCTCATTCTGTCGCCTTTGCTCTTCCTTTGTAGCGGCTCGCTGGCGTTCCATTTCCAACTTCGCATCCCTTCTTTGTTGAGCAGCAAGTTCATCAGCCTCTTTCTTTCGTGCGGCTGCTTCTAGGGCTTTGTTAGCTTGCGCCTTGAAGCTATTATTCGAAGATTTGCTTTGTAGCGAACTAGAGCTAGCTTTGTTTCGTAGGTGTCCGCTTTGTGAAGACTGTAAGGACTGTTCCAAAGTTGCTGCAAGTGTTGCATTAGATGGATGATATTGCTGACCGCGTGAAGAGCCAGTATCGACGCGTATCACAGTCGCTGGTGCCTTGGCTTTGGGAGCGGTGTCTTTCACTGGTCTTAATGGGCGTTTAGCCTGTGGTCGCCCAATCTGTGACTTTGGTCTTGGAATAGACGGCGGTGGCATCGATGCTGGGGCATCAGTCATATCGGTATCCTTACCAGAAGACGGATTGGCTGATGAAGCTGCAGTTGCTATGACCTCTGCTTCCAATTGAGCTTTCGTTCTTCGTGGACTACCTCGAGTTGCCTTTGGCACTTCAACTTGACTCGCCTTGGCCAATTTTTCTTGTTCTTTCCGGGAGATTACTTCTCTCTGCATGGCTGCGGCTCGCTCTTGCTCTTGATGATAAACACGTGCGTCCTCTTTGACCTTCATGCGTGCCTTCTCTAATTGATCATTCATCTTTTGCGCTTCTTTGGCTTCTTTGGCTTCTCTAGCTTCTCTAGCCTCTCTAGCGGCCTCTTCTTTGCGTTTCTCTTCCTTTTCGGTAGAAGCTCTAGTTTTGCGGGTGGTAGCTTTGACAGGACTTTGCATACGTTTCGGGATTGAATCATTGAAATGCATATCTATTTTCGGATACGAGACTTCAGCATGGCTGTTCTCATTCTGAAGTACATCTTCAAAGGAAGGCACACTGTTCTGGTAAATTCTTGTAGATGATGATAGAGTTTCAATTTTTGCTTCAGCACTTGCAGCTGCGCTACTTGCAAATAAAGTCTTTCCTGATTTTAAAATTGAAGAAAATTTGTCTTTCGCAACCTTCAACGGGCTTCCCCTAAGAGTCCTGGGTGGAGATTTTGGAGGAGTTGTAGAATCCTCATCAATTGCATTGATGGGAAGATTTGGGTTGGAGACCGACATCAATTTGTTAGGACTTTGTGGCCCAACGGCTCTCTTAGGCGAGGATATAAATGAAGTCGAGATGGATTTGGTTAGACCTCTTACATTGGTTTCACGGATTGGAGATGTTTGCCTTCCTTCATCTCCATTCTCGGGAATGATGAATTCTGATCCACTGACAGTTTCTTTGCCACGCACGCTCTCCATCACATCTGCAGTGTGATTCTTGGCGATAGTTGGGCGGGGACTGAAAATCGACTTTCCATGCAATGCTGTTGTTGGAGGTCCAATCCAGCTATCCTCATCTTCAGGGAAGGCACCTGGAGTCGCGAAGGACTTGTCTTTTGATGATGGTGATGCTTCCTCTGGTCTATGTTGGGGCGTTGGAGGTTGAATCGCTTGTATCGACTGGCGTGTGGGTATTATGCCACCCACAAGAGATTTCGAGGCAGGTCTGGTTGTAGGCTGAGACTGACCAAGCATACTGATCTGGTCCTGAAGGCGTTGTGTCGACGTTTTATTGTGGATACGTGCTAGTAATGTTTCGGCTTCGGATTCTTCCCGTCTAGTCGGCTCAAGCATTTCATCAACGTCCATTTCGTCTTCGTTTCTGTTTGCGAGATCTTCTTTGACGTTGCCCAGACTCTTTCCGCCCGTAGGCCGACCATAATGACTTGTACGCGAAGTACGATGCCCGAGACTTTTCTTGGATAAATCTCGTGCAGGTAGAGAAGCAAAATTCAAACTGCTTTTGCGGAAAATAGGGCGTATGGGGCTTGATCCCTCGGAAGCCGATTGAGCATCAGGAATATCATCCATCTGCTCGTCCTCATCTTGAGGGTCATCTTGCGGGGCTAATGGTGAGGACTGTGGCTCTACCGAAGGCTCTTTGAAAGGAGATTCGGCTCTTGCCGGAGATTTAGATGGAGATTTCTGTAGTGAACGCTTTTCCGGTGACGAATGGGCCGAGCTCTGGTCATGAGGCTGTAAGTTGAGATTGGGATATTCAACTTCTCCCATGACCTGATCTCTGTTCGTCGGCTCCTTGTCTTCTTCACCAACCTCAACTTGTTGAGCTTCTGTCCCTGTTTCTGTCTGTGCTTCTGCCTCAATGGTGGGCGCTATTGGCGAACCTTCTTGTGCAGATTGAAACGAAACCTCGACGGTTCGTTGCTCTTCGGACTCTAAATTTGCGACTGGTATCTCTTCGACGGGGGCTATCTTGTCTTCAGGCCTGTCTCCTTCATTCTCTATGTTACCTGCATTGCTTGCAATCTCTTCATTGTCTTCATGCTCGATTGTATCTTCTCGGGCTATGAACTGTCGGGGTGGGCTCGTTGCGAATGGTTCTGGTTCGGTAGGTTGAGTATTAGGTTGCGTCGCCTCCTCAAGCTGACTTCCGTAATAACCAGAATCAAGCGCGTTGATGAAAGGTTTGCGCTGAACACTGCTCTGTGCAGTGCCAGAGCTAGATGGACGATGTGAAGGTGTAGGTTGCGAAGGTGAGGGTTGCGGTTGAGTAGGTTCCTCGTGAGGTTCTGCCGGGGCGTCCTCTGCTACTCGGAATTTTGGGGGTGAGCGCTCATGGTAGGCTTGTTTAAATGGACTTGGGGCTCCATGCAGTGTTGCCGAAAAGACATCGGATAATGGCTGCTTGGTATCAGTATAGATCGCTACATACATTTGATAGACATACTGCGCGCACTTCCAATTGATTCAGTTTCCTAGCTGTTCTAGGTGTCTTCCCACGTAATTTCCCCGGCGTTTTAAATATTTCGGCGACGTTCCTACAAAACATAAGGTCAGCTCGTGCCCAATGTCGCAGGCTTGTTTACATACACTTGATTCTTGTTGAATATCTCTGCCATATGTTCATTCAACCAGTCAATCTCATTCCTAGCAGCAAATGTAAACTCCTCTGCCTCTGCTGCTGCAAGCTGCAGCGCGTTCGATCGCTCCTCTGCTATCCACCCTTTCGACCCTATTTGCAATCGTTTGTTTGGTCGCATTGCCGCCATTTTTTCTGCTGTTCAAAACAGCGCGTCGTGTTATGAAGTACCGAATAATTGGACGTGATTAATTACTCGGAAGATGGCAAGATCATTTCTTTGTAAGCTGTTAGCAATAATTGAAGGCTGGGCGATTTGCGTTGTGGTGGTCATGAGAGTATGAGCTGAAGTCTTAAAATTCGTAAACTTATTAGTGATGCTGTATGATTGTTTTGGTTGCCCCCACGCGTCAACGGCTCATCCCTAAATTCTGAATCACATGACTGTTTCACGACACTACCTCATGCCAGTAAAATGTATCTTTTCGAGTCTGCGAGAAAATCATTGTATCGAGTTTCTTTTATAGAAAATTTCGCAGACAGTATATCGTAGAGTCTCCTTACTAAATTAGTCGAAACATATAATTATATGGGTAGTCTCATGTTATAATATGAGACTGATTGTGTGGTACAGATTGGCACAATCATAAGGTCTCCAGCTGTCTTTCATATATCTGCACTCCCAGGCGCAAGGGCTCTAAAACAACGCGAGCGCCAACTCGCCCGCAATAATAATCCAGCCACAAATAAAGCCATGAGAGTTTATAGTGCTCAACAGAGTCTGACTCTTCAGTTAACATAATTCAATTTAAAGTTTCATTTCTTCCAATTGAAATGGGCCAGTTGGATTATTGAATGGTTTCGCAAGCGGTCAATTCCTGCTTGTTTCGAATAGCCGCGGGAAACAACAACAGGACTGACTACCACGTTTCTTCTATCTATGAAGAGAGTCAGATGGATTGAAACCTTAGCTTACATGCTGATGAAGAAAGACATTTTCCAATTCTATTTAGCAACACAATGATTTGCACCAGAGTTTCCAACATTTCTAGGTTATTAGGCCTAAGACTGAATCAAAATGCGGTTGCCAGGAGAGCATTCACAGCTTCGACTTCCCTAAGAGCCAATACACTGATGGAGACAAGTGGGTTTTCAGACACGCAATTGGAGGTTCGAGAAGCCATTGCCAAAATTTGCTCAAAATATCCTGATGTAAGTTATTCCGGTTCAAATTGCCGTGACTTCTCACTGAATATGTCAGGAATATTGGGCAAAGCGTGATGAGACTGGGGAATATCCTCACGATTTACATCGTGATCTAGCAAAGGGCGGATGGATCGGCATTGCCCTTCCGGAAGAACTTGGAGGATCGGGTCTTGGAATCTCAGAAGCCACGATGCTTTTGCAGACTATATCTGAGAGCGGTGGAGGCATGGCTGGTGCCCAAAGTATACATGCAAGTTCGTCTACCCACTACTTTGGTGATCAGACGTGAACCTCAGCCTTCCCTTGTTCAACAATTTCAAATATCACAATGCTAATCCATATAAATCAGATGTTTACGCTACCCAGCCTGTCGCAAAATTTGCGACAGCCTCGCAACGTCAAAGAATGTTACCCAAGTTGATTGACGGTACCTGGCGAGTGTGTTTTGGAGTCACCGAACCGAACACTGGTTTGGACACTCTCAAGCTCAGAACCCGAGCTACGCGTGAAGGTGATACTTATAAAATATCGGGTCAGAAAATATGGATTTCCTCAGCACAGGTGGCAACAAAGATGGTGCTGTTGGCTAGAACTACTCCATTGGAAGAAGTGACAAAGCCTTCTGAAGGTTTATCCCTTTTCTTCATAGATTTCGATCCTAAACAGCCCGGTCTTGAACTCAAGAAAATCAAAAAGATGGGCGGGCGTGCTATTGATGCGAACGAGGTTTTCTTCGACAATTACGTTGTTAATAGCGATTCATTAATTGGCAAAGAAGAGCAAGGTTTCAAGATTGTACTCCATGGCATGAACGCTGAACGATGTCTTTTGGCAGGCGAAGCACTAGGTCTCGGGTATGCTGCCCTGTACCGGGCTTCCCAGTATGCAAAAGAAAGAATTGTTTTTGGCAGGCCTATAGGTATGAATCAAGGTATTCAACATCCATTGGCCGACGCATACATGCACCTCGAAGCCGCAAAGTTGGCAACTTATCATGCTGCGAAATTATATGATAGCTCAACTACGGATGAGACAATAACCCAGGCAGCTGTTGGTGTTGCGTGCAACAGTGCAAAATATCTAGCAGCTGAAGCAGCCTTTACTGCCTGCGAAAGGAGCGTGTTAAGTTTGGGCGGCATGGGCTATGCCCAGGAATATCATGTTGAGAGATACTTGAGAGAGTGTTTTGTTCCAAGAATTGCACCAGTTTCGAGGGAAATGATCATGAATTATGTTGGAGAGAAGGTTCTTGGCTTGCCTAGAAGTTACTGAAAAAAGTAGTTATGTAGTATTGTATGGGAGAGTACGAGAGTGATTGTATGATATGAATTGGGCAGTTGGGACAATCGTATTACTTAAGGTGATCATACCAATTGAGATATTGGTATCAATTGGAACGATTATATCAGTTGAGGTATCGATATCAGTTTAAATGCTAATGATATCAATCAATCAATCAATCCAAACAAGGTAATTATCTCAATTGGGACAATCAAGTTGTTTGAAGTAATCACTTCAGTTGATATGTCGATATACATTGGAATTATCATAGATCAGAAGCGGAGGTTATAAGGGGTTTCTTCTTTGTATCTGTACCCCTATTTCTATTTTCAGGCAAAAAGGTTCTAAAACGACGCTGGCGCCGGCTCGCACGCAATGTAATGAAATAAAGATAAGAACTATCCCATGGGAAGACAAGATTATGGCCAGATGCATGCAAAATCTTCAGATGTTCAGTTCATGCTACACATAGATGTTCAATATAAATCATGCCCCGAACTCAACATATTTTCCTATGCCTTCCGCCTTGTCATCTATGCTCACGATCTCACGGTCACAAACTCGCCTTCTATCCTCCGATCACTGTTTTGGGTGATTGATCTGTTCCCTCAATAAACACTGCGCGATCATTCCATCATGGATAGCCACAATGAACCAAATCAAGAGTGCGTTGAAGCTTTTGCATAAATGATGCTGTATAATACTTAAAATAAACATGCAATCGTCTCTTCGTCCACATTCGCTTGTTGTCTAGAGTTCCCACTAAAAAGCCCCTGTGATGAATTCAGGCTATATTCACCTGATACAGATACCATTTTTGTTACCTAATTGGAGGATCTCGTCATCTTGATCTGAGATGAGGCTATTGTCGAGAACGTTGATATTGGCTGGCATCTTGAAATCATGGCCGACTAGAAATCATTATCTCACTACCTAGCGTGCGTAGGTAGTTGGCGAGTGTTATGGTCATTTATCAGATCGATTATCGGAACTTCGGACAATTCCAACTTTCGTCTGAAAATATGGAAATATGGAAACTCTCCCTCTCCGATACGCTACTTCGGTAGAATAGCATTTTCGTCTATTCAACCGGCATGTACCTTAACATATCGCGGAGTACTTTGTGCGGGGTACACCATCTACCCGTGGACAGCTTCGTAAGTCTACTTCGTATAGCTTTCCAAGGTTCGGAAAAATAATAACACGAAGGTTGGATGATACTCCGAAAGCTTAATATGGGATTCGGACGTTTCTGGATGAATTGAAGGTGGAGATGGGACGATGGGTAGATATAAAGGCTGGGACATTCTGTTCATGTCTTGGCTTTTTTTCTGTGTGGTTTATATTACTTCGAATTCTTTGGTTTGAATTTGGATTAGCAGACAATATGAAGATCTCTAAGTATTCGATTCCTCTATTCACTGGATATGGGCTGTCAATTGCTATGCCTGATGCCTCGGAGGCAGATCTGGCAACATCTGCACAAAAAAAAGGCTGGATTCCGCACTTTGAGAATTTAGTAGCTTTTGGAGACAGGTAAGTTGATGGTAATCACCTCACGGGTTTTTACTACTCCCGAAAAATCATGTGAGAGAGAATGGCTAAAATTAATTCAACAATAGCTATACAGACGAGTCTAGACTGAGTTATTTCCAAACTCACAACGGCTCTGCACCGCCGCCAGGAACTTTACTTCCATCCAGCAATTCGACTGCTGGTGGAGGCGTCACCTGGGATCGATGGGTGTCGAATTATAGCGGAGCAAAGCTTTATGATTATGCTGTCGCTGGAGCAGTCTGCTCTAACGGAATCATCAATCGATATCTAGCCAGTGTCCATGGACCTTTCCCTGATGTTGTCTATGAAGTTGATGCGTTCGTTGCGGATGTCAAGTATATCAATTCATCCACAAATACCAACACTCTATACACGAACCGTAAGCCTGACAACACGGTATACTCGATGTGGATCGGTACCAACGATCTAGGAGAGGGTGCCTTTTTGACAGACTCTTCCTTGAACGGGACAACCATTCCAGACTACGTCGATTGCATTTTCGATAGATTCGACGGAATTTATCAGACCGGAGCTAGATACTTTGTTCTAATGAATAATGCACCGTTACAACTAACGCCATTGTATGGGATGCCAGGTGCAGGAGGACTGAATGCTAGCCATTATTGGCCCAACAAAGTGAGAATCTCAACCTCTCCCATGTGGCGTTTAAGCTTACACATTTGTAGCCAAGCAACATTTCAGAAATCAGCGGGAAAATGAAAGAATATACTCAATTGGCCAATAGCATATTCGACTACCGAGTACCATTTGAACTATTAATTAAAAAGCGTTACCCAGGAGCGTCGATTGCCATCTTCGATACCAATTCTTTACTTACCGATATTTACAACAATCCAACGCAGTATTTACCAGCACCAGCCGTTGTTGATGTATCATACATTCTCTGCGCTGTCTCCGGATCACCATGTCCCAAGCAACCAGGAAGCTTAGATGGTTATATGTGGTACGACGAACTTCACCCTTCTCAAGGAACAGATAAAGTCATTGCTCAAGAATTTTTGAATGTTGTAAAAGGAAATTCGAAGTATGCCACATATTGGTAATTGGTAGCTTGTTGTCAGTGAATGGTTGACAGGTAAACATAATGATAAAGTAGGAAAAGTAATGATTATCTGGAACTGAAGTTGTATGCTTGCTCGTGCTACCATTACCCGTATCTAATCCCTACTGAGACGAACATGCATATTTCCCTTCCGACGAAAGCGCCGCCAGGCACAAGAGGTTCGTTTGCATGGAAATGCGTATACCAAAGCCCACAAGACTCTCTTAACCCCCAAGAAACGTTATAAGAGTAGACGAATCAATCATTGAACAACGGCAAGTCAATGATTGTGCATATTTAGGAGCATGTTGTCATGCATGTGCAATCCGATCATACCACTTAGCAAATGCGGGTTAAAGGTGTGCAGTAATTGAAGCAATCCCATCATTTTGATTCTAGCAAATCCTTCAATCAACAGTCAAGGAATGGACGGACAATAGTGTCTATCTTAAGATCCAAGATCTGAAGACTTATATTGGTCGGTCTACTTATGACAGCATTCTGAAGCATTTGAGGTCATCTAATTCTTTCCATATCGTCTTTTAAATGTACAACTAGTGTCCATACATACCCAGATATGTTCACATTCCTGGTCTAGATTGCTTCTCTACCACTAGATATGACTTCGGTTAAAAATCCTTGCCAAATTTGAGCTCGGTTCTTGTTGCGATGCATCCGAAGGCGAACGCGCATTAATTTCTCACACCCCAGAAAACAACCCACATCGTAATACTGGAAAAGAAAGAGGACAGCAAAAAAGTAGCCCAAGGGACCGTCATCTACCCATCCCACATCCTACAGCCCACCCATCTCCAAATTACCCCAGGAAAAACTTCCCGAAACGAGACCACCCAACGGGAACCAAAGACCCTTGGCATTGCCTTACGCACATTCCCGAACGAACGAAAGTTGATCTAGCAATTCCCAGCTAAATCATTGCCGTGCGGCGTATGTGCGACTTGAGATTATGGTAGGCAGCCTATCATAGGCCCCTTTATTGACTTCCAATAGCCATGTATGCACCAAATTACTCTTTTGGACAGGGCAACAATACGCAGTCTTTCAATCCCAATGGTGGCCATCCACAGGCTCCCCAAAATGTCCATCAACCAGGTCAACAACAGCCTCAGCACATGATGTATAATGCTCAACAATACGGGCCCGGGGGTCATCAATCACCTTACGGCGCATCTGGCCCCGGTATGGCTGGTAATGCCGGTGGAATGGGAATGATGCAGAACAGCGGTTTGGCGCATATGCCTGCTGGAAATGGTGAGTCGCACATTTTAATAATCCTTTTACAATCTGCTATAAGAATGTATTGCTGCTGCATATCTTGTACACGCGTCAATGTCAGATGAAGGAACACACAGCTCCTGTTAATCAGACTATGAAGGGCATGCGAGGTGTCAAAAATACACAGTCATTCACGTTAAGCAGAAAGGCAGGCAGCAACTTGTTACTTCTCACAGTGGTGACCAAACAGAGCAAGATGACTGACCAAATTATAAGTAGTTTCTTCCTATCAAACGCCATATACAAGCTCTCCTTACGGCAACAATATCGCGACATCCTCTTCCGTCTCGCACCCTACAAACTTCATGCCGACTGCATCAAATGTGCCTCCACAATATGGGATGAACCCTTCCGCAATGATACCACAACAGCAGCAGCATCAAATGCAGCGCATGCAGCCACCGCCATCTTCTACACCGACGCCGACGTCGGCGACTTCCCGCGTCTCTCCCTACGGAAATTTTCCCCAGAGCACACCACCAAGCGCGTCAAACGCACAATTCGCTGTACCACCAAATCCCAATCAGCAACAACATCAAACCCCTAATAACAATCAGCAAGGAGGAATGAGCTTGACTCCACAGACCCCAAGCTTCCCGCCAGGTGTGCGAAATTCCGAGAACGCGGGAGCCGCCATGAGTACGCCATTAAGTCCTGGCTCAGAGCTTCGAGAGAAGGAAAGGGTCACCGTACTACTAGATATCAATCGCGAAATGTTATTAGAAATTATGCGGATAATAGCTCTACAGACTGATTTGAAGAACAACAAAACGGAGGATATCGCTGAGAAGTCAACGCTTGAGGCAGAGCATAAACTTCTGGCGACCGAATATATGCAGTTTGTCCCCTATACGTGTTGAGGCCGAAGCAATTACTAACGAATCTGAAGATGCATGCGACGACTACAATCAAATCTAGCTTACCTTGCCGCAATCGCCGATCGCTCGCACAAGCCCGCAGCTCAGATCCCCTCGCATCCCGCAATTATGTTTGCACCAACTCTTACATATAAACCTGCGCACACTATCCCTATATCTGCGCCCACGAATGACGACGATCCAGCATCAAACCCCGAAGAAGGGCACGAAGATCGGAGAGAGATTTTAAAGGAGGCTTATAAACGATTACAGGCCCTGTACCCAGGCGTAGATCCTAAGAAAGATACACCTGCTGGGCCACCAAACGCAGCAGGTCGAGCACAAGCGCAGGCACAGCAACACGTAAATCTAATGCAGACAGCAGGGCAGAAACAGGGTGACATGGGCCAGAGTGTACAGAATATGACAGCAGGGCAAAATGGGATGGCGCAAGGACAAGGTCAAATGATTCAAGGCGGCATGGGCGGCATGGTTGGTATGGGCCAAATGCAGCAGCATCAGCAGCAAGGTCAACAAAATATGGGAATGCCCGGTCTCAACCAAAATCAGAATCAATTGCAGCAGCAACAGCAACAACATCAACAAAAGATGCAAAATGAAATGATGAGACAGAGGATGATGCAGGAAGCTCAAAAGAACCAAATGATGAACATGGGGCAAATGCCGGGAAGATAAATATTTACTTCTTGCAGCTGGTCAATATCAAAGAATGTGGCTGTAGTGGAGGATCGGGATTGATGTGGCATTTGATTGGTGTTGGGTATCAAAGCTTGATGAGGGATTGGCTACTTCGGACGACACAGGCTCAGGCGTATGTATATGCTGTATGATATATGGCGTTGGGTAAGGGAGGTTTTATGCTTTTAGCAGTGGAACAGGATATTGCATGTATGGAATGGTTATGGATTATCGAATGGCAAATATACCTAGATTTGATACTTCTTGGACTCTTTTTACAGTCTTATGCCTCAAATTTGTATGTCGTGGAATGTGAAGTGCTAGTTTCGCCAGTTTCGCCAGTTGCGGCTCTGTGAGATGATACGCCATGTGATTACAGTTAGGTAAAAATCGGATAACTTCAGAGAGCTGACAGCAGCGAGCCACGGAATTTACATCACAGACAGGCAAAGGAGCGAGCGATAAGCTTGTGAAACGCCCTCATCACTTATCCCATGTTGGATATCAGCGCCGATGAACGTTGAAATCAGCTGTAGTTCTAATACCTAGAGACTAAAAGGGAGATGTACGCATTTGGGATTCGCAAATTTTACATCAATATCTGATAAATGGGGGGGCTTTTTGGGCTTTAATTGGGTAGATAGTTGTTGATAATGGGATGGACAAAATGAATGATTCGCAGCCTGGAGCGGGATACTTCTTACAACTTCATGCATAGGTGGGCTTCAGCATACGATCGTATATATGGACAGTATTCATAGAGTGAGGCATTGTGCTTGCTTGCTTGCTTACTTAGAGAAGTAGAATGAGGGGGTGAATGAGAGAGATTTTCCTCGAGTCGTTAGTTGCATCTTTGTATGTATGTATGTGTGTATGTCAAAAACCCTGTGCAGAATTGAAAGCAAGAGGATTAAGTAAGTTGCGAGGATCAATCAAGTGTATTTCGTAAGCCTTTCTTCACGATTGAAGCTTGTGAATATGAGAAGTTGGAGCCGTATCTCATCCACTTGTAGAACGAAGGATTTGGCATGCAGAAAGGCTGGTATGTAATACTATGTATGTAGCTATTTGTGGATGTGGCTGGTGCTTGGGTGGGATCTGACAAACAAGTCGTTCCCTCTTAAGGATTAGTAAGGATACCGGCGGAGAGATGTGCAACTTGGATCTTTCAAGTTAGTTGTGATGTTGATGTCGGAAAGTTGTTTGAGACAACGTTATGTTATGGAGAATATTGTTTTAATAAGGCTGAGTCTCTAGATCGGGTTGATGAAGGGGAAGAAGTCGAGAAGCGAAGAGGAAAATTGGCGGTCAATGCTACGATTAGTCTACGGGATGGCGGTAGAGAATATCTAAGACACTTTGGTACAATGTCATTTCTATCTTCGTCTGAACTCATATGATCAATTACATTTATTACATATTATCGCTCGCGTGTTAGTCATGGGATTGGAATCCATATTAATCATCAAACATACAAGAAGATTGCATGTCTATCAATTGCATGTTTTGATCTATTGAAGATACGGACGGCATTTCCGTGTTGAAGTATTTTGATACTGTTGCAGTTAGAGTGGGTGGACACACTGGCTTCAGAGCTTGTTTTTGTGGAAATTGGTAATTGGGCGTAATGCTAGAGATTGATACCCAAATATCTTCTTTTACGAATCTTCAAACATCCGTTCATGAATTTGCTTTACAACTAACTTACTCCTGTTCATCTCATAAGGTTTCGATATATCTACACTATAGATGAAGAAGAGAAGGGGAACTTCTCAAACTGTGGGGTTTCTGTTTCAAGTAAAGTTATGTTTCTCTTACTTCGATCCGGCTTCTACGTAGGAGTACCAGAAAATGTTTGCATGTTTCAGACGTGGCACTTTCTGTCTTTCTTTTTTGCTTCAGTGCCTATAGATTTGTGTGGTTGATTGGTAGCGCCCTTAAACCTAACACGTTACTGCGCTTTCCTCAAATGACATGAGGGGACAGGGATTTACATCGACGTCTAAAATCCTTCGAGGATGCAAAGTGGATCGATTGGCTGTATTGCTGTAATGTCCACTCATCCTTAGTTCACCGTTTCTATCACTTCATACCTCTGCCATTGACAATTAGTCTCGACGTTCCAAACGATATTGTGGGGCGAGTTAAGCGCAGGCAGAATTTGAGTAAATTCTACGAGAGGAACACAACTTGTGATAACTTGTTGGTATTCATACCTTTTGTGGATATTTTCGCGACTTTCAAACCCAACGTAGCACGAGGTTCGGAGAGGCGTTTCACGGTTAGTTTCCGATGACTTGGAGACGCGGACCATACTGGTGGTAATCCTTAATCCTACTCCAAGCACTCTCATCTGCTATCCGGTTAAAAAAGGCATCCGAGTTAATGTTTACAATACAACCCTGCCAGCTGCGCCTCCATTGATATATTCAAACGTATATTTTTGTGGATACTGTGCAGTAGGTTGAGCATCGTTCGAGTTTTAGAGCTTATTCTATTCTCATCTATCCCCATGTCATCTTCTGACCGGGGTCTTGACATGTTGACTTTAGATCTATGGATACCCAACGTGTGATATGATTCTGGTTCCTTTTGCGACGTTGATGTTTTTTTTCTGTTGTACTACGAGTAATGTAGCTTCATAATGATTTTTTCATACTGTTCAATAATTCTTTTGTTATCGACATTCGTTAACACTCAATCTCTTTCGGACGAAATTAATTCTCTCCCATCATGCTCGGATAGTTGTCTCGATACTGCTACAAGAACACTTGGATGTAGTATTGGTGATTATAGTTGCTTTTGTGCAGACGAAAGTGGAAACTCGGCACAGAGTTCAACCATATCGAATGCAACCACCTGTATACAAGACTCATGTAGTCTGATTGATGCTAGCAGTAAGTTGTTCCCCGGATAGTTCAGAACTCAAGCTTAATTCCTTATAGCTTCCTTGAAGGTTGTTGGCCAGATTTGTGTCCTTATTAATGACCCCACATCCTCCTCTTTGAGCTCTTCATCAGCAAGATCAAGCGCCTTGAGCTCTTCCACTACGTCATCACAAAGTAGTACAACTTCGAGTAGTGTAGTGTTATCTACTTCGATGGCCTCTGCTTCGGTGACCGCGACTGCTACGCCAATAGCACTAGCAAGCTCGCCGTCTAGCACAGCGACGTCTTCCAATGACTCTTCGGGTAAGGGTATGAGTGACGTCGCGAAGGCTATGATTATTCTGGCCGTCGCGGCCTTGTTACTAATACTTGCTGTCGGTGCATGGCTATTATGGAGACGGAGAAGGAACCAGAAAAACTCTTCAACAAGAGGGAAGTTCAAGAACCTTGACGAAGATGAAGAGATGGGTAAGACGCCGGTGGAACTCCAAGGAAATGATACCCAAATATTCAAGTGGGGAGGTATTGGCGTTCGGAAATCATTTAGGGTCCACACTCAACGGATCACTTCATACATGTCGCCAACCTCCCCGAAGAACAGAAACCGTGGTGAATCTTGGGGAGAGCCACGAGGCCTCCTCTCGACGATAGATGAAAACTTACGAGGAGTGGGACAAAGTCCTGAGCCAGTTGATCGAATCGATACTAGTCCCGTAAGGTGGCCTTCGACATCCACCGCTAACTCCCCTACATCTCCTGAGATGGTCGAACCTAGAGGTGCCCTATTCCCTCCTCATCACTCTCGTAATAACTCCAACTCACGAGAATCCTTGCCGCCCATATTACCGGCACTGGATCTACCTGCTATAACCCTTTCGACATCCTCTAGACCTAATACCCCACATCAATCTCTACCTCGAACCCCGCCACCACCTGAAGTCCCTGTAAAGACCATTGCTCGACTTGATAGGCCTTTCTCAGATTTCCCCCACAATATGCCACCTTCACCCCGGACCGCTGGAATCTCCTACGGCGCCCTGGCACGCTCGCTCTCAGTCGCCGAAACCCCATCCTCTCCCCGAGCTCTCCAAACTCGATCCCGCCATTCCATCTCATCTATCCCCAACACACCTCGAACACCCACCACAACCACCGAGTTTGCCTCACCCACCTCCCCACCCATCCAATCCCCCTCCGCGCAATCTTTCCACACCTTCGGCGCCCGCTACTCCACCCACTCCCAAGCTTCCGTCTCCACCTTTCAAACCTTCCCCATTTCTCCCCAAGACATAACCGAAGTGCCTCCCCTCCCCAACATTTCCTCCATCTACCCCACATCAACATACCCATCCCTTCCTCCCAGCCGCCCCACCACCTCGGAATCCTCCCGCCCCCAAACCGGAAAATACTACCACAGCAAACAAACCTCCATCTCAAAAGTAAAACCCAAAATGATCTACCTCTCCAACACCCCGGGTATCTCCATCGTCCCCTCCGACTCCATCTTCGCCACTCCCGAACCCATTCTCCGCGCTCCCCCCTCAAACAATCCCTTCCTCACTCAAAATGAAGAGAAATCCTCCAAACCCATCATTTCCATCAAACCCGTCATCGACCGCTTTGATACCGTCAGTTCCTGCGGCTCGCAGAGTAGCAGCGGAAAACCTAATTTGAAACCTCACGTGGAAGAATTGTTCCAAGAGGGTGCGGAGAAGAAACGTTTCCAGGAACGCCAAGAAGAGAGGAGGATGAAGAGGAAAGAGAGATTGATGCATGGACAGGGAAGTGGGGATTTGGGAGAGAGGGTCACGAGTTGGTATGATGCTACTGGCTAGATCTGAAAGGCTTAGAGTGGTATGGATCAACTCCAAGATTTGGGCTGATAATGAAAAGTTATGAGGTTTGGGCCATAGGCGTTGAAAGATGGGAGGTTTCTAGACAAGTAGGGAGTGATTTTTTGTTATTGTTAGCGCGTTTTGCATGTATTTTCAGTCATTGGCGAGTTGCATATACTAAAGGAAGCGGGAGTATCATGTCGGGGTTGGAGTTGAGTGTTTGCGAGGATGCAACGCTGGGTTTTAATTTCTCTAGTGAATTTTTATCAGAAGGATGATGTATATACAAAACTATGTTCGTATATAAAATTAAATGATAGGAAAAAATGTGTATGAATCACAATATCTATATACCGATGCCCACCCAAATTCCCTATAGATTAAAGATATATATACCGGTACCCCCCCGAGCCACCCAAAATTCCCTATAAAAACAATTTGAACTCCTCGTGAACATTCATTTCCCCCTTCCTTTACCTTTCCCAGCATTCCCACTATTCATGTCTTCCTTGCTCTTTCTTTCCCCAAAACCCTTCATCTCACTCATTCTCCTCGTGCGGACCCTCTGCAGAACCCTTGGTAATTCCTCTTCCATATCCTTCTTCTGTTTCTCCAGCTCCGACTTATCCATCATTACAGTCTTGACACCCGTACCAGGCCTTGCAGTATCAGGTCGTGCAGTACTGGCATTTCCAGGACTAGGCCCGAATATTTTCTCTTTCGTACTGCTAAATGTTGGTCTCCGCTTTCTCGTCGATATCATCTGTGGTTGGACTTCCTCCACAGTTCCATCAGCTGGTACCATTTCCGATTCTACCGTGTCAGGTCTCTGTATCTTATCTACCCACTCCCTATAACTGCCTCTCGTCAATAGTCCGCTCCTAAACTCATTTGCTCCCACTAGTAGCTTGACCAGATCAATGAGTTCTTCCAAGTATTCGATGACTTCAATTTGACCAGCAGAAGCCGCATTCCAGGATAGAAATTTTTGCCGAACAAATCTCTTCACCATCGAGACTTCAATTTCTGACCGTTCGTGAGAGGACTCTTTGACATGACCTGAAGAGGAAATAACAACTTCCCGGACACGGTTTATCATGCGCAGATGGGCAAGACGAGCGGAAGGCAAGAATTGAGGAAGAGGAAGTTTTGTCGTAAGCGCCTCGTGAGTGGCAAAAAGAATCAGCGTTATGGATCCAGCAACATTACGCCGATAGGGATAAACTTGTGCATTGAGTTCTTCGAGAACACCAGATCCATATTCGTGACGTAAGATAAGCATATTTTCCATGCGATCTACAATAGCATGTAATACGTAAAGAATTTCGCTATAGATAAGAGCATGAGGTGCGAAGGAACCTTTGAGACGTGGCTCATTGGCGCAGAATGGAAGGAAGGTTTCTGCTGCTGCTAATGCGGCTTCGGCCTTTCCCTTGGCGATAGAAAAGCGGGATATGACAGCTGGAGAATGCACATTGACGTTATTGATTTCAGTTTCAATACCATATGCTAGACAGGCTTCCATTTCTGTGATTTGACGTATAGAACAGGCGAGAGATTCTACAAGACGATCACGTGCTTTGACTGGAAATAGCGCAACTTCAACGATGAGAGCCACAACACCACCAATGAAGAAGGCAATCAGTCGTTTCAAGAAGTTCTCGGTAGCTGAACCAGGAACGGTATGATCTTCAGTCGCAAGAACTACAATCGACATTGAGATGATTGTGACCATCCCCGCTTTGATGTATTTAGACCCGAGTTGAATGTAGGTGGATGGAATGATACCAATAACAATTATCACCACAGCTACTATTCTGTTGCCCCCGCGAGCTTGAAACGCGGCATATCCCCATATACAACCTATCGTTGTACCGACAGCTCGCAACATAAAAGTCATAACAGAGGTTCCAATGGCAACTTCTGTGATGAGAACCAGTTGCAGAGCAGCCCAAAGGCCTCTGTTCATAGAATACCAAGTATTCCACTGAACAAGAAAAGCCGGCCAAGTCACAAGAAAGACGGCAACGGTCAGCTTGATAGCGTATGATATATCGTCGCTACCGACTAAGTATTCAATCGCGTCGGCTAACCCATTTCGCAGTCGGAACATGCGCGCTCCCTTTATCTTTCGTTTTACAGTTTTATCCGTAGCTTTGGACGATGGTGTTGGAGGTTCTTTTTTCGGCGTTGCTGACTCCACATCTTTTTTCGCTAGTAGTGTTTCTCCACTATCAATACTTGCAGCATCGCCCGCATCAGTGTCCTTCTTCTTGCCTGTTCTTGCGTCTTTTCGTGCACTGTCTGGTAAGGCTAACATGTCCGCTTCACCACCGGACTGAAGCCACTTTCTCCAATTGATTTGTGGAAGATAAATTCTTTTTCGGTCATGTCGTTCCTGTCGTCTTTCAACCAGAACCCGAGAATGTCTGAGCATCCCAAGTGTATGTAGGGCGGCTTGCCGAAGATTCAACAAGAACGAGGAAATCAGGAATGTCTCCATTCGAGGCATCAAATCAACTTGCGGTCCACCAAGATCGTGTAGCACGGCAGCATTCTCCAATGCTGAGGCTGAAGTCCTATCAAACTCCGCAATCGCATCAACCAGAATATCTACTCGAATATCAATCTCTTCGAGTCGAATACCAGCGGGCGCTCGAGTTCCCGAAGGTAATTTCGGGACATCGTAGCAATAGGCGAGAGAGGAAGAAACGACATCAACACTTCTATCAATGTTTTCTTGAAGATTTGACAATGGCTTTGCAATACGTTGCACAAGATACTTCAACAAGTCAATGTCGCCATACTCAATTTCTTTCCTCGGCTTAATCAACTCTAGGTTGTCCATCTCCTTCTCAATCAATGACTTGACCTTTTTCCTATCCTTCCTTCTCTTCTTCTTTTGTTTCCGCCTTTCTTTTCTGGAAGGTTTCTTCTCATCTGAACTCGAGTCGTCGTGTGTATCCATATCTGTCGCTGCTCGTGACGAGTCCTCTGTATCTGGATTCTCAATCCCAGCGTCTTCAGCCACTGATTTGAGTTGCTCTTCATTCTTAGTCTCTGCCTCTTTCTTGTCATCTTCGTCACCCATTAATGCATACTTGCTTTCACAGGCACAAATAAGAGCAATGGTGTTAGCCACAAGTTTCTTCATTTCAATATCACTGATGGGTTTCACATCTCTCGGTGGTATGACCGCCCAAGCAAGCTCAAAATTACATTCTTGTTGGGCTGCCTTACATTCTGCTAATTTGGCACGTAGTTTGGCCTTTTTATCGGTGAGTGATTTCAGCTTCACTGGTTGCGGACCTTTGTTGATGTCTGTTGGAGGCGGCTCCGGAGTTTCTTTAGTCTTGTGGAAAAAAGAAAGTAGTTTTTGCCTCAAAGTCAAGTGATTGATGTTAGATTTCTCGGCAGGCCTTTCAGCGAGAGTCGGAGGTCTATCAAGGTCTGCACCATTTCCGCTCCCAGAGGCACTTATGATGTTTTCTAATTTAGTGTCTGTGATTGCAACTTCAGAGCCTTCGGCGCTGGCAATGAAGTAACGCCCAGCATCCCGCAGAGCTCCAACAGTTTCGCCAAGAGTCTCAATAGTGGTAATTCCCAGGAAGCTACTAGAGAACTCCGGGAAGACAAGAGTATTCACAGCAAGTAAGACAGCGATAGCAGTTACAATTGGGTAAACAAGCTGGGTGACTGAGAGCGTTGTGACTGCCGTGGCTGTACTAGTCATACTCACGACGCACACTATAACTAGGAGTAGCACCATGAGAAATAGGCGTGGTGTGTGTGACCTTAGGACTCCATGGAAGAGCAGCGATATAGCAAGAAATATGCCTCGAATAGTGAATGCTGCTTGAGGATTACTGTCATATATGAGACTCGACAAGTAGAGCGCGAGCATAGACCAAGCCACTCCAAGCATTGTTCCTGAGAGAGCCAATATCAGAGCTTCAGCCATCATTCCAAAGCGTCTTCCTGGATGTCCAAAGACAGTGGTTATTGGCGCAAGGTATGCGGCTTTCCCATATACTGTTACCACCTGCGGGATAATTGCAAGAATAATACAGATTGTAGTCGCCAGAGTGTTTTTCAGCATTCGCTGCCACAGATTGTTCGTCTGCATGTTGGTCCATATTGCTCTCGCCCTCTTCTCCGCCCATTCCTCCCATCTGCTGGGACTCCATATCGACTTCCCCATCATGTATATATTGTATGTGTGTTTCGGCGCATGGAGGACTTGACCAATCTTACCATGTATGTATGGGTAAGGTCCCAGATATTCAATGGTACCGACAGATGCTTAGAGTGGACTTGACGTAAACTTCGAATGTTAGAATCGTGTTGGTCGTGTATCGTGAGGCATTACAAGAGCATAAGGAAAAAGAAAGATTGAGACGTGTACACCATTAAACTTCAATTAAATGCATAGCCAAAGGAAAAGTAGATATATTTATAGTTTGAAGTTAATTAAAAGAAAGGAAGTGGAAAAGACATTGAATTGAAAAAAAGAAAAGTTGAGGCGCGATGGGAATTTCTTTCCAAAGTATGAAAATGCCCAACCTCGAGCCAACCAATGACGACCCAATTTTTGATCTACAGTGATTAAACTTGCATACAGGGGGTGATTGACCGCCCGTACCTATCTGTATGAGCTCACCAGGCTGTAATTTACAAACCCCAGCGAGCCCAGCCCAGCTAAAAGAGTGCCCCGCACAACTTAATCTACCTAGTACGTCCTGAGCAATGAGCAATGTCAGACAACCACCCACGTAACTACATATCATTACCTACTTTCTTAACATCAAGATAATACACAATCGTCTATTTATCACCATGGCGCCTTCTTCAACGGTAATTGTGAGTGTTAATACTTTTGTTATCTATTATGTGCAAAAACTGAATCATATATACATATGCTAACTCCGACAAAGTCTAAACTCAAGGTCCAGCTGAAGCTCTCAATTGCCCGGCTTCGCATGGTCCAACAGAAAGATGAAGCTGTTTCGAAACAACAACGTAGAGCTATGGCTCAACTTCTAGAGACCGGAAAGATAGAATCTGCAAAGATTCGAGTCGAGAATATCATACGATCAGACATTACTACCGAACTCCATGAAATACTCGAGCTCTATTGCGAGCTACTCCTTGCGCGAACTGGACTCATGGAATCTTCGGTTTGCGATGCGGGCTTAGAGGAAGCTGTCAAGAGCTTAATATATGCTGCGCCTAGAACAGAAATCAAGGAGCTACAACAAGTGCGCGCTTTATTGTGTGAAAAGTACGGGAAGGAGTTTGCCTTGCAAGCAATGGAGAATAGTGATGAGAAGGTCTCGGAGAAAGTGCTAAAGAAGCTATCTGTCACACCACCAGCCCAGGAATTGGTGAATGGATATTTGGAGGAGATTGCTAGAACATATGGGGTTGACTGGCCAAAAAGACCAAAGGAAGATCTTGGAGAAGCCCCAGAATTTGTGGATGATGATGATGATGATGATGACGAGAATCCGAGTGGTGGACAGGCACAAAAGAACCTGGAGGCGCCGCTAGCAGCGAATGGTAAGGCTGACGAAGAGAGAGAGGAGTTGAGTAAAGCCACCCCACCAAAAAATTTCGGGCCCTCGAGCCCACTTAGGGTGAATCCACCAAGCCCTCGTACAGACAACTTGCATCCTAGGGTTCGCGGAGCTCTAGACCTGAAGCCAACAAAGAAAATTCAAACTGCGGCTGCGTCAAAGCCTGGCATTCAAAGCAAGGGTCCAGTTGGAGGTACGATACCGGATGTGGATGAGTTGGCCGCAAGATTTGCAGCATTGAAGAAATGAGTTGGCTTATAGAATATTGCAACGGCGGCGGAATCAGGAGTTGAAGAACATATTCAGACAGGCATAGGGATTGTTTTTATTTGGCGTCAATCTATACCACTATTCAGATTCTGTGTGATTTTATCCGGGGTCACGATCATGGCCACTGCAGGATAGAATTTAATCATAGAAACCTTCATCCATTGACAACCTAGTCTCTCAAGTCTTTTCTGAGGTAATCTACCGAGATCTTCTACCGAGATCTTCCTTCCAGGCCTTCCTGAGATTTTGAAGCGGTATCGAATTTCGGTCTCATTTCCTAGGCTTCTCTCGTTTTCTGATGAAAGTCGTGCAACAAGGGCTTAATATTTCCATCGTACCCACTCTTTCTCATCCATTCGCCCACCGACTTGATCCTTCCCGGCAAAATTTCATCCATCAAAGCCCAATCCTTTCTTACCTTGCCACTCTTCCAAAATCTCCAGAACCCACCAAAATTCTCCCGATACGTTTGCAATGTTTCTTCGTCTCCGGGAGCACTGTGCCCAAACTTCGCATCCGGATCTGGGAAGAGGCCAAGATCAAACCAGCCATCGACCGTCACATCTTTATACACCGCTTTCTTCCCGGTGGCTTCAGTAAACGCAGCTGGAATATCAGCCCAAACAACTTCTTGAGAAGCAACATGAAGATTAAGTCCATTGCTACGATGGGGATGATCGAACACCCATCTGGCATATTTTCCAAAGTCCTCTAAAGCGATCAGCGGCGCACTTCCTCTTGGTCCCAAGGGAGCAATAAAAGCCAAAGTCTCGGGATCGTCCTTATCAGGATGAGGAGCCAAAAGCTCATTCAACATTTCCATATACAAACAACTAGTCAAGATACTCCACTTCATCTTCTCCTTGTCCTGTACGCTAATCCAATCCGCAACCTTAGCTTTCGCATCCATATGACCATCTCTATAATCGTTATCGAAATCGGAGATCTTGAGTGAATACTCAAGGCTGGAGTACAAGAAATGTTGCAGCTTGTGTGTGCGTGCGATTTCATAATAACGGATACCCCAATAGATTTCACCTTTTTCGCCAATGGCACCACCATTTGTATTGATAAAGGCGTGAGTGCATCCAGAGAAGAATCCATGGAGGTCATGCTCGGAGTAGATATCTCCTTCGACGATGGTCACCCCTGGAAGTTGCGCCAGTTCTTGCGCGTGTGGAGAGTTGGCACTTCGAGTCACGAGGCGAATGTTGTAGGCGCCATCTTGAGCTAATTCTAAGGGATTGTTAGTATATCATAGGGGATTATGGATGGATATCATGGGAATCTACCTTTGACTACGGGCATGCCTTGAACGCCTGTGCCTCCAATGACAAGAACAAGAGGTTTTGTAGAAGCCATTCTGTTATTGTCGTAATGAGTTTTAGATTTGGATTGTTGTTTAGATTATTTAAATATCTTAGGCTAAATGACTTGAGTTTTTTGATCTTTTTCTGTATGAACTCCATCCAGAAATCTTTCCAACGACAAAAACCTTCAACATATACCTTTCTCTGTATCACTAATCATGTTCTATACCTCCCTCCTTCTCGGTGTATATGTCTAATCACCTACGCGTCAATTGTTACATCATCTGCATACCTCGCATCAACTCGCAGAGTATTTATTAATCATCTACACCTCACTCACATCTGTATTCTCTCTTCCCCGCGCAATATCTTTATCCAGAGCGCCACAATCGAGGTGCTGATTTAAGCGAGCGCTTTAGGAGCCGATGATGAGAAATGAATAGTAATCATGCAACAAAAGAAAATGCTTACTCCGCAACGAGCATAGAGCTGTTGACGGAATTAGTATTGTGATATGAATCATTGGATGGGAAGAGTTTGGGCGACGTGAAAGGCTGTGGAAATGTGCTGATGCTATTTTTGATGATTAGTTGGTGATAGATTTCTTCAATTGCGGGAATGCAAGTATTCTAATCATGAATTCTTGGTAGATTTGTAGAGGCCAAATATTTACTCGGTTAGCCATGTGTTTTCCTGAAAATTTTTAGTCTGAGTGAGCACAAGGAGAAAATACTAATCAAGAACAATCGAAAATCCTTGAACCACCGGAAATGATTCCATGACTCCTCGAACGCGTCACAGAACTTTAAGGTTACCGTGTATCTCCCATGTCGCTTATATCTGGAGAAGAGAAGTATCACACATCATTCCAACAGCTGATACTTTAACTCCTGAACCTCAGAAATCTGATATAGGCACTAATTCACTTTATAAATACTACTATCAATCACTATGTCAACCCAGTCAGCGGAAAAGATAGCAAGTATCATTAATCGTAATTTGTAAGTGATACTGCTGTCAGAAGTTTAAACATCCAAAATGCTAACAGCTTAATTTTCAGACATTACTCCAAGGTCATACACATTCAACCACCACTTCTCAGTTTTGGAATAGAAAAGAACAAATCACTCGGAAGACGTGGCACTGTTATTGGTAAAGCTTCTTTATTAAATTAAGATCAAGCTCTGTCTAATTCCACTCACAGTTTCATGCGCCGATCCTCGCATTACTCCTGAGAAATTCCTTGGTCTTGAATTTGCCGGTATTGTCTTCTCTTCCCTTGAAGCTCTTCGAGTGTTGTAGAGCTAATTTACTTTATAGAAGCAGCCATTATACGTAATGCGGGAGGACGCGCTCGTCCTGCTCTAGCCAGCCTCCTCGCTCTTGACAGTCTTGGTAATACAGGCACTATTATTGTGATTCATCATACAGACTGCGGCATGTCTCATTACTCAGAATCCGAGTTTCGTGATAGATCGAAAGCAAAGCATCCTGAGATTGATCTCCATGGAGAGGAATTTGGTGCTATATTGGAGTTAGTGTTTCCTGTTTCAGGATCTTGTGGATGAATTGAATGCAACAAGGTTGTAATAATCAAAGAAGAGTACTAACGAAACAAAAACTAGTCCCGAGAAAACAGTAAAGGAGGATGCGGAGTATCTGACATCATTTGAGAGTTGAGGTAAGGCGAATGTAGAAATCGTGGCACTGGTCTTAGATACATTTTCCGGAGTTTTAAGGAGAGTGATCTGAGTTTATAGTCGAGAGATGAGCTGGACTAGCTAATTGCTACCAGCGGACTGTTTTTCCAGGCAGTTGGAAGATGCTCTTGTTGTATTTGCATTCATTGTAGCAATCTTGGGTCAGAATTAAAAGTAGAGTTTCTCTATATGTAGACTTCCTGATCCCGAAAGTACAAGACTGGCATGTTAAAAACACTCAATACGTGTCTTTTCAACTGAATTGCAAGCACAAAACACTTTCTTCAAATGATGAAGTGAATGATTGCGAATGCGCTCCTTGGAATTTTCTCCAACTCTTCCAGAAACTCCAAAATAGTTTGAAATTTAATGGTTTTCGCATAGCTTCAATGACTGAGTAAGTCTATCGTATCCTATTGTCTTTGCTTAATTAGTTTTGCTATGATCAACTGACTGACTGACTTTCTATAATATAAGACCACTGCCTCATTTCACATTCACTCACTCACTTACTACCCACTTTGCAAAAATCACGTACTCAGCCTATACCTCCAGCTCATCTCGTCTCATCTCAACTCATCTTACCTCCGTCATTCAACTCACGATCCCCACTTCACATTATCCACCAAAAAAAAATATCAAAAGTTCAGCCACTCGGCCTAATCTATCAATGCTCACCAGGTTAAGGGATAATACATTGTAATCCTACTCACGGCTCTGAAGGCGAGCTTCAATGTATCCTCGCTGGCCAGGCGAGCAATACATTATACCACTACGCCATGAGAGACGTTTTCGGATACTGGAAGCTATGAGTTTAAAGCTATAACCAAGTGTGGGCGGGTTGGGCTGGAAATGGTTGAATATGCTTCTGGTCATGGGGAAATCCCTTACATGATGTCTTACTTCATTGATAATGTATCAACATTCATCTCGACAATTCTCTGTGTTTCTCTGGCTGTGTGACTATCATATGCGTCAAGTTAGCTCTGTGATTCAGATTCTTCAGTACACGGGATAATGAATATAGTATGCTACCATGTATAACTCATACTGCCATGATCTAACTTTCGATTCACGAATGAAGATTGCAAGAGCTTCCCTTGTGAGGACTGTGATAATGTTCATCAAGAAATCGCTCATCTTAAACTTCTTTCCACCTCAGGATCTGACTCAAGCTCAAGCTCTTGATTATAGCATACTCATTTTAGGCTGATCAGCCAGAAGAGTGCAGTAGATGGCGATAGAACGATGATAATATATCAAATTGGTGAGCGGTGGGCCTAGCAGCCAATAGATCTTCTTCAATCTGCATCTTAACTAGTCCTGACAAGAGAAATCATTGCCACAATCCAGCCATAGCACAAGATGTGGGTTTATTCCCGTTCACCAATCACTCTTCCTATATCATTTGCATTGAAACGCTGTTTCGACATATCATGTGAAACGTGATCAATACTCCTCCCAAGCCCCAGGCATCCCTCTTTCTGGATGATCAACTAGTTCCCAGAAATCCCGGAAGTTTTTGTAGTAGTTCCGATACGGTTCGTCCAATGAATACCAGAATTTCCAGTCCTCAGGAGCTGGTCCATAGACAAAGCTTATAAGATGTGCACCAGTATCAAAGATTTCCTGAGGGTACACGTAGCACTCCCATGCTATGCTAATCTCCAGCAATTTATCATGCTCTACTTTACCGTATTTCAGCAAATCAATGCCAGAATCGTGCAGTATCTCGAGCCAAAGCCTTTGAGAAACTGTGCATATCCATGACTGGAATAAATCACCGGCGTGATCCCGAGGAATGCTTACCAACGATGAGAACAAAAATTTCCCACGACGAATGTCTGAGCCTGCGACGATGAGGCGCTTTAAAAATTCGATTGATTTAGAGAATTCGGTCTTTGAAAATCGGCCACCCAATTCGAATTCTGCTTTCCCAATTCTTGGCTGGGTTGAGCCAAGGCAATTCCCCAATTCCTCATTTCCTTCCAACGCGATGTGTAAGAGCTGAAGGAAACAACGCTGCTCAATTGATAGAAAAGTATGAAGACGTTTCCGAGAACATCTGAAAGTCATTTTGCAGCAAACTTCGTTCAGCGGATCCTTGTGAAGCATTAGTGATACAATGTCAACTATACTGTGCCTCACAAAATCCCATTCGGAACAATGTTTCAATGTCAACATCATTCTCTCCTCCAAACTCAATTCATTAAATGTCGGATCAGTTTTGTTAAGTAGCCAAGATAGATTTTCGCAATCCATATGCGGAATCGAGAGATCGTTGAGTGGATTGTGAACCTCAGATACTGGATACAATAGCCGCAGCACACTTTCCGAGAAGATTTGTCGTATGAGTTATTCTTATGAAAAACGAACATCAACGCAGACCTTCCTCAACTAGTTATTCAAAGCTATCCGTGCTACAAAGGTCAGAATACATACAGCTTGAAAGAGTCATTTGGATCTGCTCCTTGATCAAGTAGGAGACGGCACATATCATATTCTGCTTCCGAACTAGCTAGCTTTGCAAATTAGACTATCACAGTTCTTGAAACGAATGGGATAATTACATACATCAAGTAACGTAGTGCCACGGGGGTTTCTATCGAATGGGGTGGCCCTTTTGCTCTGAAACAATGCTTGAAGTCCAGATACGTCTCCAAGAAGTACACACATCCAAGTCGGTGAATTACGTCCGACTGTATAATATTGTCGGAAGTTAAATGTCCAACCTGAAGGTGCTTGATACCCTGAGAAATCCCAAGTATAGCTCGAGGATGAAAACAACTGAGGAGTGCTGAACTTCTTCTGAAAGCGCTTAGCCTGCTTATCAAGCTTCGTTCGTGTTCTACCTCTCATGGGTCTCTTCGTCTCATAATCATAAACCACAGCATCGCGTGATTGAAGCAGGGTACTTGACATGACATTGGTAGAACGTATAATGGAAACCTTTAGCTCCTCGAATCCCCGCAGCTGACGATTCGCATTATTTTGAACTGCCTCTATTTGAAGCTTGTGGTATTCCATTTGGAGTGCGTCCGAGTATGTCTGCCGAGAAAGCATAAGCATATATTGCGCATCCCTCAACCGATTCCGAAATTTATCGAGTGTGTCTTGCTTCAAAACCACTTTCGCGCTACCAATCTTGCGCCGCTTGGAGATAGCCCCATTCAGATCCTTCACTGTTGTATTGAGGATATCCGTTCCACGGCGACAAAGCTCTAAGCACCTTGTGACCGTAGCCGAGGGAATCGATGGCAGATTTGAATTCGATGTATGGATATCGGAAAGAACCAGACTTAGTGCATCGAGCTCTTCAAGGGCATATTGGATATCTTCGGAGGCTTCTTTGACCTCGTCCCAAAATTGTTTCAATTTTCTAACGCCGTCCATGAGCTGAAGGCCCAGCGAGGCTACGCCCATGCCACTGGCAATGATGCCAATCTCTGCCATGAGTATGATGTTGAAAGACAAGATCTGTTCCAAAGCTCGTGAAATAATTATGTTCTGCACGAAAGGAAATATGATATGAATTGAAATCAATTGCGAGAACGAAAAGACATTTCGAGGACGAGCCCGAGGACTGCGTCGTTTCGCGACGTGGGATCAAAAGTAAGCACAGCCGCATCAACAGAGTACTTGACCAATCCCAGCTACAGGAATCTATGCGGCAGTGTTCTCATGCTTGTCATTGGAATAGAAAAAAATAACTTCGCCCACAACCGATTTAAATAGCCTGAGTTCGAATTACAATCCATCAAATGGATGGTAACACCAGATAGAGCCGCCATCAGAATCCTGGCGATGTCAAAGCGATATGCTCCTCTCAAGCGAAAAGGTGGGATGTAATTTTCCAATTTGGTCTAACTTCGTGTAACAGTACACTTACCTATCTTTTTAATCCTACATGCCTTGGCTCATAGAAATGCACCCTGAGCAATTGCAGAGACTATGAACTGAAGGTATCATAATGTGATTTTCCATATTTATATTTGTACCATTTCCAAATTCTAAATCATATCCTCAAATTTCGACCGAATAGGGCTTGCTCTCTTCCTCCTCAACTCCAGCTCCCTTCTTGCCTTCACTTCAATCGCTATTTTTTGACTCAGTGACCTTTGACTTTTAATTCTCGAAGCAGTCGGTGCAGCAGGATGCGGAGATCGTAAAAGCGATGTTCTCTTCGCTACATCCCTTGCTGTCTCCTTGAACTTGACTAGTTTTACTTTTCTCGCACCTAATCCGTTATGCCCTACCCCTTTTTCTCCGGACTGGACCGATCGCGAGTAATAATTCACGGTGCCTATCATAGCCTCGGCTCTTAGTTCTGCCTTCATCGCTTTCCTCCGAGCTAGGAAAGACGCTCTCATCGCATCGCGCTCCTTTCTTTCACTCTCCGTTGCTCTCAGATTTTGTTTTCTTCGCTCCCAACGTGTTCTCAAGGTTCTCTTACGCTCCAAACGACCAGCCAACATGGCTCGCCCGCGTGCTTGATAACTAAGTCTTTCTTCAATCCTTCGCGCTTTCCTGTCCTTTTCTTTCTGCCTTCGTGCCAATTTCACCTCCTTAAACATTGATTTTAGACTGTCCTCACGCGCCTTGATTTCCCTTTGTCGTTCAAGAACATGGTCGAAAGATTTGCCTTCTTTTTCCAAGCTTTCGATCTCTCGTTTATCTTGGTTCAATCTCCAGTTCTTATCTTTTTTCATTTCCTTTCCCCTGTGAATTACAAATTCATGAGTTCCTTTCATCTGAGCGATATTATCCCTCGCAAGTAACACCAATTCCTCTTGCTGACGTGATGCATTTCTCCCTACAACCCATACAAGCTCTCTCCCATTACTCCAAGGCTTTATATTGATCCGGGAACTACTAGGCAATTGGCTTTGAATGACTTGAGGATGTAGAGCCAAGCCACCGGGCATCTCCATCATCTTCTGAAACATCTCATCTTCGCTGAACTTAAGATTTTTCGCGAAATGTATGTGAAACTCTGCATTGTAATTGCGTGTTTCTAAAAAGTAATAAGCTTTTGCCAACATCACGCTCAGATTATCGCCCGTAACATCCTTTGTCAAATTTATAAGTTTCGCATTACCACGACCTCCTTTGGCTTTCATTGCTTTCCCAGGCTTTGGTACCATGAATGATTTTCGTTTGATCAAAACATATTCGCCAGAGTCTGTTGCTCCCAGATCATGAATACGTTTAGCTATGGACTTCAGTTCATGACGCTCTCCCTTGGAGATATTTTGGAACCCAGTTCTAGGCACTAGCATCCAGCTCGTCCCCTCTCCCGGGTCCAATAACGCTTCTTCTCTTTTGCACAGGTAGTCTTTCATTACATCACCTATCGTCATTACGCCGATGAACTTGTGCGGCTTGCTGTAAGGCTTTTTATCCGCTTCTGCCCATAATATAATCTTCTGTGATTGAAAATCTGTTTGAGAAAACAGTGATGTCTTGACATAATCCAGAATTTTATGGTTATCGGCTTGCAATTTCCCATGTTTTGTCCTTTCCGCGATTCGTGACAACATAATATGGCGACATTGTTGTGGAAGGCGAAGTAGGATGGAGCGGCGCAACGAATTCGTAGATGACTGCTGGGTTACTGGATGGCAGAACGGGCGGACTGATGTATTGGATATTTTTTCATTGAGATAACGCAATAGAGGGCGTGAGGGAATGAGTTTAGTAGTACTCATGACTATGAAGCGGTTGGTGGTGTATGAATTCTAAAGGATTTGACGTTCATGTGGAATGGTTTTAGACCGTTAAAATCATACACCGCCTGCTGTTAAGAAGATAAGTTTTGACCGCTCACGTGCCAAGTCTAACACATATGTTTTGTTGCATATCTATCTTTTTCTGTCCTCTCTCGTTGAAGATATGATTTCTTCACTTGTAACTTGCTGATTAATCAGCATTTAGCAAGCATATTTATCAGTCTGACCTAAGTAACACTCATCCCCGGTTATGTCAACCTCAAACCTTAACTTCTCGGCTTCCGATTACTGATCGTAATCAGATACGAAGCAAAGACATAAATACAAAACATCCGAAGTGGATTAATGGGACAATATCATTCCGAGGTTCAAAACGGTTCCACAATGGATTTCTAAGCTTGACGATATAAAGTTGTATATCGGAAAAGAGTTTTTCGGTAGGAATATCGACCTTTATTCTCCGACTTAGTAACGTGGCCGGTTTCGTCATATCTTGTGCTTTGTATGGAGCCCTTGAGAAGGACATCAGGTATATATATGTGTTAAGTAGGTCCCTTATGTAGGATAGTTTCTTTCAATTAAAATCCAAATCCATATTATCAAGAGCATATAAGGATATCAAGCGTAGTTTTCTTCATTACTTGTTATTTCTATAAGTGATCATTTATATATCCAACAGCAGTCACACATGCCCTACTTCAAAATGGCAATTCCATCCTCAAATAATAAGACGGTCCTTGTAACCGGCATCAATGGCTACATAGCCAGTGTTCTAGGTTTTCAACTTCTACAAGCCGGTTATTCTATTCGCGGTACCACTCGTCGTATCTCTAGCGCCGAGCCATTGCTCAAAGGTCCCTATGCACCTTATATCGACCGAGTGAAGATATACGAGGTACCCGATATGACAATTTCTGGTGCTTTCGACGAAGCTGTTAAAGGTAAATCTCAATACCCTCACTGTCCTTACTCGCCTCACTCTCCATGTGCGATCTGAAATGAACTGAATTCGACTAACCAATATACCAGGCGTCAATGGAATCTTCCACACCGCATCTCCCATTAACTTCAGCCTTAACACCTACGCCCAAATGGTCACACCAGCCATAGATGGCACCAACACCCTGCTTTACTCCTCCCTAAAAGCCGGACCTCAACTCAAAGCCGTAGTGGTAACCTCCTCCGTGATCGCCGTCATAGATCCCCGCACCGATCCCTACACCTTCACCGAGAGCGACTTCGCATCTTCCCACCTCGCCCAAGCCCAAAAAGACCTCCAAGAAAACCAACCCACCTCCGCCGGAATCCTCTACGGTGCCTCCAAAAGCGCCGCCGAAGCCGCCGTCTGGAAATTCCGCACTGAGCAATCCCCCTCCTTCGCACTTTCAACCATCAACCCCGCCTTCGTCACCGGACCCCCAGTATACCTCCCCGAAACAGGCGACAAACTAAACGAAACCCTCAAACCCATCTATAACATGCTCTCCGGCGCCACTAAAACCATTTCACCTGCCAGCGGCACCAGCAGTTCCGTAGACGTGCGCGACGTAGCGTACATGCATATCTGGGCGTACGAACATCCTGAAAAATCAGACGGAGAGCGTTACATAGCGTGTTTGGGAACTGGGCCCCCACAGTCGCAGGCTGATATTTTACGGGAGTATTTCAAGGAGAAGGGAGATGAGAAAGCTCTTGAGAAGATCGTGGTTGGAAATCCCGGAGAGGGTTATATAGGATATAATAAGGAAACGGGGAAAGTAGAAAAGGTAGAACCGACCCCGGAGAAACCGCGTGTCAGTGGAGAGAAGGCACAGAGGGAAATGGGGTTTAAATTCAGGGGTTTCAAGGAAAGTGTGATTGATACAGCAGAGGCGTTGAGACCTTTGCTCTGAGGGGTTAGAAAGAAAGCTATCGATATCTATCAAGTCAATTAATGTGACTTCGAATAGCCGAGTACAGAATATACCGATTACAATAATGTTCACAGAATATCAAGGAGTGACACTCAATGTATCATCTAAATTTCGCATCGAAAAATCACATCCCAATCCTCTCACCAATCTTCCCACACTCCAACTGCATCTGCACAAACAGGTGCCCCTCACATGATCCAATCCCCCCGCCCCAATCCCCCCATCCAGCAAACACACCACCCTCCACACGCCAAGCCCCCATCCCAATTCATATCCCAATCCATACACCCAGGAAGAATAAACGCGGTCCTCGAATTCCAACCCAATAAATGCAATTCTGCGAAATCCTTTCGCAGTTGTCGGGCGCTTAATATGATCCTGCGACCTCTAGGGGGACGATGATGGGTTTGTGAATTATGTAGTAAATGAATGAATGGATGGATGGAAGTATGGAAGGATGGATTGTGAAAGTATCGATGTATGGAATGGGAGAAGGAAATGAAGTAAATGATTGTTTGTGGTTTGGAGATTTGTGTTGGGATGATTACGATGTGTATATGCATATATGTGATGTTCAGAATTGAGAGATCGGATGAATTGTTCATATGCTGAAGCACACATGTATGCATCTCCACGATAAGAAAAACTCTCCATCTCATCATCGCAATCTCTAGGAAATCATTTAAGAATCTAGAATGTTGAAAGCGCAATACGCACAATACGCTACAGGTCTCTCGCAAGGCTTTGCGAAATCTAGTACACGAATGCCGACCTCATGCGGTTGCGAATTCGGACTCATCTCTGCACAACGATGAGTTACATGACCCAGCCTATATATGGACCCACTAGTCCAACAGCGAAGGAAAAGAAAAAGAAGGGATATCCATACATAAACTCTTGCTGTGTAGATCTCTATCCATAATCCGACGGTTTTGTTTATTCTTGCTATTCATGTATCCACACTCTTGATATCGATACCTGATTTCTGGCTTGCTCTCGTTGCTTTTGAGTTTACTGACTGTATCACTTACCTCGTGCTGTGGAATACTTCATTTCGAAAACTACCTTATGAGACTTCATAGGGCATTTCTTTTTGCCTTTATCGGCAATGCTATTGCAGTTGCGATAGTGGAAAGGGCGAAAGCGACGGATTGTTCGTTAACGCCCTCTTTATGTTCTACTAAGAAGACATCATCTACTACTTCTTCTTCCACTACCTCGTCCACTACTTCCTCCAGCACTACATCGTCAACAACTTCATCCAGCAGCACCATCCAAACAACCAGAACCCTCACCGCCGACTTCGCCGCCTCTGCCACCGCCGCCACCGCAACTTGCGGCGCTGGCTTCCTCCCCGAAACCGCCACCAACCAAGCGCGCTCCAATCTCCAAACCAACACAACCAGTACCTGCGCGACCCTCTCCCCAGGATGGCCTTGTTTCGGGGTCGGCATGATGATGCAGAGCAAAGATGTGATTTCTGATATCAGTAATACATTTGTTCCTCAGTATCAAGGTACCGTTGCCTTTTTATGCAATTTGAGTGAGGTCCCCATGACGACTGCAGGCTTCGATATCGGTGCACTGGATGATTTGATCTATGTGAAGCACTGTGCGAATTATACGCCCGCGGCGCTGATGAGTCCGGGTGAGTGGGTGTATGGGTATTTGGACTGGAACACGGTGCAGACGGTGGGACAGAGTAGTGAGTTGTGTACTCATGTCATGAGTCAGGTTGTGGCATATCCTCAACCTATGTCTTGATTGAGAATTGGGGGTTTGAATTGGGGATTTGTTGTACGTTTATTGTACGTTTGTTGGTTGGTTGGTTGTTTCTGTGTCAGCTTTTATTTTAGAATATAATAGCAATTTGTTTCTTTGGACTCTATGTGCTTTTCGAAGTTAAGTTGTCGAATGATTAGATTTGGGATCACTTGAAGTGACAGTCGACAGAATGAATAGGAGGAGACTTCTATGTTTTCCTGATCAGCAAGTAGGAAGGATTTCATTGAGGAAACCGTGAATTATTTCCTCTGCTTTACCGGTAGTGGAAGTCAGATGGAAGTTCTTCAAAGATGCTCGTTTTGAAAGCCTCGGAATGATTGAGATCAATACGTTGATTTCACATATTTATGTGAGGGTATTATTTTCATGATAGTGTAATCTTACTGATACATACATACCCATAAAAGATCCTTCGCGGGGCACGGAATTCTTATCAGTTGCAATTCTAAAACTGTGCTCTCAGTACTCTACTTCGTACTCCACACGCCACAAAGGTTTCACAAAAACGATGGGAATGTATCCATTTTAGATGGCAGCGATATAGAAAAGAGAAGAGTTTCAACATTAGGGTATTAGGGTATGATAATATGCAAACCCTAATGATGAAATTAATTCATATAATTGGTTAGGCGTAGAAAAGTCAAATGGAAGACGGGAATGAGATACCTTCTTAGGCTTTGGTGGATACAAAAGATGTGACGCATTGTGCTTCAATGCCTAGTAGAGTGAGTACCTAGCTAGAACACCCCCACCTCATCCCATGTCTTACGGGATCTGGGCCCCTTCGAATGTGAGTGACGATAGGTGTAGGTAGGTAGTAGGTATCCTCTTACTTCAACTTTCCACAGAGGACAGATCAGTGAAGGAATATCAGAAATGAAAAGTTGGTACATGAGACGATATATGAGTCAATATATCTTACATATAGGTACCTAGGTATCCAAAGTCATGTTATGTTATGTTGTCCTTCTTTTCATCCATCTGCGTCATCAGCAGATATTTTGTGACAGCCACAGAAACAGGGACTGGAACTTTTGTTTCGTATGGATGATTCATATTCATGAAGGCGAGAGATAAGAAACCACATGCAAAAAGGGAAAAAGCAAAAGCCAAAGCCAAAGCAAAAGCAGCTGGCGAGAGAGCAATGGACAATTAGAGACACCCACGCACGCAAGCGAGCGAGTCTGCATGAGAGGTATCCGTAATGACTAGGGAACGACTGGGTAGCAAGAGTATGTCTCTGTTTCCAGCAGAATACAGTAGGTACCTACCTAGTAGTGAAAAGACCACGATTCTGATAGTAATTGGTATAGAGATGAGGATGGAAGTGAATCATGAATCATGAAGATATAAATGATAAAATATGATTTATGGAATGTTGAGATGTTATCTACCTACCTACCTAGGTATACAGGGAGGGTAAACAGGGAGGGAGCACGATGTAAGATTATATACCTCTGCCATTGTAGTATGGCATTCATCATTGTATGGTCTGGTCTAAATGGTATACCGTACTCGTGGTAGTAATGTATGTAACTACAGCTGGAAGTCTGTAATCAGACTGTAACCGTGCGTACCAGATTTTCTAGTGTGGCGCTTGAATTATGACGTGCCCCATCCTAAGGACAATTCAGTGACCAGTCAGTGACTCCAGTGATTATGATCAATATCCCATATCCAATATCCAATGGCCAATGACCAGTGTCTACTACCTACATCTACATTCACTCCCTACATTCACTCCCTACATTCACTCCCTACATTCACTCCCTACATTCACTCCCTACAGAATACTCTCCCGTGTAGAATCGAGTCCTTGCTCCGTACCTACTCCATACCACACTCCGTACTTACCTACCTACCCTACCTACCCTCCCTACCTACCCAGGTACGTACTGTACAAGCCTATAACCTTGAAATTCACACAATTCCCATGGCAAAAAGACCAAAGAACAGGATTGCTCGCGTGCTTCATTCTACGCTAAACCCTAATTGGCTCTCACTAGAACCAAAAATAAATCCATATCAAGCTCTGCCCTCTACAAGTTGTTTGGCTTGTGCAAGTGCGACCATATTGACTCCACTTTCTTCCCATTTCTCAACCCACTACTGCAGCTTTTCGTAGGTCAGAAAGAAAAGGACAAAAGAATCGATCGGACTTCTTCTTGCCAGCTTTCGTCATAATTGCAATTCAATTAATAAACTGTGAAAGACTATCCTACCAGTACCTACCTAGTACTTTGGATTTCTTTTAAACAAAAACCCTTTGCCAGATACAACTTCAAAGGATACATACACCACCTCCACAACAACCACCACAGAATACATCGCATCGTCTAACAAAAATCAACCGTCTTTCCATCATAAGCTTATCATCATCAAAAGCTTCCTGGGCAGTTTCCCTTCTTCCACCCACAACCATCAATTTCTATACATATTATGTCAGATTTTCCTTCCAACACCAGTACAACTTCCACTGAAGGGACTACCAGCACGATGGAGAACGCAAAGAATACAGTCTATGACAGTAAGGTAAGCTATATCTCTCAATCTATCAAATAACTCACCAAAGTCTACGTCGCTAATAATGAAATAGTTCAAAACTTCGCACAACGAGACCAATACAGGAATTAAACTAATCAATCAATTTAGATGCATCTGCAGCTGCCAACGCTGTTGGAAACCACCCTCTCACTCAAAGTGTTGTAAACGGTACGATATTTTCCCATGACAAGTTCTTAAAATCCATAATACTGACATGTTCTCCATAGGCCCAATGGCAGATAATGTACGAGACCAACATCAAAAGACTCAAGCCGAGTTTTCCAACCTCGCAAGCTCTCGAACCACTCCCACCACTCAAACAGCTACCGGTCAACAACTCACACATTACCATTCCTTCTTCTACAACTTGTTATCGTGGGAGAATCCTCGTGCATCTGGAATTGCATACCTCTCTACCGTTGCATTCATCTTCGCCGCCAGATATCTTGATATCCTCCGATATTCATTCAAGATTACATACATGACTTTGTTTGTGACTGTTCTCGCAGAGGGTCTCGGAAAGCTAGCCTTCTCGCATGGACTCACTTCTCAATTCAGACCAAAAAAGTATTACACAGTTTCTAAAGAGACTCTCGATAGCGTACTCGGTGATGTCCATGAACTTATCAACTTCTTCGTCATCGAGTCACAACGTGTTCTCTTTGCCGAGAATGTATTTGTTTCTCTCACTGTAAGAAATCCTCGAATTCCTTGCCATGACATATGAAGTACTGACTTAAACAGGCCTTGATCGGATCTTTCATTTCCTACTACTTGATTAAGCTCATTCCATTCTGGGGTCTCACTCTCATCGCTACTTCAGTTCTCTTCATCTCCCCACTTGTTTACAAGACCAACAAGGAGCTCATTGACAACACCCTCGCTCAAATCTCGAGCATTGTCAACCAACAAACCGAACAGGTCAAGCAACTTGCTAGTCAACACGCTTCTCACGTTGCCGAGACCACCAAGCAATATGCTGGAGAGTATGCTCACAAGGCACAAGAAATGATCGGAAGTGCTAGAAGCCGCTCTGGATCTCCAGAAGCTAGCAGAGTTGCCTCCCCAACTGCCAAGACCAACGGTATCAAGGAGGAGGATTTCCCAGCCGCACCAAAGGAGGAGTTCAAATCCGGAATTCCTGCTGAGGAGGAACCACTCATTGCTGCATAAATGTAGCACAAGTGCAACACATCGTGGAAGGAAGACTCCTTACAACTCTCACCCATAAGAGAGGTCAATATATCCTCAGTTGAGGAGTCGAAATACAAAAGCAAAAAGTTATATCATGATATTAGCTGGAGAAACACAAGGAGTCAGCGAGAATCACGCAGATTGATATGCATACGACGATTACCATATTACGAGATTCGGTGAAGGAAATACAGGGACTAGCACGAAATGCACGGCAAACTTTGTTGTCTGTGAAGCTTTTTCTCTTACTTTTTTATTTATTTAGTTGTGCGACTTCTTTATTCTGTCGGTCGCTGCCTTTTGGTTGGTTCCAAGTGGGTATCTTCTAATGGATGAATGGGATGGAGTGGCATGGGTGGGTAGGAATGACGTTACGGTTATTGATGATATTTTATAAGGAGCGTTTGCGTTTTTTACGGACATAGGAAGGGCATTATAGTTCTTTTTGCGTTTTTCTGAATTAAGATGAAAAAATTTAAAAATCTTTACTTTATATGAGTGTGAATGATTCAGTATTGAAGTAGTTTCGAGGTTTGGATGAGGCTTAGAGTGTATAATTTGATATGTTCACAAGCTCGCATACCTTTACTCGTTTTGTTGCCGGTTAGTGAACAATAAGCTAGCGCCTAAACTGCCCTACTCCTGATATCATGATTCATGACACGTTCTCTCCTTTGCTTTTCTGGTAAGCGAAATCTCACCTTATCTTACATCATGGATAACCAGGTAGGTAGCTAGGCACGAAAGCTTCATCAGAGGGAGTTTCAGGATCAGAAATTCTTAAAACCTGATGAGTTGGGGGATTGATGGAGGGACTGGATGGTATGATATGGTAGGATATGATGACATTGTCGAGTAGATGGGGAATAGGTGGTGATAGTAAGGGTTGTGTTAATGAATCGATTTGGAGATGATGATAGGGATAGTTGTGTATATTGAGGTGACTCGGTGAGTGGTTGGAAAGTGGTTTGAAGGTTAGAAGGTGTGTGTGTGTGTGTGTGTTTAGATGGGTAGATAGGTAGTTCGGTAGGTATACTGAGTCTTTTGTATACTGTATGTAGATTTTATATATGGGATATAGGAGAGGGGAGGGAAATTATTGGGGGTTTGGGGTTTGGATTTTGGGGGAGAGGGGGAGAGGGGGAGGGGGAGGGGTATTATATATTGGGATGTTTGATAAGTGTTTAGTTTAGTTTAGTTTGTGAGAGGTTGATGAGGGTGATGAGGGTGATGAGGGTGATGAACTTGTTGAGTTCGTTTATGGGTTTTGGGATGTGTGGATAGGAATGGGGATGGGGATGGGGTGGATTGCTGAGTGTTAGGGGGGTAATTTTAGGTAGGTGGGTAGGTAATTGGAAGGGAGAGGGTGAATAATTTCACGGGTTTGTATCTTATGTGAGCTGGTGGGATGTTTGAGGGGTGAGTATCTGAGAGGAAAAAGAGGGGAAGGGTTTGTGACAATGATTGTGTAAGGAGTGGCTTGCTTGTTGCTTTCTTCTGTGGAATACCTTGGGTGTTTATTGTATTTGGGGATCGCTGGGATTGTTGGGGATAATGGCCTATGGCATAATTGGACAATTTGCATTAAAAGAAATCCTTTAAAATCTTGTGAAGCACCATTATTGATTACTGGCTATTTTAGGTGACCATGGACAAGAACACTGAGAGCTATAGTGAGTGAGCTGATACGTGTGTGGACGATGGGAGCGTCCAAAATATCCAAAGGAAGAATTCTAGAGAGCTTGGTATTAAAATCTAATTCATAATTGACACTATCGCTAAGGAAGCAAAGTACGATCTGGGATTACTACACGACTTCTCAAAGAGCTTTCCTGTCCTCATAGTGAAACTCGTACTTTTATATTAGAAAGTCTAGAGGTACGAATGTTGGACTTGCATGGTTGAAGAGAAGAGGGGCTTGATTGGGAACGTGCAAGAGACCTTCTGGGAATGTTTGTAGGATCACATTTTGCTAAAGAAATATGTTTAAAGCTCCCATTGAGCCGCTGAATTGTCTTGGTCAGCAAGAGTGAGACAGATTTCCAGAAATTTACAATACACTTCTAGATGAGGAGAGGCATACCATCCAAGCGGCTGCCATCAAGTGCGCTCTGCAAAAGCTGAGCACAAGTATTAAAAAGATGTCATCGGGTTTTGAGCTACGTAGGATTCGTGCTTCAAAGTGCAGAAAATGGATTTCTTGAGAGTCTGACGACGCAATAGACTTTGATAAGATTTACCACGATGAGAGTGGCAGAGCTTGGAGTATGAATTACCTCGCGGTGATGCCATGCAAAAGCTCAGAAAGCCAGAAACTTGCGAGAATACTTTCGAGCTTGCAGTAGAGACCCAGAATTATGTGTGAGGGTGTGTGTGTGAGAGAGAGAGAGAGAGAGAGAGAGAGAGAGCCATGCTCATGCCAGACTCGGGCAACTTGCGACGGGATATCTCTGTCGTTAGAGGAGAGCTACTTTCTTCCTCCAATTATGTAGAACGGAATAGCCGGAGTAACAACGAAATTTATGAGAGAACGAAGGCCGTTATAATCCAGCAGAATTTAGCGTCTACTCAACGCCATGTAGTTCAACTAACCCGCTATGGTTGGAGCAAATTGTTTGCAACTCTTACTTGAAGCAACACTTATCATTTTGAATGTTTCAGTGAATAGCTTAGTTTGATAAACATAAGTATGCAAAGTATAAGGAAAGATAAATATGTAAGTCCAAAAGTTAATATCACAACTGTTTTGAAAACCTGTCCACAATGAATCCAACTCAAAAATGATCAAAAAGGGGCTGTATATTCATTCCCAACCAATGGTTTGAAATAAAGATTGGATACCGATCATTGGAGATCGTAACATGTTGCAAGTACAATATTATTCATGAGTGATCCATACTGTACATTTAACCCAGATCGAGTGGACAACTATTGTAGAACCCATTTCTAGTGACGTTCGTAAACTCACAGGTATTGTATATCTCGTTTGACTCCCAAACTACACTAAAACCGCCGCACGATCACATCTCGGTCACCGTAATATCCGGACCTCCCATAACCTCACCTCACCACCATCTCCCCTTCCAAGCTCCATAACCATCTACACAATGGTTCTCTCCTTCATCCTAATACAAAACCGCCAGTAAGTACTTCCCATCCCCCAGTGCCCAATTCTCTCCCCGTTTATCTCTAACCAATTATTCCATTACACGCAGAGGTAAAACACGGCTCGCGAAATGGTACGCTCCGTACAACGATGAAGAGAAGATCAAGCTCAAGGGCGAAGTACATTCATTCTCCCCCCTTATTTCCCAACATCAATCTAACAACGCACCAGGTGCATCGACTCGTCGCGCCCCGCGATCAAAAATACCAATCCAATTTCGTCGAGTTTCGCAATAACAAAATTGTGTATCGTCGCTATGCGGGACTGTTCTTCTGCGCGTGCGTCGATGCGAACGATAATGAGTTGGCGTATCTAGAGGCTATACATTTTTTTGTCGAGGTGCTGGATAGCTTTTTTGGGAATGTGTGTGAATTAGATTTGGTCTTTAATTTCTACAAGGTATGTTTCCCCTCCGAGGGAATTCTTTCTGATTAGACAGTGCAAGGAGGAGATGAAAGGGGAATGGAATGGTGCTGATTTTCGCGATGATAGGTGTACGCCATATTAGATGAAGTATTTTTGGCTGGGGAAATTGAGGAGACGAGTAAACAAGTTGTTTTGACGAGGTTGGAACATCTGGATAAATTGGAATGATTGCAGAAACACAAAAGGCTGGTCTACTAAATTTAGCCAACAGTAATGACAGTAAGCAGCTAGTAGCAGTCGATACCAAAGGGAAAGCTAGGAGTTTAGGAGTTCAACTGCAGGCATAGAAACTGGCGCAAGGCGAAGTTATCGTCAAAACCTAGATTTGTCACGCGAGTGGCACCATTATTGAGGTACTGTGATTCATATGTTTCTCTCCTTGCACAAATAGCAAGCTAAATCGCTCTTCTCTTGTCACCTATCACTCAGTGTACCATATCTCCTAATTACCAACTTTCATACAACAGCAATGTCAAAGAGCTACGTTAGAAGCAAAATGATTGTCAAAGTCTGTGCGACAAACAGCCCAGATTTTGAAGTAGCTGCTTATGTTACTTTCAACATCCGCCGTAGTATACATTTTCAAAACTACCTTCGTATAAAAACAGCTATCGTTACAACGATTGGTTGCCCGCAGCATTCGTCGAGGTGTTACCGTCATCAACATATCCATGGTCCCCAAATCTTTACTCTTAAAGTTCAATATCGGAGCCTGCGGAGGCTGACGTGTTGTTTTCAAGAATGAAGTAAGGGACCTCACTTGAAACTCGGCCTGGTGAATGATCGAGTGTATGACCTGAGTTCATTGATGAAGCGGAAGACAATGGAGAAGAGCTTTGCGGGGATCTGATGATTGTTAATACAGATATCTCACACTCTCGTTTGGAAAATAGGTATGCAACTTACGTTGTTGAACCATCCAACTGCTCCATGCGACGTTGATCATCATCATCCCACAACTCTACCGCCGTACGACGTCTTCTTCTCAGGTTTACAATTTGGCCTTCTGTTCGATTCGCAATCAAGCTCCTAACAAAATCGGAATAGATTTTCTCTGGTGTCTCTGAACGAACTCGTGGCGAGTCACACCCTGTTTCCATATCATCCATAGGAGTTCGGATGTCGTCTTCGCTAGAAGTATCCATAGGCGAAACCTCTCGTGGGCGCATGCTCATATCAGAGAGTGGGCTTTGCACAGAATGTTCGGTTGAATCTGTTGAGTTTCTGATTGAAAGTCTTTGGCTTAACTCAAATTCTGTGGTGTAGGGATCCGTTTCCTTGAGAATTCCCCTTGCATCTGCGTCGTGTCTTTCAGCGTCTAAATATAGGGATCTTGTGTCATCAACACCATGCATTAGCTCTTCTCTATCATCATATCCAGTTTTTTGCCTGATGATACGTTGATGCTCCTTGTAACAAGTATCATTCATTTCCATGGAGCGAGCACGCTTGCGATTAGCTGCCATTATTGTAGAAGCCACATTGGAGATCGACACACCGGTCACTCCTGCTACGCCTTCCATTGACATCCCGGTATCTTCTGCCATGGCCACGGAGGCTCTGTGTATGCGTTCCTCGATATCGGCAAGTTGCTCAAGCATGCTGTTACGAGTTGGCAAACCTGGCTCTCGGTCGATATCGTGATCCAAAGCCATTGCTTGTTCTGGTTGAGAAGAACCTGATTTTTCAAATCTCTCCAAGTCTCCACCTCGCCAATGCCTCGAATCCCGCTCCGCGCCTTTGATTCTTAAATTGTTTAATGTTGTCATTCCCTCTCGTTTCATATTGCAGTCATCTCTCTTATCCAAGGTTCTTTGTTGGGTTTTGGCTTTCATCCCGGAAACCAGACGTTTTTGGGTGATCGAATCTTTTCTTGTGTTCTCTGGGCATAGGGAATACCAGTGCTTTCCGAATTTGTTACAAATCGAGCATTTATATGACCCCGGTGGCTTTTTGTCAAAAGCAGGATCCTGAAAATCTATCAGCAATCTTACGCATTGTACTTTGATAATGATTATCCACCATATTTGTTGGACATTGTTTGACCAAGTGGCCTATTCAATGTTAGTGGTCATTAATTGCTTTAGTATGCGATTTCCGTGATAGAGATGAAGACATTTATGATCAGAGTGTATCTCGAAAGGGGCTCATACCATTCTTCCCGCATCGATTGCAGATATAACTCGTTGGGACATACTCTGAGCGACTATCTCCGAGATCTGATTTACTTGAGGGCTTGCCCGATCGATACTCACCTCTGTCAGAGTATCCTTTCTCCGAAGGTTTATCTTTGTTTAAGCCGCGTTTTTCACCAAACACCTTTTCAATCTCATCAACGGAAGGAAGGTGCTTTTCCTCAATCCGTCCTTTCGGGCCATTGGGCGTGGAAGGACCATTGGCTTTCTTCCAATCTATAACGTGTGCGATCACTGCTTCCTTGTCAACTCCACGGTGCTCCAATGATTCCACCCACTGTTTGATCGTGTTTGGCCAGGCTTTAAATAGTTGTAATGGGCTTCGACGCTGGACTTCGAGCCACCGACAATAGGTTCTCATGATCACAGAAGCTGGTGATTCATCGTTCACATTCTTAGCTAAGTTGCTCAAAGATATGTTTAGTAGATCATCATCAGTTACCAAATTTGGGGCTCTAAAGAGAAGCTCTAACAAAGCTTCTTCCTCCCACGCACTTTTATGGCCACTTTCATGCCGACTTTCTTTTCTAGAAACCATCTCGAGATGTAGAAGCTGATAATCGAAAAAGGTAAAAGTGGATTGAAGTTGAAGGTCTTTAGGAAAAGGAAGTTGTTGTTTGTTATTTGATGCCGCACGGACCTAATGCACCTTCTCTCCTCGAGTCCATATACTTTGATTGGGGATTGTTTATGTGTTCGAGGTTGACTTGATCACCTTATCGGATTCTCCCGATAAACAAAAAGGTTTGGAGAACAACCAGTTGAAAACCATCTCCTAATCAAAATATCATCTCAGACTTTAGCTTGAGACTTCTATGTTTCATCTGAAGAATATCATATTGTAATTGGACATATTATACCAAGAGTACAAAGAAGCCATCTATCTTATTCTATACATGATAAAGAAGGTTCAACGTCAGTCCTCCTTAGTTACACCACTTGAAGCATATTGCAACCTTCTTCTCAGATAAACAACGTCTGAGCTATTATCTCACACATGAGACTGAGAATATCTCATCCGACACTACAGTACTGCTGGTGTCTTTTTGTCATTCCTCTCTGCGAGTAAAGGTTTGGAATACCATCTCATTTGCTAGCAATATCTACTGATACCCTTCTCATTGTAGATCGTGGATATTACGACCACTTTTACAACTACAACCACAGTCAAATACTTTCTTCTCTTCAACACATCAATCTTGGTCCTCATCTTGCTCTACATAGGCGGCAATGAGTTCTTCTTCATCTCAAGGGATTATGCAACCTGGTTCAACAAATGCGGCCCTACCAGTAATTCCTAGCACATTTCCGAAGTTTCAGGAGCTATCCTTTGAGTTACGCGAAATGATCTGGAAATTGACCTTACCTGGTGCTCGAATCATTGATGTAATTTACGACCCAAACCAGGACAAGTACTCATCGTTCCATTCTAAACCGCCCTCTCTATTGCACACAGTAAGTTTGATCTGTTTTCATATCCTGTGTTTTATCATCCGGAACAGTCCTCGTCGAGATACTTAATCCAGTGTTCCAATAGTCCGGACTGCAGCTCAATTCAGGATTCTAATTCTGAGATTACGAATATGTACTCTTCGAATTTCACAAACCCATCACTAAAAAATGATCTAATGATCGAATCCATTTCGTTGCCTAAGCCAAGCTAGATATTTCAAAGGGAATCAATGTTTGAAACTTTTTGATTTTTGGACTACCATCTGGACTATTGAATACCCTGCTCATTTCCTATGATATCATGATAGTAATGTTGCTAACAAGTCAACTCTTTAGAATAAAGAAGCCAGATCGTTTGCACAGAGAGTCTACAACCTGTGCTTTCCAACACCATCCTACCCGGCGAATATTTACATCAGATATGATATCGATGTTGTCTACTTCTCCGACTGGCTTACGGGCTATAAATATGAGGAGAACGGTTGGTTTGAACATGTTAGCATTGGTCCGCTAGGTAAGATGGGAATAGGAAGACAGGATTTGAAATCGATTACAAGAGTAGCAGTCAACTCAATCTATTTTGACGTACCCGAGAGATTTTCGACCAACAGCATGAATTATTTCTGTCACGCTACATCAAATGTACTCGCCAGATTCAGTTCCTTGAAGAGAATATACGTGGTTGTCGAAGATATTAACCCCTATCAGAAAGGGGAAATTACATTTCATGACATTCCCGCAAATATCCGTCTTCATCCTCCAGTTTTCTGCGCCTTCTGCGGAGCTCACGAAATCGTCAGAGGTTTTACAGACGTGAAGTGGGACTTGACTTGCACTTGGAGAGTCCCTTCCGTTTCGGTTGTAGGAGCAGCTCGTGATGGTAAACTATCACACATGGGTCAGTATCAACGTTGCGAGTGTAACAACTTCCCTCAAATACCAGGTGTGACTTATCAACACCCCCCATGCGAGGAGTACCGCCCAAAGCCAGCTAAGATCGCTGGTCAACTTGGTGACGTTGATGCCGATGACGATATACCTAAGTTAGTCGAAGATGATTTGCCGGAAGAAGAATGGGGTCTCGCCGAGAATGAGCTGGATGAACTAATCTCAGACGAAGAGGCCTATTATACATTCGTTGCTGAGTATTGTGAGGGAGAGTATGGAGTTAACCATGAGAAGTGGCTTGGCATCGACTATATGTTGAGCCGTCCTTTCTTGTGATCTAGTATCTATCCTAGGGTTCTTGGAAACACCAAGATATCTAAGGTTGGATACGAAAAGAAGTATGCTATAGTATATTACCGGAGTTTTCCTGGCGTGTATACCAGTATGCCACATACCCACAATTTGGTGGTCATATCTGTTCTTTGTTCTTCCTTGTTCGCTTCACTTTGTCTTTAGGAAATGATATGGAGGGTTACTTGATTGGTGATCTGACAGAAGCAGAGTTTCTGAGTTTTCCAATTTCAGATCAGACGTCAGGAGGATTGATAATGTTTGAAGGGGCCGTTTCTATGTGGATGGGATATCAGTTGAGAGAAGCAGTTTTCATATTTTCATTTGTCGTTTGCAGTTATGCGACGTCAACATAATACTAGGAGTGTCTAGATCTGTATTTTAGCTTTACTAGGATGACCTAATGATATAGTAAAAACGTTCCATACCAGGGTTCTTTTGCATCAGGTGCATTGAAATTGACCCGGTTCTGTATGATATGCAGATATTAGGGGAGCAAGGGCATGGGCCGGCTAGGTTCCATACGATTTTGTAGCTTCTCTGCAATTCAAAGGTTAATAGAAGATGGAAGCAGTAATTCGAATGCCAACTATCCCACAATCCACTGTAAAATTCGAATCCAAACTTTCCTTGTGCTATTCCTGAAGAGCAGAAGCTTAATAACGTCAAGTAGCCTCAGAAACTTGAGCTTCAGAAAGCTCAAAGTACTGCTTGCTCCCTGCCAAAGGCTTGGAGCCCCTGAGAAGACATCATTAGTATAAATCTGGAATCATGTACGGTTGAGATGTTCAATTATGCCCGGTTTGAAATGTTCCAATCAAGATATCGTGGAAATGGGTATCTTCATGATTTGTCCTAAAGCCTGGATGCAATATGGCTACACTGACCTAGACATTTGTGCAATTTACTTTAACGTCACAGGATTGTCAGTTTGGAGAATTTGTGTGTTGTAGGATGTTCAAGATTCAAAACAGTATATGGTATCTATATCATTTCTACATGTCTATGTCTTTTTATGCCAAGATATTGTTAGCTGCCACTTCCTTCTTTTGCTCTGCTTCAGCACTTTCTACCTTTGCTCCCTCACTCTTCCAAACCTCTTCAATAACCCCGCCAATTTGTCCCAAGAACCTCGTTACCTCATCTTCCGTTCCAACGGTTATTCTCACACAACCGAGGCAGCCATGTTCCTTTCCTCTGAATCTAACCACGACTCCTCTGTTCTCTGCCAAGCTTTCATACACCTTTCTTGCAACCTCGTTGTCAGGCTGTCCATTCTCACTCAAAATCTCCACAAGCAAGAAATTACTCGCTACGCCACCTCTGAATCGCCCTACACCCTTGACCTTTGGCAATTCATTTAGTAATCTCTGTCTTTGCTCCACAATCTTCTCTTTGTGTGCCATCATAACTGACAATCCATCTTCCTTCAAAGCCTGAGAAGCAAGAGCCTCTGTAGGTGAACTAATATTGTATGGTGCTTTCAAATTGTTCAACAATGCCGCGACTTCAACACTAGCAAACGCAGCACCAAGTCTGATACCAGCTAAGCCAAAGGCCTTACTCAGCGTCTGCAACACCACTAAATTTGGCCACTCGTTTACCCATTCTGCAAGCGATGATCCCTCAGGCGAAAAATCTATATATGCTTCATCGACCACCACGATACCATTCCACGTCTTGTGTAAGAGTATTTGCTCAATCTGTTCTTTTGGGATTAATGATCCAGTAGGGTTTCCAGGCGAACAGATGTAGATGAGCTTGATGGGCTTTGGTTGCGGTTTCGACAATGTGTCAAGAATAGCTGGAACATCGAGACCAAACTCAGGAGGTGGTGATAATGGAACTTTAACGAGAGCTACATCGTTGACATGCGCAGACACACTATACATGCCATAAGTTGGCGGGCATACGAGGATGGAATCGACTGAGGGTGTGCAGAAGCAGCGGAGAAGTGCATCAATTGCTTCATCGGAACCAACGCCGAGGAAGAGGTTGAGAGGGTGGAGAGGCAGATCGGTATGATGGTGGGTGTTGCGTAATTTGCATAAGAGAGATTTGAGAGGATGTTGATGAGGATCGGGATAGCGGTTCAGCCCAAGAAAATTGAGGGATTGGTTTGAAGTGACGCTGTCTGGAAGAGATGGACCGTAAGCATTCTCATTGGCGTCGAGAAGGATGTTTGTTCCATCATCTTTATAATCACTGAATAGAAGTATGAGTCAGTAAACAGACATTAGAGATGAAATTGTAGAACACTGACTCTCGTGCACAGCGATATGGCTCCAATGCAAGAATATTAGGTCGAGCACATGTCTGCAAGTTGAACGGGGAATCTGTACGAGAAGGCATTGTGATATGTGATTGTTGCTTAATTATAAAGAGTTATGAATCTTGGAGGGGTTAGAAATATATTTTGAAGTCGAGCTCGGCAGCCTTCAATGCAAGGCTGACGACCCACCTCTCATATCGATGACCAATTGCTCCACTTTTCATACGCCCCTCCCCTTTCTTCTCGTTTGTCTTAACAACTCAACACATCAGGAGCAACTCCACAAGCGTCTTCTCGAATTTGATAAAGTTTTGTTAAGGCCCTGAAGGAATGAACCAGGAAATTTGTGGTTCAATCCAAGCACATTCAGGAACAATGGCTATCGAGTTGCCATTTTTCAAAACAAAAAGAAAAAGATTCCTCGCCTTGATTAGCTGTGGCCTTCAGCTTGAAGTACAAACTGACATTAGCAATGGTCGGAGACGACTCCGTAAACTTGGGTGGTTAACTGGATTCTGTTTTATTGGCTATAGCTACGTGATATCGAAAGAATGTCATTGAACAAACCACAAGGAATACACAAATTCGTAACGTCCATCCGCACATTTCACAGGAAAAGACTGTGGGTAAAGCAAAACCTTCAACTTTTCTCGGCAGTCCATACTTGGCAAGTTAGATCAGGAAAAAGAGCGAGCTTTTCAGATAATCTACGGCCTCCACCCAGCTAGTATCCTTTACCGTTGTTGGCGCATTTGACAAGAACACTAGAATTATCAGCTTGGTATGTATCCTTACTTGAGTACACTTACTTTGGGCTGACAGCTGGCCAACGTGCAGAACATGCCGAGCTTGCTCCATAACTGCAGCAGCTCGAGGATCCGGATCCACCATTGACTCTAAAAGCTGATCTTAGCAAGTATGTCATTTGCGGATCACTTAGTGCGATGAAAGAAAGATTTGAATGCAGCCCCGGTACTAAAAGGGCAAATGGGAAGAAAAACTACTCACTGATAGATATCACCGACATGATATGTTCCGCGTACTTGGGTACAAAAACCGCAATATTTTCCAGCACTGGCTTCGCTTTGGGATGTACAACCAGTGGTGTACAAGCAAGCGCGTGCGATGAGTGTACCGGGCCCATCACGGGGTGTAATGGCGCTTCCTTCTTTGAAACTAGCCTCTGGAACTGGCTCCGCAATCGGCTCGGGTAGGGCAAGGGAAAGGGGCAGAAGAAGGAGGAGTGATGTAAGCTTGAACTGCATGACGAAGCTTTTATGTTTGAGTAGTTTGGAGTTGAGTCTGCAATGTTTTGTTAGGTTTATACTAGAAAATCAGGCTTTGTTGTGAGAAGGGACGCTTATATAGGTATTGAGTCTTTGTTCAACAGTGCTAGAACTTCCAAGCAGATAATCTCCTCGGAGCATTGTGGCCAGCGTGTGAAAGCCAGAACACAGCAGTTTTCTGTCAAAAGGTGTAGTTTACCTGCCGACGGCAAGTTCTGCCGCGTTCTTGATACTCTGTAGTTGAGCCTACTGATCAAAATTGCGGAACTTTGAGCGTAAAGAATCAGGTCTATCACCTGCATGCAGATCCTTATTCCCTCTCTCGAGGCTTTTCAAATGATGGGGCCCCGCTCTCTCCCTTTTCAATGACGGAAACGAAGTCTCAAGCCGTCTTGGCTTCTTGATATTGTAGCGCAAGATTCAACGAGATTCTTAGCCACTAAAAAGTTTGGCACCCTCGCACCGGATTATATATTTGATAATATTGTTCTTTTAATGACAAGCTTCCGCTTATGATTAGAGAATGAAATTCTGCTTCATATGCGATCAATATCGAGTATCGAGTACGCAATATCACATAAGAGAGACTTCGCGACTCTTTCCTATCAGAGTTGCGAGCGAAGACTCCGCATGTTAGCACAAATTCCCAAGATCCAGGGTTGATCACTTCTCACATTTTTAGAAAATTTCCAGCTGATTCAAACCCTAGGATATGCTTAGCGGCAACGACTGACTGATTAATGAGGTTGAAAAGTATATGAGATTGACGTCCAAGCTGCGACTGAAAGATGTAAGATCTGTCCTCTTTTGGTCCGACTTGGCGTAAGAGGCTGCAGGTACGTACTTTTGCTAGGCACCAACATATGTTCTTTGTGTAACACTATGCATAAGTGAAACATAAACGGGCAAATTTTTTAAGCCTTCTTACTTTTCGCAGTAAATTACACCAGCCTCAGAACCTGTGGTTGTTCGTATGGAAGGATTGTCAAACAAGCAGCAAAAGCCTACTGGACAATGGCGACACATAATCAATCACCATACTTTATGGGGGAGAAGGCGCTTCTACATCTTGGCTCTGCGATTCGGTCGTTCAATCTTGACATCATGACAAGTGCGGGGTAGAGGGGATTGTATGTTTTGGTATGCAAGGGCGGATCGTCGCTGCGGCTAGAAGAGGACGAACTCGGTCTGTTAAATAAATATACGCAGATAACACGAAAGGTACGATCGACAATCTCCGGCTACACATGATTTACATAATAGCAGTGGATTTGCCAAAGACATATGTCGTCCATACGAGATACATGTTGCAGAAACCTTCAATATATTGTGACTGAAACTACCTGGCTAGTGTTTTTCATTCAATGTACACAACTCGAATCTCAAGAATGCTTATACAATTAGAAACCAGTGTTCAATTTAAGAAAGCGGGATTTGAAACCGAGACTTTTATGATATCATCTAACACTAGTTCTGAATAATCTTCTTCTCAAAGTGAGACACCCAACAATTCGACGAGGGGCACGAAGCGTTGACTCACCGATAATGAAGCTCTATAAGGATATACGACAGGAATATGAAGGCTGTGAATCTTCACCCTTCATTTCGGACTACTAATCTGACTTTGCTTTACACAATTGATGACTTTTCAACTATATGCAGCTAATTGGCCATCCTTGGGTATTATAGCCAATTATCCCAAAGGGAATGCTTCCAGACAATTAACTGAACCTGAAATGACGTGTAATCTTTCTCTATCCTTGCAGTTGCTCTAGAAGCACAAACCTCTTGTCAATTTTGGAATGGAAGAATCCATTCTTCAGTTGCACGATCCTGTCGTACACACGTACGTGGCTGTGTAGCCTGCTGGTGCATCTGTTTTTCGACATGCTTGATATTCGAACAAAAATAATTTCTTATACAGAGCCTTATCATCACAATATAGCCAGCCACGGATACCGGAGGCGGTGCTTTAGCTTACCACGATCGATCTTCGTGCATTTACGGTTTACAGCAGAGACCGTTGGTGTGTGATAGGACCAATGCACTCGGTCAACAGATCATCCTAAATCAAGCGATTGATGGCATTATATTATGGCTAGTCACAACAATTGAAAGTTGATATAACGTGGGACTAGGCAGTGATCCGCTTATATGCACCTAGTCACTTGAACGAATGCTCCAGGAAGCAATTTCGATGATGAATGGAGGATTTGTTCACACAGTATAGGTGCTGAAATGGTCTGCACAGCCCCCGGTTGCTTGCTTGTGGTACAATTCGTCGAATATGATGCTGGCACATCCGAATCATGCCATATCATACATAGAGATGTGAAAACGCTTGGCACACTCAAATATCGTAGCCTCATCAATGAGCTTTCCATCGTACTTTCAATCTCACCAACTTGATATAATTAAATAGAATGATCTGCCCTTGTATGTCCCATCTTGAAGCATTTTTTATTTAGTACTATTCTACATCCTACTTGGCCCTCCGGCTTACTGCACTAAATGGTAGGAATATCTGCTGCCATCGTTCAATTTGTTGACATTGGACTCCGTACCTATTTGAAACTAGATCAATTTTGTACCGATATTTGCGATGCACCGCAGATCATTCAGAACCTTCAAGTAGACTTGCGTCAACAGCTAAATATCGCCGAGAATATTCACATAAACCACCATGCAACCCTCCAGTCAGTAACTTCGATAGACCAGATAGAGATCTTGTTACTTCACTACATAGGCCAAATCGGGAACCTCGAGGGGCTACTCAATGTCCTCACAAACCAAAAAACCGATCGATCTTGGCGTCGAGGATGGAAGGGTATCAAAATAGCGAAAAAGAAAGAAGAAACTATGGCGGTTTGTGGGCGCCTCGAGCAACACAAAACTTCTATATCTATGTGGCTGGCCGAAACAGATTTGTAAGTATAGAATGTCAATAGCATAAATTCACACTTAAATCTATGTGGAGTATGAAGCAAGTCTGGCGGTACGATTTTGCAAGCGCCACAAAGTCGAGGCCAGGTATTAAGTGCTTTGAAACCAACGTATCTGGCATCGAGAACACTTAAGATTGAAAGACTAACACACCATTTAGAAAGCTCTCGGCTGAAATAAAACCAATCGTGGACCAAACATATCAAGGTGTCCAACAAACACACTCTTTGGTTCAAAAGATCGGCCAAGGCTCTTCCAACAGTACAGCATGCATTCAAATGTACCCTCAAATGAATCGCCTTTATCAAAAATCAACAGAAGTCTTGGAGAATAGCAAGAAGGTAATATCTAACATAGATCAAACCTACCAGATTTCAGGCACTGGTTTGGTCAACACGGAAGAGATACTCCTGCAGTCCCAAAAAATCAACCTAGTTGCAAACAGCACGAAGGTAGATACAGAATATATTCTGCCGAAAGTTGATGAAATAAGTGCCAATACTCAACTTCTCACTCAGGAAGTTCAAAACATGAATGCCAACGTATGACTGCCCTTGGTTTCACTCCATACACCTCCATAACTAATCTGTAGTACAGTGGTCACGGATACATACCTTCATTACGAGCACCCCTCTCTCAGATAGTTATAAAAGTAAAGATGAGAAACTGGACCAACAGCAAATCGGAGTCTCTCAGTATCTCGACGCTGCTTGGAAACCAAATATGGAGTCCCCTCGACAGGGAGGTGGAGCCAGACCGAAAGCTCTAATAGGAATTTGTACATGCAGACCTATGAAGCAGACGAGTCATTGGAAATTAATTAAGTTAATCCAGCTCAGGCAGTCATTTCGAACAGAGCATGATTCGCACTGCCCACGATTCTTGAACTCTAATCAGAACTAAGAATTCACAGTTAGGCTTAACCTGCCACAGTGGCCTTTCGCTCGGGGTATTGATCTAAGCATGCAGATCAAGAATTGGAATACGAATAGAGGACTATCAATTGCACCATTCATATTCAACACAAGAAGGGTTGTCGACCCAAAGACATCACCAGCTTTCCAAGCTGTTCAGGATACGATACATAGAATGAAGCGCAACAGCTTCGACCAGAGCTCAGTATTCATACCATGTCTCCAAGAAGTCCTTCACAATATATATCAGAATCAGAACGCATCTCCTGTCGATGAGGATTATAATGGTAATAATTTACTACATGTAAGCTTGTCCCATTTGTGCTTTGTATCCAGTGAATATGTGCTAAATAGCTAGGAAATCTTGTGGGTCTACAAAAGTCACCAAACGAAGGTAAGACTACGCAGCGGTTGCACACCGGGAGACGAATATCTCTCTCTAATACAATTCCTGATGGACAGCGGGTTAAATAGTAATGTGATCAGCTCTGAATATTCCGACGAGTCAAACAAGTGGGACTGGTGGAATAAAACTAGACGCCGCGTCAACGGTTCTGCACTTGATATTTATGTTTCCTTAATGCTCATTCCGCCTATTGGAATGTTATCGATAGCTGAAGAGATTCGAAACCAAATTATGTTTGATAAGTTGGTAAGCAATGGATCTGAATTCACAATGCCGTTCAACAACATAAAGGGGATACACTTCTATTACTATTTCAACACTTTTCAGGATATAATGAGTGAGCTTCGTTGCTTTCCAGAGCAAGTTAAGCGTAAGCATACCTTCCATTTTCACATATCAGAGATCTAATTAGTGCAGCTCATGGGCATGAGCATCTCGTTTCCGTCATCCTACAGCGTTCTGATAGAGGTTTACTTCGCTCGATAAAAGAGGCAAACATCAACTACGCATCTTCGCTGAATGGACTCACAGCATTGCACTTTACTATTGAATGGCCACAAGCTCGTGAGAAACTTCTTGATAATGGAGTAGATGCAAATGTTGAGGATCACTACCATCGTCGCCCCATACACCTGGCGGTTGCGTTGGGCCTTTTAAAAGCTGTGAATATACTGATCCAAGCAGATTGCACTTTGGCAACAGCTAATAGTCCATGGGGTCCAAGTCTACTTCAAGCGTCTTTGATGCTTTGCTCCTCAGAGTTTGACACTGTTGTGGACTCTGTTGTTTGTGCGCTAATTGATCTTCATGCCTGCTATCCCATGCTCGAGCTGCGTTAACAGAGCAAGAAATCTTAGATATTGGCATAGTCCAAGGAACTATGGTAGAAGAAATAGTGCCAGAAATCAAGCATGCAATGCTTTTACATGAATCTCAAATACCTAAAGCTCTGGAGTCAGATGATATATCGGTCTACAACACGACAGATATGCATGCCGCGATTAGAATGACACCTCGTGTTGCCGAAAGATTATGGCAAGCCGGCTTTGTCAACATCGATGATCCTGATGCATATGAGTTAACTGCTATTCTACAAAGCTGGTATGCAGCTAATTTTGAGATGGTTTCCTGGTTTCTACAAAAAGGAGCAGACGATTTCTCGGCACACGTCGATGTAGCATGGCATGGTTTACATTTCTATGCTGCGCGGATGGCATACCCCGGGGCTTATTTCAGCTCTACTAATGGGGGGGTATACAGTGATACACAACATATAGCGAGACACCTGGCAATAGACAATCTAGGCCACGATGACTGCGATTGTTTGTGCTCGCCACGTGGATGTACGCCAACATCTATTTTGATGAAAGTATCCCAGTTTTATGTCCGGCCAATTCTGGCAACAGAAAGCCTCTACCGCTCATGGGTGATGAAGACTAAACCAACGCCGATGCAGCTGAAGCAATACTCATATGATTGCATAAGAATGATTATTTTCGAATCGATAGGATTGACTCATTCTTGCTGCAAACCTGACCAATATTGCAACCCCTGGAGAGGCAAGTATCATGTTCCAGAAAACTATCAATATAAGAAGTCTATACTTGAGAAAGCTTTGAATATGTTTGAGGAATGCTATCAAGCGTACCGTGGCCCTATGGAGATGTTTCCGTTTCGTTTATACGATTTCTTGTACGGACATCCTTCACAAGGGTCTCAAGATAATTACGGTATGGTGAATTGGGAGTAAAAGGATCAACCATCAGGGATTAAGGATGCTGAAGAACTTACCGAACAAGAAGAGCTTGCTGGAGAAGAAGGAGACGTTGCGGAAGAAGCAATAGACAACGAGGAGAGAATGTCGGCTGGGGAACAGAAACACACTCACGACTACTAGTGCAAGGTTTCTATTTGAGAATGATTTAAGAGGAAGCTTGTTGTTTTTTTTATCTAATTCATGATGTATATCAAACTAGCTAATAAGTACTTGGTATTTACTAGTAACTGAGGGAGGTTCGTTGTGGTGAAGTTATGCTTAGCATAGGTGCGCAATAACTTGTATTATATTTTGTAACAAGTTACCACCTGTCACATACGACCATAGACTGAAGAGAATTGGGCATCCCGTCCGCTCTGCCATACACAAGCTTCAGATCGGTGGATTAGTAGTTGGGTGGGTGACCACCAGCGAATTCCCACTGTTGTATGTTTTTACATTTTTTGTTCCTCGATGATCGAAAAAGCATTTGTGATATGATCTTTTGCTACATCTCCAAATATAGGCTAGGATGAGTCCATTAGGTCACTGATGAACTTGCTGTCGAAGCTCTGCATCGATTCTTCTTTTGCGTCACGATGAGTAATTGGGAGGATTGCTCTATCTTCGGGGTCCGGATGCTCGCTCTCAAGTCGAATCAATGACAATCCAAGCAGAAACCATCGTGTGGTTCTTAAGGAGATCCCGCATTCTTCTATCATCATTGGATAAGAACTGTCCGTTGAAAAGTTCATGCAAATTTGAAGAGACAATCCACTTCACTTAGTGCGGTGAAGTCGTGTCATCAATTTTTATACTCGACATGCGTGGCCGCACGCCAATGCACCTTGGCAGGGATAATCATGAGCGGTTGTGCCACCAACGAACCGAGTGGGGAAATATGCATCACCGATGGATACACGTCTACCAACCGAGATCCTCAAATCAACCTGGGGCTACATTTGCGAGACTCTACCTGGTTTTGTTTCAAATAGTATGCAAGGCAACTTGCTCGCTGGAAAATCAATAAGGAGAGGAGTTCGTACTTGACAACACTACGCACGCTAAAATCTACCGAGTATTCAGCTTGTAACCTTGTACGCTCTAAATAGCTTGGAGGGTTGGAACTTTCTCTGTCGTAGTTCGATGGCCTTCCTGGTACGTTATTGATTGTGACAATCAAACCGGCCATTGGGCCAAGTATTCCATATAGGTCAAAATGTTATCGGAACAATTGGGTTGGAGAGCAAGTGCCTCAAAGTACACCGATATATGATGTCTTCCTTCCCCCCAATATTTGCTCCGGTTTGCTATCATTGTCATTCTCCCTTCTGTTTTCAATAATCACGTCTTTTTTTCTTTTCTCGTTTTCTGATTTAGCCGCATTCATCATGAAGATGATAGAACTTCAAACATCAGTCTCTACGACTTCGACCCCTCGCAGGACGAGGGATGAAAAAGTAGACAGAAATGGCATTATTTGTTACGATGAAGAAATCACTAGGATCGTTGACTACACTTACGACTATGAGATTACCTCTCCTCTAGCATGGACTCGTGCAACTTCAGCTTTACTCGATGCAATTGGAGCTGGTCTCGAAAGTATTGCCACAAGTTCTGAACTCTCTCAAATAGTTGGACCTACCTTCCCTTCTCCAGATACCATTCCCAATGGATTTAAGCTACCCGGAACAAATTATCAACTTGACATAGCGAAGGGTGCTTTTGATATGGGAGCTATGATTAGATACCTGAATCATAATGATGCCTTCTTAGGTGCTGAGTGGACACATCCCTCTGGTATGATTACCGACATTCCTTTTTTTATCGATAAAATAGATCATTGACAATATTTCACAGACAATCTCGGAGCTATCTTGTCAACGGCCGATGTTCTCTCGCGCGTAGCCACTTCCAAAGACGATCAAGATTCCATTCTCACCATGCGTCATGTTCTCATCGCTCTCATCAAGGCCTACGAAATTCAGGGCTGTTTTCAAGGCAAGAATGCCTTCAACAGAGCTGGTCTAGATGACGTCATCCTTGTCAAAGTAGCTTCCACGGCTGTCGTCTCCTGGCTCATGGATCTCCCAAAAGAGCAAGCCAAAGCCGCTGTCTCTCATGCGTGGATTGATGGTAACCCTCTCCGTGCATATCGTCAAGCACCCAATATTGGCCCAAGAAAGAACTGGGCGGCAGGTGATGCCTGCATGCGAGCTGTACAAATGGCACTTATGGCGAAGACCGGACAGGCAGGTGTTAAAACTGCTTTAAGCGCTCCACGATCTGGATTTTATGATGTTCTTTTCAGAGGCAATACATTTGAGCTTCCCCGACCATTTGGTACCTCCGTTGTTGAAAACGTATTTTTCAAAATCTATACAACCGAAAGCCACGGCATGACTGCACTCGAGGCCGCCCTATTAACCTGCCAAGAATTGATAGATAAAGAAGTATCCACGAGCGATATCAAAAGTATCCAAGTTCGGACCCAAGAAGCAGCGATGGTTATTATGAATAAACAAGGAGCGCTTCAAACACCTTCAGATCGTGATCACAGTCTTGGATATATGATTGCCATTACTCTTCTCAAAAATTCCCTGCCCGAGACTGAGGATTACCAAAACACCAGTTCCTGGTCGAAAGATCCTCGGGTGGAAGAATTGAGAGATAAAATCACCATCAAGGAAGATCCGGAATTCACAAAAGATTACCACAATCAAGATCTTCGCAGTCTAGCCAACGCGATTCAGGTTACTCTGAACGACGATACTGAATTGGAGGAGATAGTCATCCACTTCCCTCAAGGCCATGCGAGAAGGAAGGAAAGTTTAGAGTTGATAGAAAAGAAAGCAAGGAAGAATTTCGCATTGAAACTGAGTGAGGAGAGAATCGACACGATCATCGAAAAAACCAAAAGCATGGAGTTTTTTGGCATGTCGGTTTGCGAGTTCATGGATCTGTTTGTACCAAACAAGGAATGAGAAATGTCCGGTGGGGATTTGCTGAATGGTTATGTTTGGTTCATGGATCGGTTTCTTGGGATGGCGAGATGGCAATTGTATTTGGTTTCGGGGTTTGTGTAGATAGTATATGCAGGTCGTGCTGGCTATCCAAATAGAATAATATTTTTTTCCCTGATGGTTTTGTTTAAGAGTAAGGTGTGCGGTCAAGCTTGTAAGGAGTGAACTTAGTAAAGTATGCGTATGTGTGGTCAGAACATTATGTGTCGGTAGTCGAGCATGGATAGTTCTGCACCCTCGCGATTGCTCTTCACGTTCCAAGGTTGATGCTCTGGACAACATAAACCACACACGAAGCTGAATTCCAAAACATGAATTTGAATATCTAGCTGGTTTGGAGCTTTTAAAGCGTTTGATTTTCAAATTCGAATTAAACCATTATCCATGATTTGGTGCGCAATTTGTTTCGAGCCTTTCTGCCATATGCTTCAACGGAGAAACAAAATTTGGGACGATGTCCGTGTCGTTCATATTGTATTCCAAAAAAAACAAAAAAAAGCAAAACATTATAACATGCGAAACTACTCAACGGGATCAGGAATTTCTATGCGAACTCGTGTGGATCAAACGTATATATTGTTTATACCTCATATTGCTAGAGCTCCATTGCTGTCATTCATGGCGCACTTTGTAGTTCCAGTAAAGAATAGTAAAACATTTACCACGGCGAGTGCACATGAACTTCACAAATTTGCCTCAGAAGTCTTGAGGCAGATCGATGACGAGCCAAACCTTGATGAGTTCGGGTGCCTTGTCATTCGAATGCTCAAATCCCCGCCCCAATGGGTCGCGACCCATGGCCAATCTACCGGATCGATCACTGCGTTGTCGAGTGGAAAGATGCTTCTCGTTTTTTTTTAAGAATTTCTGAGATACTGAATTTTCCTTTTACGAAAATGATCTTTTTATATCTCTCTTCATTGCTACTTCATATCTCATCTGACAGTGCAGACAAAAATACTGCTCACTTTGCCTCTTGGAACTTCCGGTCTATTGATGGGTCTCCTCTACCAAATCTGGCAGAGAATCTCGATAAATGGCCCAACAGCCGACCAAACCCGGCGAGAAAAGTTCTCTTCCCCATGTTTGCCATTGAATAAAGAAAGATTTCGATCCTGCCGATAGATCGCTTCTTCCCTGATACATGTCTTCGTAACGGAACTATAGCTAGGATCAAAGTTTCCGCAATCGGTAGACCTATTCCTGGACCTGAATTGGGCAGCAATAATTCTCATATCTCTCAATGATTACACTGGCCACCGCCTTACCGCCACATGACTCAATAGCATAGTATCATGAATGTATGGAATTTTATTTCAGGTGCTTTAAAATACAAACATTGTCCATATAGTGATTGCCATTGTCTATATTAGCTTGTATAACTGCCTCACAGCATTAATGAAGAAACGAGCATCGCAACCTAACTTCTTTTATTATCAAACTTAATTGAAATTTTGCAAATCCAAAGGGGAGAGTTCATTCTCATAATAAAATGCCTTCCGGAGAAAGGAGACCACGTCTTGATGGTTGGGGTAGGTCCCCTTCATATTATCTTCTCTGAGTAATTGCTAATTATTAGACTTAGGGAGGTTCAAAGTAACTTTCATTACATTTGCATTATATGCTTTAGGATTTCCCATCTTGTTATTTCATAGTACGTTTACTATACTAAATGTCAAAAGCATTCTAATGTGATTCTTCTAGTTCTGCTACTGATCGGCTGTGCAACCGACTCACCCGGTATGGACAACATCTACGTTGCCTCACTGTCTGGCGGAGTCAGATTCTCCTACACCTGTAAGCCACCCACTCGCACCCCTACTCGTAGCACCATTAACAATTTCCAGCCCTCTGCGCCCCCACCATCACCGGCCGAACATGTACCCCCTCAGTCGGAAAATCTCTCCTCATTCTCACCACCCTCTACAACTTCACTACTCCACACTCAACCCTCCAATATGCACTCGATCT